GTTTGAGGCGATTTTGTGAAGCCGTATGTTTGATTCAGCCAGCATTTTTCTTGCTCGAGACAAAAGTTCAATAGCTTGGCTCTCATTGGACACAGAAACCAGTCCATCATCAACATAGAAATTGCGAAAGACAAACTGTTTTGTGTTTGAGCCGTATTCTTCCTGCCCTAGCTCAGCTGCTCGTCTCAGTCCATAGATAGCAATAGCTGGGGATGGACTGTTCCCAAATACTGGAACTTTCATGCGGAACTCTATTATTTCTTTGTTCAGGTCATTGTCTTTGAACCATAGGAACCTGAGATAGTTTCTGTGACTTTCCTTTACTCTGAAGCAGTAAAACATCTGCTCTACATCAACAGTAACTGCTACCTGCTCTCTTCTAAAGCGCAAAAGAACACCAAGCAGTGTATTGTTTAAGTCTGGTCCCCTAAGAAGAGTGTCATTAAGAGAGATGCCATTAAACTGGGCGCTTGAATCGAACACGGCTCGGATTTTGCCTGGTTTCTGGGGGTGGTACACTCCAAATATCGGTAGGTACCAACATTCTTCACCTGGTTCTAGTTCTGGGGCAATTTCTGCTTGGTCATTTGCAAAGATTTTTTCCATAAAATCTATGAACTGTTCTTTCATGTCTGGCCTTTTATCTAATGTCCGTTTCAAAACAGTGAGGCGTTTCAGAGCCTGTTCTCTGTTGTTGGGAAGGAGAGGGCGTGGATTACGAAAGGGTAAGGGCGCCACCCAGTGGTTGTCACTGTCCATGTACACCTCCCTGTCCATGATCTCAAGGAAGATTTTGTCCTCAAGAGACAAGGCTGGTTTATCGTCATCAGGCGTTCTTTGGAACACGTTGAGCCCTAGAGTGTCTGGCTGTTTGAGTAGAGCTGCCTCCATGTCACCGAAAACAACAGTTTGCAGTTTAGGGAGAGTGAATGTCTCTTTTACATGAATGGCGCTAGTGCAAGGCTCGAGGAAGGAAGTGCGGCCGTTTTGTAGAATGCTAGTTTTGTAAACATTCACTTTAGTCTGCTTGTGAGCTCTCCCCAGACAGATCTCACCCACAATAACCCACCCCAAATCTAGCCGCTGAGCATAAGGTGTGTTGTGCGGGCCATTGTACTGCTCGCGCACTTTGTGTACACTGAGAATGTCTCGTCCCAATAACAGAAGGATGGGCGTGTCTTGCTCTAGTGGTGGTATTTTACCTGCTATTGGTGCTAGGTGAGGAAAATACTGTACAATGTCAGGTGTGGGAATTTCACTGCGGTCATCTGGCATTGTATTGCACTCTAAAAGAGGGGGTAATGCTATGTGTGTTTGTCCATCAAGTGACGCAACAACAAAGTTGTGAGCTTTCCTACCTGTAGCTTCACTAATGCCTGCACAGGTTTTTAAAGTGTAAGTAGATGGAGCTTCACTAATGTCAAACAGCTCAAAGAAATCTGATTTTGCCAAAGAGCGATTACTTTGGTCATCTAAGACCACATACATTTTTTGAGCTTTGTCTGGGCGGTTTGCTGGGTACACATTCACTAGAGAGATTTTTGAGCACGATCTGAGTCCTTGTGTTTTGTCACATATCTCAGTACATTTAGAGGTGACCTCGGGAGATGAGGCATTGTCTTGCTCCCCGCCATGCTCTTGTTCCATCGCTTGTGCTCCCGTGGACCAAGGAGCAGGTCCAGGGTGGAGGGCACTAATGTGTCTGTCACTATTGCACTCTTTGCATTTAACAGCAACCTTACAGTCTTTAGCCAAGTGTTTAGTGGATGCACAACAACGAAAACAGATTGAGTTTTCTTTTAGATAAGCTTTCCTTTCATCTAAATGTTTTCCCCTAAACCCACGACACTTTGCTAGGGGATGTGGCTTGTTGTGCATTGGACAACGATCTGCTGGCTCATCTACTCTCTTTTCTTGACTACTGTTATTGGGTGTTACAGGTGTAGCCATAACCTCAGTTTTTCTAACTGACACTGTTTTGTTGTTACTGTAATGTCTCACTGGTTTGTCTTGTTTTATTTGACTTGTGATGCAGGTTGAAGAAAAGGAAAAGCTTGGATCATTTCGGGTCTTTGCTTGGCTGGAAATGAAGTTAACGAAATAGCTGAAAGGTGGAAAGGAAACATTATGCACTTCCTTATATCTAGAGCCATACGTGATCCAGCGTTCTTGCAGTCCATAAGGAAGCTTTTCTACAATAGGGTTTACTCCTCTGGCTGTATCAAGATAAGCTAAACCAGGTAAACGCCCCCCTGACTTAGCTAACTCTATCTCCATTAGGATGTCTCCTAACTCTCTGAGACGCTGATTGTCTTTGTTAGAGATTTTGGGAAAGTTCTCTAGCTTTGACAAAAGTGCATGTTCAATAATCTCAGGTGAACCATAAGTGTCATCTAATCTTTGCCAAACCATGTTGGCACCTGCGTTGGCATTGTGAACATAAGCTGACCTGATTCGCATTGCTTGTGGAGATGAATCTGGGCCGAGCCACTTTATCAGCAAGTCAAGCTCCTCTCTAGCTGTTAGATTGAGCTCTCTGGTAACATCCTGGAAAGAAGTTTTCCAGGCCCAATAGTTTTCTGGACAGTCATCAAACTTTAATAGTCCAGAGCTTACCATTTCTCTCCTAACTAGATATTTAGTGAGATCAGTCAGTGGTGCTGCTTCACAAGGGTAGTCTCTAAGACTGGATGTGTGAGACATCGGAGCAGGAGGATAACGTGTTTGGGCTCTGCATGGAGTGCTAAACATTACCTCATTCTTAACAAAGGAATTCGGTAGACTTGCTTCCCTGTAAGGAAGCGGGTACCACTGCGTTTGGTCAGGCAGAGGTGACGACGGTGCTCGTTGTGCTTTGGAAGATGTGACAGGCGGCTGCTGATGGACTGGAGGTTCGTGCTGAGGTTTTGGTGCATAGTGGGCCTGCACATACTCGCTGGTGCGTTGAGCAGTGTCCTGTGGAGGGATCTGGTTGAAGTCGTCGAGAGGGTCATTCTCCATCGCTGCTGCGGCCTCGTAGACTGCTGCTTCTGCTGAGGCTGCGGTGGCGCTCCTCTCTGTCTTTAGCACGTACAGATTAGCCTCTAGCTCTGCTTTACGTTGAGCTACTTCAGCTAACATCTTTTGATTTTCTGCTTCTATTCTAGCCTTTTCTTTCATCACTTGTGCTTCTTTAGCTGCATATTTGGCTTCTACTAGGGCTGCTTCAGCTTTAGCTTTGGCTTTGGTGGCTGCAGCACTAGCTGAGGACCTGCTTGATCTTGAAGCTTCTGACCTGGTCTCATATAGTTTTTGTGTTTGGTCCGTCTTGTCTTGCTGCTCCATCTTGAGTTGTTTCGTTCACAGTGCGATGGTGACAGTTGATCTTGTCTTAGCCCGCTGTGCAATGTCCTTTTACTATTCTGTCCTCACGATGGCGTCTCTACCAGGGCTAGACAGATAGCGAACATACAAAAAAAGAGAGTCCACACGACCATATGGAAAAAGACTTGTCTTTACGGACGTTTATTTCCACATTTGTCTCTTTGTCTTTTTCTTTTTTCCGTTTTTCCTTTTTTGTAAAACTGCAACAAACACACAAAAGATGTGTATTAACAAATCGTGCATGTTACGACAAAAATAAAAGCCCCACTACCCAGCCCAAACACAGGACGGAGCTAGCAAAGAAACTAGCAATAAGCAACACCGCGAATGCGCCAAAACCACCGTTCCAACCTTCAGATATTTATAACAATACAAGAAAACGAATATTATAACACAAAACAAGCCAAACTTACGGACAAAGATGCCCCAAGGCCGAAAACAGAGACGTATTCTGTCAGACTGCGAACCGATCACGCTTGTAAGTGAGCACGTGCGGTAGAAAAACAAAACTTAAAACCAAAGGCGTCCACTAGAGGGCGGCAATCAACTTTATAACAAATAAAGTATTAAATGGGTCAACAGTACAAACATTTAACTTAACCAGGATTAAACAATATGACACCTAACAGAAGGGTGGACATAATTTAAGGCAGCAGTGATCTCATATAAAAATAATTTCTCTATCAATAATATTTTTTATATGCTTAAGTAAACAATGGACTTTTTATTTTCTTTTAGCAGACAAAACAAAACATGTTAAGATTTCCTTGCTTCTCTACAACAAACAGTTGCTTATTCATGGAGACTTGGGCTCAACAGAGAATTTGAAGAACAAACAAGAATTTTTAGGATTTGGTTGCTACATTCATGTCGTTTTAAAAAGCATGACAATATCAAGTAATCCAAAGTATTCAGATTACGTTACTCACTTTAAGTAATTTAATGGATTACGTTACAAACTACATTTTGGGGTATGTAATCTGTAATCTGTAGGGGAATACATTTTAAAAGTCACCTACCCAACACTGCTGAAATGTGAGATGAATGGGATTTAAACGAAGAATGACTCTGAAAAAGCAGAGGCTTTTACATAAAAAAACACTGACATTTAACCATTTTTGCGAAGTTAAAGAAATTCAACACTCACCTTACGAAGAGCTGAGCCTTTCTCATATACCCTCTGTGGCCTTTTGCACAAACACTTTCAGTTTCAGCTCATGTCACGTGATCAGCCTGTTAGGTCATATCATCTGCTTGAAGATCCTGCTGTGACGTTAGGCCTTCTCACTTCTCAGGCATTTTGTTCCTACGTTGTTTTTGTTTTTTTAAGGTGGGGAAATTTTCTCTAGCACTAACTCTCTCTCTCTCTCTCTCTCTCTCTCTCTCTCTCTCTCTCTCTCTCTCTCTCTCTCTCTCTCTCTCTCTCTCTCTCTCTCTCTGTGTCTCTCTGTTTCTCTCTCTCTTTCCCTCTCTCTCTTGTCTCTCTCTCTCTCTCTTGTGTCTCTCTTGTCTCTCGCTCTCTCTTGTGTGTGTGTCTCTCTCTCTCTCTCCTGTAGTCTTTTCGTGTTGTTTTGAGGTGAGCCGCAGTGAGCTCCATCACCAGCAGAGGGCGCTCACGCTCTGTCTCTGAGCCTAAAGCGGAAACCCCCAGTGCGCATGTGCGGTGAGTGTGCGTGGAGAGTGTCAGGTGCGGAGTTTATGCGGTTTTGCGTGTTTTTCTCCTGTTTTCCGCTGTTCCAGTGATCTTCCCCCGGTCTGAAGGCTGAGTCTGCCGCGGAGGAGCAGCCATGGCCGGGACCGCGCTCAAGAGGCTCATGGCGGAGTACAAGCGTGAGTGTCCGGGGAGCTAACAGGCTAACAGACTAACAGACTAACAGACTAACAGTGCACCAGCACCACACACTGACATGAAGATCTATAATAATAACAACTCTATAATGTCATTTTATTCTTCTTCTGTGATGAATACACGCACCGCACACGCTTTACTGCACTTCTCCTGATGTTAAAAAAAAAAAGTTACACACGACATGTCATGCTAATGTTCCACAGAACTCCACATGTGATTAGGGCGAGCAGGACCGCAGGAGTACAATGTAGTGGGACACGGAGGGACACGGAGGAGCCCCCATTTCAGGAAACTAAGGGGGTTTGTAGCTGTGTCAACGAAGCAATGGGTGGATACTGTGGAGAATATGCATCTAAAACATTTTGATTTATATTTTGAGTTTTTCTTTTCGAGTTTTCTTTGCCATGTAATTCCATTTAGCTTCATACTTGAGATCTTCATGTTACTCCCGCCCACACCCGAGACTATCTTCTTGTTGCAGAGAGAAAATATTTTACAATTAATCATATAGAGGTTTTGCAGGTGGTGTCACAGCATTCCATTTTTTTAGAGTGAGTGGCAGTGTTATATGAGTGTTTCTTCAGTAAAGCTCAAACACATCTCAAATGTGAACGCTACAGTTTCTGGTGGAATGTCTGCCACCTGCTTTTCTCCATGCTTTGTTTGGAATGTGTGACACAACACTTTATATCATCATGGAGACCAAACCAGACTAAGTTACGGGTCAGATCTGTGGAGAGGCGGAACATTCCAAGTAGAGCACTGGCATACAGAAACACCCAAAGACCCTGAAAAGTCACATATCGTGCCTTTAACAACAAATATAAAAGTCCACAACTCTGTTAAATATTTACTTTGTCCCTGATCTAAAACAAGAACATCAAGCCAACAGTAGAAAACCAGTGAACAGTTAAAGCACAGGGACACTGCAGACTACAGGCACATTTATCACACACACAGACTTTGGGATCATCCACAGTTGAACAGTTCTGTCCTTAAAGGTTCTATATTACGCAAATTGGATTCTTGTGAGCTTTTAATCATATTTTAATGCGGTTATGTTTCTTTTCATTCACACGTGTTTGAGTAATCCTGCATTATTAGTCTGTCTACATCTCCAAAGCACCAAATACTCTGTTCCACCCTATGATGTCATGAAGTCTTCTCAGTCGTCTTTATAAGTTTGTATAAATTTTACATTTTCAGTGGTACGTGATGGTACGCTCGACTGACATGATACAGACAGGACAGAGGCTCTTTCTGCAGGAGAGTGAAGTGACTGATAGAGGAGGAAAAGGAGCAGCAGATACTGACACACAAGACTAGAGCCTCTCGCAGAGTCTGTGAACATTTTAATATATTAATTGCTTGCAGGAAACACCCAAACCATGAAAAAAGTGTGACTTATAGTCCAAAAAATACAGTAATACTATCAGTAATTGTTTTGGGGTGAGTTGAAGGGTCCTTTATCTCCCCCTTATTAGTTAACTCACTTGCCAAGATCTGCACGGTCACAGCAACAATGGAAAAACAAATTTACTAAATTAACTGAACTAAAAAAAAACGGCTCTATCCATGGAATGTCAAGGGGCATCTTCCTCTCTGTTTCTACTCTCCACTAGTGTTATTGTGCTGACCGTGTTGTGTTGTGTTCCAGAGCTGACGCTGAACCCTCCGGAGGGGATCGTGGCAGGTCAGTCTCACTCCTCTGTCCGCTCTCATAGCTCCTGTTGGTACACGTGTTATTACAGTCGTCCTCTGTCCTCTGTCCTCAGGTCCTGCCAATGAGGAGAACTTCTTTGAGTGGGAGGCCCTCATCATGTAAGTGCACCGTGGGCCTAAGCGCCCTCTTGTTTTCTTCGTTTTCTCGGGGTAGCTATAGACAAATCCAAATGTTCCATACCTGTTTCTGACATGTCATACTGCTGTTGTTACTTTGCAGTGATGTCACGGTGGGGGTGTTCTACATGTATTTCTATGGTGGAATGTTTAACAGCTCCCATGGTGACACAACACACACATCAGCAAGCAGTGTCAAAAAAGTTTTAAGATACACTGAAACAAAAGAAAAAATATAAAATGGGTTAAAACAACACATTTTCAGGAGCCTGTGATCAATAATCAGTCAAAAGTGTTTATGGTCCTGTTGAGTTTAGTTATCAATAGAAAGGTGAGAGTGACTAACTAATGCTAATACTAGCTAGAACTAGTTTGATGTGTGAGAGACTGGTTTAAGAACACAAATCATCTCACCTGTTGTACTTTTGGCGAAGTCAGTTCTTTGTTGTTGGATTGTTTTAAAACAAAGCTCAGATTAAAATCTACCAGAGATTCAGGCAGGGTAGTCTCCATGGAATCTAGGGTTGCAGCGATTTGGTTTTCCCATGATTCGATACATATCTCGATATATAGGTCACAATATCCAATTGATTTCAATACAAAGATGCAAAAAAAATCTCATGTCATTTTTTTCTGCTAATCAATATAATATAAAAACACTGATGTTACTGAAACATCACATTACACACAATACACTACAGCACAACTCCTGTAGTTTATATGTGAAGTGTTTTAGTTCATTTGGTTCAATGATTTACAGCTCAGCATTTTTATTCAGTGAAAATAAGAACAGAGTTTCTCAGGCTGTTTTATATTTTATAATAAACCAGTCGACTCTTAGTGTAACTCCTCTAGAGTTATCACTCTTTTCCTTCTTTGATGATGATTTGATGATTTCTTTTCCTGCTGAGTTGGTCTCCTCTCACAGCGTCACACACCTGTGTCTGCTGTGTCTGCGCTGCTCTTACCCCTTCAGCAAAGACGGTACATAGCTCCTCCCACGCTGCTCCCTCCAGCAGAGACAGTACGTAGCTCCTCCCACACTGCTCCCTCCAGCAAAGACAGTACGTAGCTCCTCCCACACTGCTCCCTCCAGCAGAGACAGTACGTAGCTCCTCCCACACTGCTCCCTCCAGCAAAGACAGTACGTAGCTCCTCCCACACTGCTCCCTCCAGCAGAGACAGTACGTAGCTCCTCCCACACTGCTCCCTCCAGCAAAGACAGTACGTAGCTCCTCCCACACTGCTCCCTCCAGCAGAGACAGTACGTAGCTCCTCCCACACTGCCTCGTCCAGCAGAGACAGTATGTAGCACCTCCAGCTCTCCCCGCTACAGTCTATGACACACTCCCATCCTCATTCTGGACACTCAAACTCTGTTATGTCACATAGAAATGTCTCAACAGATTGTTTCTGAGTCAAACTTATGAGACGGAGTGTGAGAAAAAGATTGTGTTTGTCACGAGTCGCGCCACGGGTGCGAATACGAGCGCATTTGATTAAAGCCCATGTGAAACCAAAAGTGATTCTAAAGTATTTAAAAGTGAATCTCTTTGTCATTCCTGGGTCTATCAACATAAATTAAAAAGTGAGTGAAAGATAAAACCCTCCTCTGTTAAAAGCAGTAAGCTGTCAGCTGTAAGTTCCTATGGAGAAGGACGCTGTGAGAACTGTTTCCCTTTGGACATCACAGCGCGCATGGAGGGACGTGCATATCGATACATGTCTCAAACAAACTTCTGTATCAAATCGTGAGATCAGTATCAAATGGTTCAATATTATATTGATTATCGTTGCATCCCTAATGAAAACGAGGCCTACACAACTTCAGTTAACTCAAATGTCAGTTGTAGGAGTGTCCATGGCGTTGATTGTGTAGTATAGATGGGTGTAAAGTAGAGCCCGACCGATATATCGGTTGGCCGATATTATCGGCTGATATGGGCAACTTTAGGCATATTGGCTATCGGCCGATATGCTTGCTGATAGGGGCCGATATTTCACGTGGGCATGTTATACCTCGTTATAAAGCTTAGACTCTCTACATTCTGTTCATTTAATCCAATTTACAGACAGATAAATGTCCTAATATGTATTTATCTACGGAGTCATTTGTCTGTGTGTGTCCGTACTGTCCCTGAACACACCACAGAGTCGCGTCACTCACGTGTGTTTGTTTACACCTGCAGACACAGATCCAAACACTGAGATTATATTCTTTTTACGGACAATCGGTTTGAGTCTGGATTAAATGGACATTTATTAGTGCAGATTTGTGATGTGAGGAGGAGCCTGTATGAGCGGTGAGTGTTGGAAATATGTCGACTCTGAAGCTAGTTTTTGTCATTTGTTATGGGTTAGCTGCTGTAGCTCCCGCACATAAACAGACTGTTTTCTATTGGTCTATTAAAGTGACTATATTGGCCGTATATTTGCTACTGGACCTGCACTGATATGTAAATGAGCTGTGAACAGACATGTGAATTATGACATTTGCGCATATAATTAATTACCGCGGCGCACACGTATTTACGGCTAAAGGCTAATAGCGCTACTTTCTTTACTAGTTATGGGTCAGTCGCGAACGAAATGACTCTTAGAACCGGCTCTTTGAAGGGAACGACGGGAGCCTGATCCTTATTGGGAGCCGTGTTTTCTCTTTGTCTCACTTTTTTTCTCTTCACGCCGCGTGCAGACTTGTGGTTTGACAGCGGCAGCGGCTAAAAACGAAACTTTAAGAAATTTGCGTGTACGTAGGATTAAAAATAAATAAATAAAAAAAACGAGCATATTTGACTGTAGTTTAGCATAAAATAAGTTCCGGTTTAGTCCCTTTTCAGTCCTGGTTTAGACCTGGTTCAGTCCTGATTCAGTCCTGCTTTAGACCTGCTTTAGTCCTGCTTGCAACAAAACAATCTGAAGAGCCACTTGGGAGCCAAAAGAACCAGCCGGTTCTCTAAAAAGAACTGGAATACCCATCACTAGTGTCTAGAATGTGATGCAAAAATGCCATTATTAAGCCAACCTACTGTCTGTAAATATGATGTAAAGAGGCAGAATAACAATAAATGTTGCCTAAATAAACCCAATTTAAAATCCACCAGAGCCAAACCTAAGTTTTTTAAACAATTTAACATTTACAGTGAATTTTTACATCACTAAATATATCGGTGATTATATCGGCTATCGGCAGCGCCAACTCCCATTATATCGGTTTCATATCGGCCACAGCAAAATCCATATCGGTCGGGCTCTAGTGTAGTCTGTTGGCAACTGAGGTGCTGACAAGCAAACTATTGTTACTGTATTGTGGCCTCTATATTTATTATCAAAAATATCTGTTATATTGAATAGCAGAAAAGTTTTCCTACAGCCTAACTTACATATCATCTTCTCCCCAGTTTTATATTGTACTTTTATACATTTGAATAAAATGTTGTGCTAAAAAGTAGGTCTGCACTGTGTTGGTTTAGTTCAGTTGTGTCTCCTTGACATATCACAGAATATTGTGGACATTATATTGATGATCACATGTATGGCCTTATTGTCATATTGTATTATGGGCCATGTATCATACCAAATCATGAGGGGCCCTGTCATTCTCAGTCCCAACATTTCTCACCTGTGCTGTGTTACTATGTGTCCTGTTCTGTGTGTGTCCTCTAGGGGGCCCCAGGACACATGTTTTGAAGGGGGTGTGTTCCCGGCAGTGCTCAGCTTCCCCTCAGACTACCCTCTGAGTCCCCCCAAGATGAGGTTCACCTGTGAGATGTTCCACCCCAACAGTGAGTAGACCTGTGCGAGGCTACAGCTGATAGGCTCTGCTGCTTAGTCTCTCTCAGGCTCGAGGCCTGTAGTCATTTAGTTGAAATAATTAGTGGACTCGTTATTTTATTGGGTTTTAAAAAAGTATATAGATGAAAGATTTGGGAATGAATTGTGCATTTATTGTGACATTTTATAATCTAACACTTTACTTGTACTTCTCTTGTCAGTGCATTATGGGTCAAATATGTGGTTGGATCATGGAGATGCTTTGAGAGCTTTTGCTAATGTCACTTGTAGTGAACTGATCCATGCACAGCTCCTGTGCCCTGGAGGTCCCAGGTCCTTGCATAACTTAAAACACTGTTGAATGTCTCGTTGACCCACAGAGGAGAGGGGCTTTCCTGTGCTCTGGCCCCTGCCCCTGCACACTCATTACAGCTTCTGTAATGGGGCCCTGGCCTCTGTTGTGACACACACTGTGTGGTTAGTGTGTGGTTAGCGTGTGGCTACTGTGTGATTAGCACCATGCTGTCAGAGTGATGTCATCAGAGACAGTCTGAGCACGCTTAGCTGATTACAGGAGCTGCCTCTCATTATGTGTGAGGACAGGGCAGGGACACGGGGGACAAGAATACAGGAGGATATGGGGAGGACACTGTCTGTGTCTGCTGTGTATGTCCTGTTCTGCTCAAACATCAGCAGTGCCAGTGGTAGAGTTGTCAAAAGTATTGAAAATCAGTTACTAATCCATACTAAAACTAATGTTGAAACTACTACTAAAAAATACTAAAGGACAAATACTAAAAAAGAACTGTAACAGAACAAGTGTAAGAGCACATAGACTAGTATACACACACGGACACTATGAACCTACTGCACCACTGACCATTACACACATTAAGACTCATGGGAATAGAATAGAACGTACCATTATTTAATGTTAATATTATTGTGGTATCAGATTTAGTATTGAGTATCGAGTCTATTCCTTAATCTCAGAGTCGAGTTTGAAGTTTGAGTACATTTTAGACGAGACTAGTCACTAGTTGTTCATGTAACATGAGCAGTTCAGTAACACTGAGCACAGTTGTGTGACCTCTGACCCCTGTGTGTCAGTCTACCCAGACGGCCGCGTGTGTATCTCCATCCTCCACGCCCCTGGAGATGACCCCATGGGCTACGAGAGCAGTGCCGAGCGCTGGAGCCCTGTGCAGAGTGTGGAGAAGATCCTGCTCTCTGTGGTCAGCATGTTAGCAGGTACCTCACATACACCGACACATACTTTATTATCCTCAAGGACATGCAGATCTCAGGCAACATACAATATATAATACAATACTTCATACAATATTTCACACAGTACATCATAGAATATGTAATATAATGCATAACATAAATTTGTAGTGAAGCGTTGAATAGCCATATGGCATGTGGTACAAACTACTTTGAGTCGGCATACTCGGACATACTCTGCATGCTAGCTGGTAACACATGTACGCATGTACACGCGCACACGCACACATGCAGACACACATGCTAGCGGGTACCTCACACACTCACCATGTTTGCAGGTACTTGAGATTGTTCTAATATAATAATGAGTTTGTAAATGTTTTTTTCTCAGAACCCAACGATGAGAGCGGTGCCAACGTGGACGCGTCCAAGATGTGGCGTGAGGACCGGGAGCAGTTCTACAGACTGGCTCAGAGCATCGTGCGCAAGTCCCTAGGCTTTTAACACCGGACCCGACTGGACTGGACTGGCACCACATGTGGTCCCACTGTGAAACACCTCTGTACACAGAAGCTCTGAAACCCCACTTTACTGCTGGGCTGTTTGAGTAATATCTCCTAGTAGGGTTGCCAAAAGTATCGAAAATGAAGTACAAATCGATACTAAAACTAGTATCGAAACTAGATACTCATTTTTCACAGGTATCGATACTAAAATAAAAGTCCCATTCACAGGACAGAATTGTACCTTTCCTGAATATCTTTAGAATGATGTTGAGCTGTATCAGAACAAGTAGAAGACACATCGACTAGTACACACACATGGACCAACGTGAACCTACTGGACCTCTGAGGATCACACACATATAAGACACATGGGAACAGAACAGAAAGTACTACCCGTTAATGTTGAAAATCACATTCTATTGTCTAAAGAAAGTTTTACAGAAATGTTAGTATTGTGATCAATCTCCTAGACCCCAACTGAAGTGTCCCATGTTTGTCAGAGAAACGCCAGCAGCCCACCTAATGAATCTAAACTGCATACTGACGTGATATAGACTGACTTGAAAACCCATTGTGTAATGTGATCCGTGCTTCTATCTGAAGGCTGTGATCCTCCTTCAGCTCTTTCACAGCATGGTCAGAGGAGGGCGCTGTTTGGGGAGACGATGGTATCCCAATGAAAAGACTAAATAAATAGGAGAGGATATGGGAGGTGAGGTGTGGGTGGGGAGGGGTTGGGGCAGGCCAGGCACTTAACCGCACCTTCTCTTGCACTTTACATCTCTGTGTCTAAGGCTTGACCCACTGCTTTGAGTTAAGGTTTAAATAAAGTATTTATCAATACAAACTTGTCTTTTGCTGCTTTTGTCATTTTAGCTCAGATGCCCTCCCTCCATCTGAAATGCACATCTCTTGTTTACTGCAAGCTGAAGTGGGTAGTACTCAGTTGCATTAACTTTTAAAAGACATTGTCCGGTATTTTTCTAACGGCATACTTTAAGTATATAATAATACATTTATTTTTATGATTATTTTGTATTAAGTTATATTTTTACTGTTTAAGTAACAGTACTCTTGAGTAAAAGCTGTGCTTCCTCTCCAAAAGTGACAAAAGCTTTGTGATCTGAAATGATTTGAACATTTGAGTTTCTTGCAGCTCCTTCGGATCTCATTTAGCTTGTGTCATTTTTGTGTCTGGCCATTGCTTGAGGATTTTAAATTACATTCACTTCAATTAAAAATCACGTTCGTCAGTTACATGCCAAGAGTCTTAAGTTACTCTTAGTATTTGGGAAAACTCTAGTAGTTTTCCCAAATATTTTTTTACTCTTACTTGCACCACTACTTTGTGCTTCTATGTGAGGAGTATTGTTTGGAGGAACGTCACTAGGGCTGTAGGACTTTATTCTTAAAAGGAAGGGTGAGTGAGTGAGGGAGTTAGCTGAAGATTTGGTACTTTTTAGTATTTCGATGTAAAAATTAAACTCATGATTCACATGTTGAATCTGTCTTTATATAAATACATTGTTTCCTGGTACTTTTTTCTGCATAAACAGAAGTTTTTGCATGAACTCCCTCTGCAGGTGGTGTCTTGTGAGTGCAGTTTGGGTCAGATATACAGAGAATTTCTTAGAATCTAATTCTTTTGAGAGGGGGGGGGGGTAGTGTGTGTACATAGGGACGTCTAGAAAGCTTTTGTCCTCAAGTGCCCTTCTCATGTTTGCCTTTCACTCTTCACTCACTTTTCTATTGACTTGAGCAATTCTTCGATGCTAAAAAAAAAGGCGCGCTTTGTCTGTTTGTCTCCATCCGGTCCAGTGTGCACGACTTCAGGTGAAGCAGGGAGTGTTTTGTGAAGGAGAGTTCATACATCAGCTTTATTACAATACTTTGTAGTGTGCGAATCCTGAAGGGCACAAACGTGGGTCTACTGCACACTGTCATTGTGTCTTTAGGCAAGACACACACCTGGCCTAGTATAAAAGTTTCAGTTTCTTTCCCTTTGCTCCCTATGCTAAGTCACTCCCCTTTCAGAGCGCTATCACAACACAATCTCTAATGAAACCACTGCACATCGCATCAGCTTTGTCAACTTGTTGTGTACAGTTTTGTATAATGTTTTTGTGTATTTATGGAGATTTGTTGTGTGGGAGCATGGGGGGCATAGACTTGTGGGCGGAGCCTTGCACAGAATCTTACTGCTAACTGTAAGAGATTGTTAAAATACTCAAACATGCATGTATATCAAACCTCTTCAGGCATGTATTAATGAGAGAACAATATTATAACATGGAGTCATTAGGTATTTTTCATGAAAATAGCTGAAATGTGAATTAGTAAATAGTTTTTATTGGCTGACAAATGGGAGTTGGTGGCTCTTGAACTGTGTGGTTTAGGGGTGGGGCTTAGAACAGACCACACCTCCTCCCTCCCCTCACATAGCTCTCACCTGAGTGCACACAGGTCAGGAGCACACCTGAACACACACACACACTCACAGGAGACAGAGACAGAGGAGACAGGGCTGATAGGACGGCACACAGGAGGTAGAGACAGCAGAGCAGAGGAACAAGGTGGGAAAGGGGACAAGGCTGAGGACAGTAAAGACACAAGGACAGAGGACAGAACACAGAGGAGACAATACTGAGGACAGCTAAAAGAGGAGGCAACAGAGAAAACGAGACTCAGAGGACAACTCTGAGAAGACTGAGAGGACTGAGGACAGCCAAGAGTTGAGACAGCATAGGAGACAACAGAGAGGACAGCAGAGAAGACGAGGCTGAGAAGAGTCCACAGAGACAGGAGACCTATCTGTGGACTCTACCTGGATATATAATATACTTTTGAAAGTGTTGGTGTGGCTGTGCTTCAGGAGTGAGTGTGAAGATGCAGCTGTGATGGTTCTTCAGCAGATCCAGGAGTTTGTGAGAGAGGAGCAGTTCTCTGGAGCAGCCTGTCCTCAGAGCAGAGCAGGTGGGACTTTTAACCACTCAGTATTTGAAGGTCTTATACACACACACGGACTCTTGTGAGCTTTAAGCCATGCTAGAATGTTGGACAGACCTGGAGTTGTGTTTTGTTTCATTCACACATTTTTAAGTGACTCTTTATTATTTGTCTGTCTACATCTCAAAGCTCAATATGCTCTGTTCCACCTTGTGATGTCATGAAGCAGTAGTTTTCAAGTGAACAGCTCCTTTTCACTTTAGTTCAGTACAGATCAGCAATTCCAGAGCTGAAATTATCCAAATGATTCTAGTGAAGGTATGTGGAATTTAAAAAAGCAGTGGAGCACTTCCTGTATTATACCACATGACATCACAAAGTGGAACAGAGTGTTCAGTTTGAGAGAAGAGCTCAACCTAAATGTGCAGGGTTTGTGTGTTAAACGTGTGAATGAAACAAAATACAGGAAACAATATTAGAACATAGATCAGAAAACAGCTCAATATGGGCTCTTTTAAAAGCTGCATTGTGTAACTTTTCCGGCACTTACTTTTCTCCATGGAGATGTTATTGCTTTGTCTAAAATGTACCACAGTATAGAGTAAACCTGTCACCAGGGAGACGAGCAGGTTGTAACACTACGTTACATTACAAATCAGATCTGTGGAGAGTCGCTCCTGTTCACAGAAGGAACTTTGGAGCAACAGAGACTTATGTGATGAATAAAGGTGACATGGATTTGTTAATGTCATACCATGGAACATTTTAGACAAAACAATAGTATCTCCATGGAGACAAGCAGGTGAAGGACCCTCCACCAGAAAAGTTACACAATGCACCTTTAAAGAAAAATAAACAGTCTATTGCATGTGTTTGTTTTGTAAAGGTGTCGTGGTCCATGACACTGGTGCGTGCTCCTGCTGCAAACCAGAGCTGAGGAGCTGAGGAAGAGAGAGGAAGAGCGGGGCTGAGGAGGAGAGCAAGAGCGGAGCTGAGGAGGAAAGGAAGAGAGGAGCTGAGGAGCTGAGCAAGAGAGGGTCTGAGGAGGAGAGGGGCTGAGGAGAAGAAGAAGAGAGGAGCCTGAGGAGGAAAGGCAGTCAGAGGAGCCTGAGGAGGCTGAGGAGACTGAGGAGCTGAGGAGCCCTAGAAGGCTGAGGGGTCTGAAGAGCCTGAGGAGGAGAGGGGTCTGAGGAGACTGAGGAGGCTGAGGAGGAGAGGGGTTTGAGGAGCTGAGGAGGAGAGGGGTCTGAGGGGGGTTGCAGGCAGGGCCCTGGTGTACACACCAGTGATGAGGGCCACGGGAGCCGGGCGCAGCTGAGGACCCCCATGTCAGAGCAGGATGTGGGCTTCCAGAGGCCTGCTGCTGCTGCTGCTGCTGGGACTGTTACTGCTGTGGAGCTCTGGGGCCCTGGAGCTGAGCTGGAGGCCCTGCACAGGTATCACACACAGGATTTACTCTGTATATTTTAACAAAAATGTGTTGTGTGTATATGTGTGTGTGTGTTGTGTGTATGTGTGTGCGTCATGTGCATATTGTGTATATGTGTGTGCGTTGTGTGTGTATATGTGTATGCGTCATGTCTGTTGTGTGTATGTGTGTGTGTCTGCATCATTGTGTGTGCATTGTGTGTATATGTGTGTGTGTCGTGTATATGTGTGTGTGTGCGTCGTGGTCACATTTTTCTATAGCGCTTTTCCACCTTCAAGGCTCTCTAAGTGCTTTACAACAAGGAAGTGTACACAGACACTAGGGGCAAGGTGGGTTAAGTGTCTTGCCCAAGGACACAACAGCAACATTCATCTGGGGGAGATGGAATCACACCAGCCAACCTGTGGGTCAGTGGATTTGACTGCTCAACTCGTGATGTTTATGTCGAGAGCTGGATTCAACCCACCAACCTTCAGATCAGTGGACGAACACTCTACCAACTGAGCTACTGCCTCCCATGTCGTGTGTGTGAGTTGTGTGTATATGGGTGCGCGTCGTGTGTGTGGTGTATATGTGTGTGTGTTGTGTGTGTATGTGTGTGCATCGTGTGTGTGCAGTGTATATATGTGTGTTTTGTGTGTGTATATGTGTATGCGTCGTGTGTGTTGTGTGTATATGTGTGTGCGTTCTGCGTATATATGTGCGTCATTGTGCGTTCTGCATATATATGTGCATTGTTGTGCATTCTGTGTGTTATTGTGCGTTCCGTGTGTATGTGTGTGTGTCGTTGTGCGTTCTGTGTGTATGTGTGCGTTGTGTGTGTGTGTATGTGTGCGTTGTTGTGTGTATGTGTATGTGCGTGTGTGCGTGTGTGTCGTGTGTGTGTTGTGTGTTGTGTGTATATGTGTGTGCGTTCTGTGTGTATGTGTGTCGTTGTGCGTTCTGTGTATATGTGTGCATTGTTGTGCGTTCTGTGTGTATATGTGTGCGTCATTGTGCGTTTTGTGTGTATGTGTGTCATGCATTCTGTGTGTATGTGTGTGTCGTTGTGCGTTCTGTGTGTATGTGTGTGTCGTTGTGCGTTCTGTGTATATGTGTGTGCCGTGTGTGTGTTATGTGTATGTGTGTTGTTGTGCGTTCTGTGTGTATATGTGTGTATCATTGTGCGTTCTGTGTGTATGTGTGCGTCGTGTGTGTGCTGTGTATATGTGTGTTGTGTGTTCTGTGTGTATATGTGTGTGTCGTTGTGCGTTCTGTGTGTATATGCGTGCATTGTTGTGCGTTCTGTGTGCATGTGTGCGTTGTGTGTGTTGTGTATATGTGTGTTGTTGTGCGTTCTGTGTGTATGTGTGTGTTGTGTGTATGTGTGTCGTTGTGCGTTCTGTGTGTATGTGTGTCATTGCGCGTTCTGTGTGTATGTGTTGTTGTGCGTTCTGTGTGTATGTGTGTGTGTCGTGTGTGTGTTGTGTGTATGTGCGTCATTGTGCGTTCTGTGTGTATGTGTGTCATTGTGCGTTCTGTGTGTATATGTGTTGTTGTGCGTTTTGTGTGTATGTGTGCATCGTTGTGCGTTCTGTGTGTATGTGTCGTGCGTTTTGTGTGTATGTGTGTCGTGCGTTCTGTGTTTATATGTGTGCGTCGTTGTGCGTTCTGTGTGTATGTGTGCATCATTGTGCGTTCTGTGTGTATGTGTGTTGTTGTGCGTTCTGTGTGTATATGTGTTGTGCGTTTTGTGTGTATGTGTGCATCATTGTGTGTTCTGTGTGTATGTGTGTTGTTGTGCGTTCTGTGTGTATGTGTGCATCATTGTGTGTTCTGTGTGTATGTGTGTTGTTGTGCGTTCTGTGTGTATGTGTGCATCATTGTGTGTTCTGTGTGTATGTGTGTTGTTGTGCGTTCTGTGTGTATATGTGTTGTTGTGCGTTTTGTGTGTATGTGTGCATCATTGTGCGTTGTTGTTGTGTGTGTGTGTGTGTGTTGTGCGTTTTGTGTGTATGTGTGCATCATTGTGTGTTCTGTGTGTATGTGTGTTGTTGTGCGTTCTGTGTGTATGTGTGTTGTTGTGCGTTCTGTGTGTATATGTGTGCGTCATTGTGCGTTTTGTGTGTATATGTGTATGTGTGTCGTTGTGCTTTCTGTGTGTATATGTGTGCGTCGTGCGTCCTGTGTGTATGTGTGTTGTTGTGCGTCCTGTGTGTATGTGTGTCGTGCGTCCTGTGTGTATATGTGTGCGTCGTTGTGCGTCCTGTGTGTATGTGTGTATGTGTGTCGTTGTGCGTTCTGTGTGTATATGTGTGCGTCGTGCGTCCTGTGTGTATGTGTGTTGTTGTGCGTCCTGTGTGTATGTGTGTATGTGTGTCGTGCGTCCTGTGTGTATATGTGTGCCTCATTGTGCGTTCTGTGTGTATATGTGTATGTGTGTCATTGTGCGTTCTGTGTGTATATGTGTGCGTCGTGCGTCCTGTGTGTATGTGTGTCGTGTGTCCTGTGTGTATGTGTGTGTGTTCTGTGTTGTATGTGTGCGTCCTGTGTGTATGTGTGTCGTGCGTCCTGTGTGTATGTGTGTCGTTGTGCGTCCTGTGTGTATGTGTGTTGTTGTGCGTCCTGTGTGTATATGTGTGCGTTGTTGTGCGTTCTGTGTGTATGTGTGTCGTTGTGCGTTCTGTGTGTTGTTGTGTGTCGTTGTGCATTGTGTGTGTGTATGTGTATATGTGTGCATCGTTGTGCGTTCTGTGTGTATGTGTGTGTCGTTGTGAGTCCTGTGTGTATGTGTGTCGTTGTGCGTCCTGTGTGTATATGTGTGTGTCGTTGTGCGTCCTGTGTGTATGTGTGTTGTTGTGCGTCCTGTGTGTATGTGTGTGTGTCGTTGTGCGTCCTGTGTGTATGTGTGTATGTGTGTGTCGTTGTGTGTCGTGTGTGCTGTGTGTGTGTATGTGTGTGTCGTTGTGCGTCCTGTGTGTATATGTGTGTGTCGTTGTGCGTCCTGTGTGTATATGTGTGTGTCGTTGTGCGTCCTGTGTGTATGTGTGTCGTTGTGCGTCCTGTGTGTGTGTGTCGTTGTGCGTCCTGTGTGTATGTGTGTATGTGTGTGTCGTTGTGCGTCCTGTGTGTATATGTGTGTGTCGTTGTGCGTCCTGTGTGTATATGTGTGTGTCGTTGTGCGTCCTGTGTGTATGTGTGTCGTTGTGCGTCCTGTGTGTATGTGTGTCGTGCGTCCTGTGTGTATATGTGTGCGTCGTTGTGCGTCCTGTGTGTATGTGTGTATGTGTGTCGTTGTGCGTTCTGTGTGTATATGTGTGCGTCGTGCGTCCTGTGTGTATGTGTGTTGTTGTGCGTCCTGTGTGTATGTGTGTATGTGTGTCGTGCGTCCTGTGTGTATATGTGTGCCTCATTGTGCGTTCTGTGTGTATATGTGTGTGTCGTTGTGCGTCCTGTGTGTATGTGTGTCGTTGTGCGTCCTGTGTGTATGTGTGTCGTGCGTCCTGTGTGTATATGTGTGCGTCGTTGTGCGTCCTGTGTGTATGTGTGTCGTTGTGCGTTCTGTGTGTATATGTGTGCGTCGTGCGTCCTGTGTGTATGTGTGTTGTTGTGCGTCCTGTGTGTATGTGTGTCGTGCGTCCTGTGTGTATATGTGTGCCTCATTGTGCGTTCTGTGTGTATATGTGTATGTGTGTCATTGTGCGTTCTGTGTGTATATGTGTGCGTCGTGCGTCCTGTGTGTATGTGTGTTGTTGTGCGTCCTGTGTGTATGTGTGTCATTGTGCGTTCTGTGTGTATATGTGTGCGTCGTTGTGCGTCCTGTGTGTATGTGTGTTGTTGTGCGTCCTGTGTGTATGTGTGTATGTGTGTCGTGCGTCCTGTGTGTATATGTGTGCGTCGTTGTGCGTCCTGTGTGTATGTGTGTCGTTGTGCGTCCTGTGTGTATGTGTGTATGTGTGTCGTTGTGCGTCCTGTGTGTGTGTATGTGTGTTGTTGTGCGTCCTGTGTGTATATGTGTGCGTTGTTGTGCGTTCTGTGTGTATGTGTGTCGTTGTGCGTTCTGTGTGTTGTTGTGTGTCGTTGTGCATTCTGTGTGTATATGTGTGCGTCGTTGTGCGTTCTGTGTGTATGTGTGTGTCGTTGTGAGTCCTGTGTGTATATGTGTCGTTGTGCGTCCTGTGTGTATATGTGTGTGTCGTTGTGCGTCCTGTGTGTATGTGTGTTGTTGTGCGTCCTGTGTGTATGTGTGTGTGTCGTTGTGCGTCCTGTGTGTATGTGTGTGTCGTTGTGTGTCCTGTGTGTATATGTGTGTGTCGTTGTGCGTCCTGTGTGTATATGTGTGTGTCGTTGTGCGTCCTGTGTGTATATGTGTGTGTCGTTGTGCGTCCTATGTGTATGTGTGTCGTTGTGCGTCCTGTGTGTGTGTGTCGTTGTGCGTCCTGTGTGTATGTGTGTATGTGTGTGTCGTTGTGCGTCCTGTGTGTATATGTGTGTGTCGTTGTGCGTCCTGTGTGTATATGTGTGTGTCGTTGTGCGTCCTGTGTGTATGTGTGTCGTTGTGCGTCCTGTGTGTATGTGTGTCGTTGTGCGTCCTGTGTGTATGTATGCGTCGTTGTGCGTTCTGTGTTGTTGTGTGTCCTTGTGCGTTCTGTGTGTTGTGTGTTGTGTGTGCGTTGTGTTCTGTGTGTGTGTTGTCGTGTGCGTGTGTGTGTCGTTGTGTGTCGTTGTGTTCTGTGTGTTGTGTGTCGTTGTGTGTCGTTGTGCGTTCTGTGTGTCGTTGTGTGTCTGTCGTGTGTCGTTGTGTGTCTGTGTGTTGTGTGTCGTTGTGTCGTTCGTGTGTGTCGTTGTGTCGTTGTGCGTGTGTGTCGTTGTGTGTCGTTGTGTGTGTCGTTCTGTGTGTTGTGCGTTCTGTGTGTTGTGTGTCAATGTGCGTTCTGTGTGTTGTTGTGTGTCGTTGTGCGTTCTGTGTGTTGTTGTGTGTCGTTGTGCGTTCTGTGTGTTGTTGTGTGTCGTTGTGCGTTCTGTGTGTGTTGTGTGTCGTTGTGCGTTGTGCGTTCGTGTGTTGTTGTGTGTCGTTGTGCGTTCTGTGTGTCGTGTGTCGTTGTGTGTCGTTGTGCGTTCTGTGTGTCGTGTGTCGTTGTGTGTCGTTGTGCGTTCTGTGTGTCGTTGTGCGTTCTGTGTGTCGTGTCGTGTGTGTCGTTGTGTGTCGTTGTGTGTCGTTGTGCGTTCTGTGTGTTGTTGTACTTTCTGTGTGTTGTTGTGTGTCAATGTGCGTTCTGTGTGGTGTTGTGTGTCGTTGTGCGTTCTGTGTGTTGTGTGTCGTTGTGCGTTCTGTGTGTTGTGTGTGTCATTGTGCGTTCTGTGTGTCGTGTGTGTTGTGTGTCGTTGTGTTGTGCGTTCTGTGTGTCGTTGTGTGTGTCGTGTGCGTTCTGTGTGTGTGTTTCTGTGTGTTGTGTGTGTCGTTGTGTTTGTGGTGTCGTTGTTCTGTGTGTTGTGTGTTGTGCGTTCTGTGTGTTGTGTGTCGTTGTGCGTTCTGTGTGTTGTTGTGTGTCGTTGTGCGTTCTGTTGTTGTGTGTCGTTGTGCGTTCTGTGTGTTGTTGTGTGTCGTTGTGTCGTTCTGTGTGTTGTTGTGTCGTTGTGCGTTCTGTGTGTTGTTGTGTGTCGTTGTGCGTTCTGTGTGTTGTGCTTTCTGTGTGTCGTTGTGTGTCGTTGTGTGTCGTTGTGCGTTCTGTGTGTTGTGCTTTCTGTGTGTCGTTGTGTGTCGTTGTGCGTTCTGTGTGTTGTGCTTTCTGTGTGTTGTTGTGTGTCGTTGTGCGTTCTGTGTGTTGGTGTGTGTCGTTGTGCGTTCTGTGTGTCGTTGTGTGTCGTGCGTTCTGTGTGTTGTGCTTTCTGTGTGTCGTTGTGTGTTGTTGTGCGTTCTGTGTGTTGTGTGTTCGTTGTGCTTGTGTGTTGTTGTGTGTCGTTGTGCGTTCTGTGTGTTGTGTGTGTTGTGTTGTGTGTCGTTGTGTCGTTCTGTGTGTTGTGTGTGTGTGTCGTTGTGCGTTCTGTTTGTTGTGTGTCGTGTGTTCTGTGTGTGTTGTGTGTGTTGTGTCGTTGTGTGTCGTTGTGTTCTGTTGTGTGTGTGTGTCGTTGTGCGTTCTGTGTGTCGTTGTGTGTCGTGTGTTCTGTGTGTTCTGTGTGTCGTTGTGCGTTCTGTGTGTTGTGCGTTTCTGTGTGTGTTGTGTGTCGTGTTCGTTGTGTGTGTGTCGTGTGCGTTCTGTGTGTTGTTGTGTGTCGTTGTGCGTTCTGTGTGTTGTGTGTCGTTGTGCGTTCTGTGTGTTGTGCTTTCTGTGTGTTGTTGTGTGTCGTTGTGCGTTCTGTGTGTTGTTGTGTGTCGTTGTGCGTTCTGTGTGTTGTGTGTGTCGTTGTGCGTTCTGTGTGTTGTTGTGTGTCGTTGTGCGTTCTGTGTGTTGTTGTGTGTCGTTTGTGTGTCGTTTGTGTGTCGTTGTGCGTTCTGTGTGTTGTGCTTTCTGTGTGTCGTTGTGTGTCGTTGTGCGTTCTGTGTGTTGTGCTTTCTGTGTGTTGTTGTGTGTCGTTGTGCGTTCTGTGTGTTGTTTGTGTGTTGTGTGTGTGCGTTGTGCGTTCTGTGTGTCGTTGTGTGTGGTTCGTGTGTTGTGTGTTGTGTGTGTGTCGTTGTGTGTTTCTGTGTGTTGTTGTGTGTCGTTGTGCGTTCTGTGTGTTGTTGTGTGTCGTTGTGCGTTCTGTGTGTTGTTGTGTGTCGTTGTGCGTCCTCTGATCTCTGATGGGTTTGAAGCTGTACAGTGTGTCTGTCTGTTGGCTCATGCGGGGACATCTTATTTGTTTTTGAAGCTGTAAAGTGTCTGGAAGTGTCTGTGTGTGTGTGCGTGTGCGCGTGTGTGTGTGCGCGCATGTGTGTGTGTGCGCGTGTGTGTGTGTGTGTGCATATGTGTTAAGTGTTTTGTAAGTCTGTGTGTGTGTGTGTGTGTGTGTGTACATGTCTGGTGGCTCATGCGGGGATGACTTTGAGGCGGTTGTGTTTGAAACGTGAGCCGGGAGCCTCCCTTCATTCATCCTCAAGCAAACAGCCGCAAGAGGGGAATCCCCACAGTGTTCCTTTTACCATCACGCAACACCACCAACATGAGAGCTGAACAACATCACACGACAACAACAAAAGAGACCAATAACAAACTGACAGAAAGTGGATACACTTCTGCTGATGAACCACATGAAAATGCTTAATCTCTGTTGCGCTCCACAGACCTGCTGCCTCTGGATTTGTTAGTCCGAGTCGTCCCTCCGCCTTCACAAGCTCCGCCCTCACAGGTAAATGAGCGAACGCTACGCCCGTGTAATCCTCAGTGCTGTCACGTTCTCTGTGCTCCTCCAGATACACATGGTCCAATCCCGAGGCTCCAGAGGTCTGCGGGTGTCTGCTCCGCTCAGCTTCTCCGCTGCTCTGCTCTTCACTCACTGTGAGCACTTCCCAGAGGAGTTCTCGCTTGTGGTCACGTTCAAGCTCCAGCAGCTCAGGCCTAAGGTGAGGCCAAAGCCAAAGTGTGTGAGCGGGCGTGTCTCCAACAGCTCCATGGGTCTGCCTGTTCTTAACTTGATCAAATAAATGTACAGGGACTGTATGGAGCCTGTGCCCTCAGTTTTAAAAAGGTTTTCCAATCACAAGTGAACCTGTGCAGCCAGAGCCTGAGCCACGTCCCAGTTTTTCATGACTGGTGCAGGTGCTGGGGTTTAGGGAGTGACCGTTCAGACCAGAGAGAAGCATTTTACATTTAAACACACTGGATTTCACCGTTGGACATGGCAACGGAGATGAGAGAGTCATGTGAGGCTCTTTCTGCTTTCTGATTGGAGAATTATCTTAACAACCAACACAACAAATTATAACATCAGCTACTTGGCCATCAGGCCCAGTGTTGTTGTAATTAAGAATGAATCAGCTTTACTAAATACAAGTGTTAGGAGAGTTACTCTGCCATCCAAAGGCAAAAGATCTTAACTGTCCAGAGAGTGAAACTGAGAAAAATGACTTCAAAGTTTCTGTTTTGTCCAAACAAAAGTATAACAGGCAGGGCTCCCAAAATTCGACTTGTCGCTATAATGAAGAAATATTTGTATGTGAAAAATATTGAGCTCTAAAATGACTTTTGACCTTATTTGTCAGTTCCTCTTCTCTGTCTTTGTGCCATGAGCTAAAAATACGTTTTTGTGCAAAGACAAAAGGCAGAAACTGACCTGATCATGATTTGTTTGATTTTCTTCAGACTTCCATCCACTCTAATAAAACCCCGTCACCAAGCTCCAGTCATCATGTGTTGGATTTCCTGTTTAGTGTTGATCAGGATCATGCGGTGACACTTACACACTTAAACAGTTTGACACAAGTGACTTTGTACTTGTGTACAGTTTGAATAAATACACACAATACTTTCACATTAAAGATCATTAAAGTATAACTGAATAAAAAGGTTTATTTACTGAATCTGTTCAGACCCTGAGCCAAGGCCGCAACAAAAAGAAGGAGGACAGAGGATGGATTTTAAAATAAAATCTATTTAAGAAATAAATGACAAACAGAACACACACTGTTTCTGCCTTTTGCTTTTGTACGACTTCTTATTTTTGTCTCATGATACAAAGGCAGAGAACAGGAACTGACAAATAAGGTCAAAGGTCAATTTTGAGCTCAGTATTTTTCAGGATATTTCTTCACATGATAAAGGAGCTCTCACATACAAACAACATGAAATGAAATAATTTTGCTCCAAACATGATGTGATGCTGTTCTGCCTTTGTCGGGCAGTGCTGTATATTTAATCATGTTTACCTTGTATCTGGAGGGTTTTTTTCTTACTGCAGTTCTACCAAGACCTGGTTAGTAAACCTGTCCCGAGGCACTTAACCGTATCCAGATGACCCATTATCCTCACCCTGACTTACACGTGTGCTCTTTTGTCTGTCTTCCTACTCTTCTTGCTTGTTCTCAGAGAAATGAGTGGCTCTTGTCTCTGCTGGAGGAGGGCAGGGAGCGGCTGGAGGCCAGGCTGCTGTTGGGCCTGCGTGTGTCCAGGGACAGGCTGCACTTCCTGTTCCCTGAGGCGAGCAGCGGGCGCAGGCGGCGGGTCACGTTCAGGGAGGTGGCACTGGACGACGCCCGCTGGCACACCCTGAGCCTGGCCGTGACGGGGCACTACTTCAGCCTGACTGTGGACTGTGGGCTGCCTCTGGAGATGTGAGTACAGACAGAAGAGCAGACGCACAGAGGAGCATCTTTAACAGTGTTTCATTTAAACGTGTGTGTAGAAAGCAGAGCCGGGCCTTCCCCAGTGCACTCAGCACCAGAGGAGCACGATTCTATGTCGGCAGCGGTGGGCAACACAGGGGCCTTTTCTCTGTAAGTGCAATTTCAGGTCTTAGCTTGGTAGATTAGTAGTAGTTTTTATTTCTTCATTTCATTTTCAACTGACTCTTGTCATCGTAGATGTACGTGTTTGTGCCAGTTCAATTTCTTTTCTCTGAATGTTGTTGTTGTTGTTGTTGTAAATTTCCTGGTAGAAAGTGTGTTAGTACACTGACTTTTATCAGTCACTCAGTATGACTTCATTTGTCCCTGAGGGCCAGTTTAAGGACACTGAGCAGTAAAATACAATAATAATAGAAAAAGGAAAACAAACGGCTCAGATCACACACATCCAGTAGTCCTTAATTCTGTACATGCTGCATTTCTTAGTTCACAAATTATTAAACAAAAACTGTAAGATAAAATGTTTAAAGTTTAAAAAATAAATGCTCAGTGTGCCTGCCAGTCAGCCACAATAGTAGCCAGTAATTATATAGTGTTCCCTCATCATTCTCTTACCTAGAGTGGAATTATTTTGAGTGATTTTGTTCATACATACAGCAGATACTTCTCCTCAGTAGAAATGCAGGTGTCCAGTAGTAAACACATCATGTGTGTGATGTTCTCCTGCTTTTGACACTTGAGGACTCTGAAAAACAGTTGGTTTTCCCACACCCTTCATTGCTGTTGGACCAGCAAAATCCATTTTTGACCTTTCCACTAAGTTCTAATGTTCCCTCCTCACACACATGCCTGCAGAGGTTTTTAGGTGTCACCTATGCATGTTTAAGTAATTTAGCAGTCTCTCTATAGGCCCTATATGAACCCTCCTTATGGTTAGCTGTAAAATTCTGTGCAATTTTCCACCCAAAAGTCTCCATTGTCCACGCTCCCACACAACACATCTCCATAAACATACAACAGCATGACACAAAACGACACAACTTGACAAACCTGATGTGACATGCAGGAGTTTCATTAGCAGGATGCTCGCTGCTTTTGTTGTGTTAGTGCTCTGAAGGACTCATAGTATCATAAATGAAAGTGAAACATGTTGATATGTTGTTTTGTGTGAATATACAGTAGCTCAGTTGGTTGAGTGTTCGTCCACTGATCCCAAGGTTGATGGTTTGAAACCAGCTTCCACAGATTAATGCTGTTATTGTGTCCTTGGGCAAAACGTGCCTCCACTGTGTGTGTGCACTGGTGTGTGGTGTGTGTGTGGTGTGTGTGAATGGGTGAGTTGTTCCTTGATGTAAAGCACTCTGTAAAGCACCCACACATGTGTAAGACCTCCTCTTTAAGGGAGACTTGGTCAGAACTTTAGCTGGAGAACCTGTTTCTAGTATTATGTGATTTTTATGTCAACATTACAAAATGTATTGTATTTCTTTGACCTCCATTAGCTGTGCACAGCTATTCTTCCTGGAGTCAGTGACCTATGGTGCATGTTTTTGGGTTGTAAAATACCACAGATAAAGTGTCTGCTCCGTACGTCTGCTACTATAGACTGTATAAAGAAGTGGACTAGGCCAGTGTGACATCACCCACAGCGTTCAGCGCCGCTCAGGGGGTTCTATCATGAACAGAATTTGTAGCTGTAGCTCTCCACCCGCCTCCAAGTAGCTCAACCAAGACATTTCTGAATTATATGCATTGCGCTCAATAAGTAAAATCTGATGTAATTTTAATGCCTATCCTGTGAACTAATAAATGGACAATAGTTTATATTTAATAGACATCTAACTGCCCCTGTTTAAGACTCGCCATAGCTCTTCTACTTTCACTATTTCTTTTGACTGCTACAGTGAGAAGCTCTCTGGCATTTTTGTTTTAGCTCACCAGAGGAAACAGGTTGGAGACCTCTGACCTACAGTGTGTCTTTTCTATTTCTACATGATGTGATGGGTGTGTCCAGGGCCTGCTCCGACAGCTGGTCCTGCTCCCCGGCTCAGATGCCTCTCTCCAGCTGTGCCCCTCCTCTGACCCCTCTGTGTCCGAGCTCTCTGTCCCCCCAGCGCTGAAGACCAGACCAGTACAAACACAGGGCAAGGCCTACCCCTATGGTGAGTCACCTCCACACTCTGTCCCTCTGTCCCTGCTGACCCCCCTCTGTCCCTGCAGACCCCCCCTCTGTCTCTGCAGACCCCCCCTCTGTCCCTGCAGACCCCCCTCTGTCTCTGCTGACCCCCCTCTGTCTCTGCTGACCCCCCTCTGTCCATGCAGACCCCCCCTCTGTCCCTGCAGACCCCCCTCTGTCTCTGCAGACCCCCCTCTGTCTCTGCAGACCCCCTCTGTCTCTGCTGACCCCCCTCTGTCTCTGCTGACCCCCTCTGTCCCTGCAGACCCCCCCCTCTGTCCCTGCTGACCCCCCTCTGTCCCTGCAGACCCCCCCTCTGTCCATGCTGACCCCCCTCTGTCCCTGCAGACCCCCCCCCTCTGTCCCTGCAGACCCCCCCTCTGTCCCTGCAGACCCCCCCCTCTGTCCATGCTGACCCCCTCTGTCTCTGCTGACCCCCCTCTGTCCCTGCAGACCCCCCCCCCTCTGTCCCTGCAGACCCCCCCCTCTGTCCCTGCTGACCCCCCTCTGTCCCTGTAGGCGTGCTCTGACTCCTGTGTGCTTGTAGAGGCTGAGGTGCGGGTCACGGGTGGGACCAGACCTGCCTGCACAGGGCTGGAGGAGGGACAGCTGTGGTTCAACACTGGCCTCAAAGCACTGTACCTGTGTGAGGGACTGGACTGGACCCCACTGCTGCACAGTAAGACTTTCACTTTTATTTAAAAAAAATATTTAAAAATGTTCTCAAGTAAGAGTAACGTTACCTCAAAATAATATTACTCAAGTAGAAGTACAAAGTAGAGGTCCAAGAAATTGCAATACATTTATTTTGTTGAAATTATGTTTATCATGTATCAGGAAAAAAATATGTTTCTTGCATATTGCTCGTATCCATAGTGGCTGTGCAAGATTCTAGCTAAAGGAGCACTGAACATTGAGATGGTGTAGGCTTTTTACACCATATGTGGCAGCAAATGTGGCAAAAGATCTTCAAGAGGAGACACTTTGAGAGAATGGACCCTTTCATCATTGAGTGAAACACCAGAGCGGAGTAAGAACGAGGCCTTTCCTGTTGTGTTCACCAGGCTCCCTCTGGACTCTGCTGTGATGCAGCAGGACACTGAGGAGGGACACTTTTGGCTTTTTCACAGGATCTGCTGACCCTCCCTGACCAGTCCTCCTGTTAAATTTGACTGAGACATAAACGAACGTGTTTGAGAGACTTGTTCTGGCTCAGCTCTACACTTTGTAAAGCAGTCCCATGTTAGTATGAACAAAGCTGTCATCTCTCTTCTGCAGCAGGCACACTCTCACCTGGATGGTGAGGATATTGTTTTTGGATTTCTCGAGTGCCTTTAACACAGTCAAGCCCTTTCTGATGAGTCACAAGCTGCTCAGGATGGTGTCAGCTCCTCCACTGTCTCCTGGATTACTGACTGTCAGGCAGGACTCAGTACGTGTGACAGGGAGCTCCCTGTCTGACACTGTGGTCAGTAATGTAGGAGCTTCCCAAGGTACAGTTCTGTTTCTGTTTCTGTTCACTCTGTACAGCTCTGATGTCCAGTACAGCTCCAGGTCCTGTCACCTGTGGAAGTTCTCTGATGACTCTGCAGTGGTTGAGTGTATCAGAGATGGACAGGAGCTGGACAACAGGACATTAATTGCAAAGTTTGTGGAGAGGTCCCAGACAAACCATCTACTCCTGAACGTTGACAAGACCAAAGAACTAGTGATTGAGAAAGAAGACACCAGTGGAGTCTATCACCATCCAGGACCATGATGTGGAAATAATGGACTACAACAAGAACCTTTGGTGTCCATGTCCAGTAGACTGGACTGGAGGGACAACAGTAAAGTTGTGTCCTGAGAAAGTTCAGGTCTTTCAATGTGTGCAGCAAGTTCCTGGAGATCTTCTCTCAGTCTGTGGAGGCCAGTGCCCTGAACTTCACTGTGCCCTGCTGGAGGAACAGCTCCAGGAAACGACAAACTGATGTGTAAAGCTGCTCACGTGATCCACTGTGAGCTGGACACATTTGTCACAGTGAGGGACACGAGGACACTGGACAAACTGCTCTCCATCATGGACACTCCTGCTCACCCGCTGTACCAGAGGGACAGATAATACTCCCTACAACTGTACAACAGCTCACCCTTATGGAACAGATAACCCTATGTCCTGTCATCTTTCATCATCACACACACAGTTTTTCCTTTCAGCTTCTCTTATATAACTGTGACACATGTACATTTATATAATTATGTCTTATTTGACACCAGGCAATTTTTGCTATTTATTTAGAATTTATTATTTCCATTTATATTTGTTCTCTTTACATTATATTGTGATGTGCGAGCTACTGTGTCCAAATAATTTCTCTTGTGGATCAATAAAGTTTTTCTAAGAAGTACAGTGTAAATGCTGCTGCAAAACTGCAACTGTTTGCTTTGGTTAGAATTTTTCCCAAAACTCTCTACTTCCTGTAATAAATTTTTCAATCTTTTTCACAAATAGATCGGTGTAAAACTATAATTCATATTTAGAACAGATATTATTTCAATAAATGAAGTGCAAAAGGGGCCGTGGTGTAAGAGAGCAGGTGTGGGCAGGTGTGGTCAGGGGTGGTCAGGTGTGGTCAGGGGTGGTCAGGTGTGGTCAGGTGGTCAGGTGTGGGCAGGGGTGGTCAGGGGTGGTCAGGTGTGGGCAGGGGTGGTCAGGTGGGCAGGGATGGTCAGGTGTGGGCAGGGGTGGTCAGGTGTGGTCAGGGGTGGACAGGTGTGGTCAGGGGTGACAGGTGTGGTCAGGGGTGGACAGGTGTGGTCAGGGGTGGTCAAGGGTGGTCAGGTGTGGGCAGGTGTGAGCAGGTGTGGTCAGGGGTGGTCAGGTGTGGTCAGGGGTGGACAGGTGTGGTCAGGGGTGGACAGGTGTGGTCAGGGGTGGTCAAGGGTGGTCAGGTGTGGGCAGGTGTGAGCAGGTGTGGTCAGGGGTGGGCAGGGGTGGTCAGGTGTGGTCAGGTGTGGGCAGGTGTGGTCAGGGGTGGTCAGGTGTGGTCAGGTGTGGTCAGGGGTGGTCAGGTGTGGTCAGGTGTGGGCAGGTGTGAGCAGGGGTGGGCAGGTGTGAGCAGGTGTCACATGTGCTGGTGCTGTGCTGCAGGTCGACAGCGTCTGGACTACGTGGATGACTACCAGGACCTGTACACCAACTCTGAGAGCTTTGATGTGGAGGTCTTCACTATTCCCAATGAGGGGCTGTTCCTGGCCACAGCCAACAGGTAACACCACAGGACAGGTAACACCACAGAGAGGTGACACAGCATGACAGGTAACACTACAAGACAAATAACACCCAGAGACATGTGACATGGCAGGACAGGTGACACTTCAGGACAGGTAACACCCACAGAACAGGTGACACGACATGACAGGTAACACTACAAGACAAATAACACCCACAGACACGTGACATGGCATGACAGGTAACACTACAGGACAGGTAACACTACAGGACAGGTAACACCCACAGGCACGTGACACGGCATGACAGGTAACACTACAAGAACAGGTGACATGGCATGACAGGTAACACTACAAGACAGGTAACACCACAGGACAGGTAACACCACAGAGAGGTGACACAGCATGACCGGTAACACTACAAGACAAATAACAACCAGAGACATGTGACATGGCAGGACAGGTGACACTTCAGGACAGGTAACACCCACAGAACAGGTGACACGACATGACAGGTAACACTACAAGACAAATAACACCCACAGACACGTGACATGGCATGACAGGTAACACTACAGGACAGGTAACACCCACAGGCACGTGACACGGCATGACAGGTAACACTACAAGAACAGGTGACATGGCATGACAGGTAACACTACAAGAACAGGTGACATGGCATGACAGGTAACACTACAAGAACAGGTGACACCACAGGACAGGTAACACCACAGAGAGGTGACGCAGCATGACCGGTAACACTACAAGACAAATAACACCCAGAGACATGTGACATGGCAGGACAGGTGACACTTCAGGACAGGTAACACCCACAGAACAGGTGACACGACATGACAGGTAACACTACAAGACAAATAACACCCACAGACACGTGACATGGCATGACAGGTAACACTACAGGAATGGTAAAACCACAATACAGGTAACACTGCAGGACAGGTGACACAAGAGGACAGGTAACACCGCAGGACAGATAACACCACAGGACAGGTGACACCACAGGACAGATGACGCCACAGGACAGGTGACACCACAGGACAGGTGACAGGAGTGAGAGGTTTAGAGGTGTAAAGCATTTTCTGTGTTTCTTTCAGAGACTCGCGCTCTGGTTCAGGCATCTACAAGTGGATCCTGGGCTCCTTTCAGAAGTACCAGAACATCAGCACCCACGAAGCCCGCGCCTGGAAACACTTCTCCATCAGTGGCAAGGTACAGTCCTACAAGTCCCAGCATGCCCCTGTCTGCCCCTGTCACAGCCAGGTTTGCTTCACCTACAGACAGTCATATCATACAGTATATTTATGCACATTAGTCACACTCATTATTTCCAGAAGACAAGAGTGCAGGTGAATCAGAAACACATCAACTGTTTAGAGGTATCATTTAAAATCTCTTCTGTAGTTTACTTTAAAAAATATATGAAAAAAATTGTTTCAGCTGTGCATATTTGGGACACATTCGATTATGTATGGTATATAAAGTATGCATTATATGTGTATTTATTGTGTAGGCAAAAGTAAACAGAGAGAGTGTCCTAACTCTGACTGGAAACAAACACCATTATTACGACTAATTATCGATTACACTATATACATTAAAAGTCCTATATTATGCAATATTGACTCTTGTGGGTGTTTGTCCACTGATTCGAAGGTTGGTGGTTCAAATCCTGCTCTCAACATAAACATCATTGGTTGAGCGTCAGATCTATTGACTCAGAGGTTGGCAGTACGATTATAGCTCCCACAGATGAATGCAGTCATTGTGTCCTTGGGCAAGACACATTGCCCTCAGTGTGTGTGTACTTTGGTGTATGAATGTGTGTGTGGATGGGTGAGTGGCTTCTTGCTGTAGAGCACCTTGAAGGTGGAAAAGCGCTCTCTATTGAATGACCATTTATCATTCAAGTCATGTTCTAATGCTGTCTGTATGCTGCAGGTGTGCTGTTCAAAAACACACTTGGAGTTGTGTTTTGTTTCATTCACACGTTTGAGTCTACGCCAAGCTCAAAATGCTCTGTTCCTCATTGTGATGTCATGAAGTGGTAGTTTCAAGTGAACTGCTCCTCATACCTTTTGCTTGGCAGAGATTGGCAAGGGCTGAAATCTCATCCAAATGATTCTAGAGAAGATGTTTGGAGTTTAAAAATACAGTGGAGCACTTCCTGTATTACCACGATATCACAACATGGAGTGTTTTTGAGAGACGGTCTGAATGTGCAGGGTTTGTGTTAAACATGTGTGAGTGAAACAAAACACAACTCCAGGTCTGTTTGTGATGAGGAAAATCAGAAAATAGTGTAACTTTGGGCCCTTTAGAATATGTATTTACAATGTGTATTTATACATAGGCCCTAAGTGATGTTGTATTGTGTCTATGTTGGTATTTGGTTCCTGTCCTATACACACAGTACTTGAATCCTGCATTAGAGGCCAGGACAGATCAGAACTGTCTCTGTCCCTCTCAGTAACAGCAGTACTTCAATACACAGAAATGTTGATCTAAGTGCTGAAATGATAAATAATACAAGGATGCATGTTTTGGTCATAACATGACCATTATAATTACATAGTTGCCGTGGATTCCGTGGTTGCCATGGTCGTGGTTGGCTGCTCTTGTAGCTGACTGGCTGGTACACTGAGCAGTTTTTAAACTTAAAAAAATATATATTACTTAATATTTTGTGATTTGACCAACTAAGAAATGCAACGTGCACAGTTCAAAGAACACAAGTTAAGGACTGTTGGATTGTGTGATTTGAGCCATTTGTTTTTCTTGTATGCATGGAGCTATACTAACCAGCCAGCTCCGAAATGCTACAGACTTTTTATAACAATGCAGCAAACTTCACCAAATATGCCAGCAGACCAGAGGGAATGTCCCGTCTCATCACTGACCAGGACAACAAAGAGGAGAAAAAGACAGAGGCTTAAGGAGAGGCCTTCCTGTTACATGTCCACAGCTCACCTGGCGCCCCCTGGAGCCTGCTGTGATACCTGAGCTTCAGGACAGAAAGAACACTTTTGTCCTGAGGACTGTTACTCCCCTCACACTATGTGACTTTGGCTGTTGTGCTGAGACTTTTGTTAGAGTTTTCTATTATTATTGTATTTTACTGCTCAGTGTGCTTAAAGTCGTATTGCTTGATTGAAAAAGTTGAATGTCTTGACCACGTCGTCCTTCTCCTTTGCAGCACTTCCTGGTGGTGGCTAACTCTGGAGAGGTGCAGCCGGAGCGGTCGGTGGTGTACCGCTGGAGCCCTTCAAGGAGACTCTTCGTGCAGCACCAGACCCTGGACACACACTCTGCTCTGGACTGGGAGGCCTTCCACATCCACAACCACAGCTTCCTGGTGGTAGCCAATCACAGACGAGGTACCAGCTCTTCCTTAACACTCCTCTCTATCTGCTGTTTGAAGTGAGCGCTGATATCCGGCTGATGTTTTGCACTTTGAGGAGATAGTGTCCATAAATGAGATAAAGAGCAGTGCTGTGGAGGCCTTCAAACGCCTCGCTGTGTCCTGGCTTGTTCAGGGAGCTGCACTAATCTCTGATCAGTGTTTGATGCAGCTGCAAGAGAAGCCACAAACCACAGACAGAGGAGAGCCTGCCCCAGCCGCCCTCATCTGCCCCAACCGCCCCTGGTCTGCTCTCAAGACATCTGACGCCAATGAGAGAGGTGGGGGAGGGAAGGAAGGAAGGAAGGAAGGAAGAGAGGAAGAGAGGAAGAGAGGAAGGGGAAAGTAGGAAGAAAGATGAGACATGTCATTCAGAGTGTAAAAACAGCAGGCTGTATGTAGACTACAGGGCGGACTTCAGATGACCACTAGAAGGCATGAGGTGCTGTGTAGTTATATTAACATTTTAAACTTGGTACTGAGCAACAGACAATAGACGATACTCAATACTAATTCCGATACCACAGTGATAATAAAAAACACTCCTTTTTTTAGACAGTAGCATGTGGTTTTCAACATTGAATGATAGTATTTAGTTTTCTATGACCATGTGACCTTGTATCAGTTTATCGTCAGTGGTGCAGGTAGGTTCCACTGTGGTCCATGGGCAGATACAAGTCTCAAGATCATTCTAAAGCTACTCAGCCAGGAAAGGTTCATTTCTGTCCTGTGAATGTGACTGTTTATAAATCAGTCCCTCCTCACATGAGTATCTAGATTTGATACTATTTTTATTATGGATTATTATCTGATAGGGATGCACCAGTACTGGTTTTGAACATCAGTGCTAATACTGAAAAGTGTGCTGGTTCTGGTTTCTGTTTTCATGATATTGTAGGAAAATAAAATGAGAATAAAATGGATCAATTTATCTCAAAATTGTCTTTGGACAATAACTTCTGATGGGATGTTACCCTCACCCTGTCCACCTGGAGTTTTAATATTATTCACTTTTAATGTAATTCACTTCATAAAGTATAACAGTACATAAGTCAATGCTTTTCAAATATTGTTTCTATGAAAAATCCTGTTTAATCCCATAAGTAATGGTAATGCCTGAAAGTTCTGCTTTCTGCCAATTTGAGGTATAGTGAAGAAGTTTGGTCATAGCAGCTGTTTCCCTCTAGATACAAAGGTCGTCTTGGGCTTAAATTGAAGCTTATAAACTTGGGGAGTTTTTCATGTACATTTGAGGCAGTGATAAATGCAATAAAATGCTTGAAAATGATCACATTTGGTGACAATTTGTCAGGCGGACAGACATTTTTTTTGTCTTTTGGTGTATGTTGAGGGTGATATTTGACAGTAGAAAGGCAGCAAGCCCCAGAATATTTTTCTGCTAGTTTCCTTTATGTGTCAGGATACACCACGCAAAATTTTAGGGTTATTTGACCATGTATGCAGTTACAGTACCTTAATATTTACAGTTACATCATTTTGCCAATAGCTTTTCCTATATAGGGTGTTTTTTGAGACCAAACGGGGCCGAGTTGGGGTTGATCCTTATCAACTTGTGTAATATAATATAATAATAATATTATAATAATAAATAATAAGTCAAGTCGATAGATATTGTGACTGGGCTTTAATTGGATGTAATGAGATTATTTGCAGAATGATTGGATCTAGAATGTCTGCCTAAAACTGTGTTTTAAGGAGATAAGTGCCATTTTGAACTGGAAAAGCTGGATCAGTGCATCCCTACTGTTTGATTTTTGATACGTTGACAACCTCAGTGGTGTGTGAAGAAAGAGGAAAGTCACACATTGTTTCATATTGACATGTGTCTGTGTTCAGCTCAAGACTCGGACCATCACATCGACAGTGTGCTCTACAGATGGAACCCCCTGACCAAGGTGTGAAACTGTCCATCTCACCTCCCCCACACACACACACACACACACACCACAGTCTCATCTCCACACACACCACAGTCTCATCTCCACACACACACACACACACACACACACACACACCACAGTCTCATCTCCACACACACACACAGTCTCATCTCCACACACACCACACACACCAGTCTCATCTCCACACACACCACACACCACAGTCTCATCTCACACACACACACACACCACAGTCTCATCTCCACACACACACACACACACACACCACAGTCTCATCTCCACACACACCACAGTCTCATCTCCACACACACACACACACCACAGTCTCATCTCCACACACACACACACACACACACACACACACACACACACACCACAGTCTCATCTCCACACACACACACACACACACACAGTCTCATCTCCACACACACACCACAGTCTCATCTCCACACACACACACAGTCTCATCTCCACACACACACCACAGTCTCATCTCCACACACACACCACAGTCTCATCTCCACACACACACCACAGTCTCATCTCCACACACACACCACAGTCTCATCTCCACACACACACCACAGTCTCATCTCCACACACACCACAGTCAAAAATAACCTACAAGAAGTAGCGTTAAGTTGTAAAACATTGACACAGACAACTGCAGGCTCTGAAACTGCAGACAATTTATGCACGAGGACTTTTTCTGACAGTGGAATTATTCATTAACACAATAAAGGTGATGTCATGTCTTTGGATGAGGCTAACCATAAGTACAGTATTGTGTAAGTTGGACATGTTTTGGAGCTTGTTAGTATTATGGTTGCTAGGTAACAGTTATGGTATGTTGCCCATAAATATCCATTTTAATCATGTCTGTCTATTGCCCATGTCCAATCATTCACCAAAATAAAAATAAAAACACATTTAAAAAGACTTAGAAGATTTAGTCGTAAAAATCTTAAAGCCTAATGTCAACCTTGTACAACAAGATTATGAGGTGACAGACTCAGAAGACTCCATCTTGGCGTACGCAGCTGTACCGATAATTGACCAATCACATCGCAGCACTGAGGTTTGTGTGGAAGCCAAAGGTGAAATGCTCAAACAAACAGAGCGACACAGACAGATGTACTTCAGCCTATTTTAGTGTCAATACAGATGATTTAGTTTGTGGAAAAACATGCAGAAGGTAAACACTGTGCATGTGTGGACAGAGAAGATGACTATGCTTTAATCTCAGATGGATGTTCCAGATTGATAATGTGTAGAACTCAATTCAGAGTCTCTCTGAACTCTCACTGAGTGTTATTTGGCCTGGAGGAGGGCCTCCTCCAGCTTGTTTCCATGGAAATGATGTTCCTTTGACTATAATATTCCACAATATGACATAAAACCTGTCTAGTGAAGTATGGACTTCACTTTGTATCTTCATGGAAACATGTGGGTGAGTTTCCCCCTTCAGAAAGTTACATCCTGTCATTTTAAAGGGCCCGTACTAAAGTATTATTACAGTACATGTTCTGATCTTTGTTCTAATGTCATTTCCTCATCACAAACACACACCTGGAGTTGTGTTTTGTTTCATTCACATTTTTAACACACAAACCTGCACATTTAGAATGAGAGCTTCCCTCAAAAACAGAAAACACTCCACCTTGTGATGTCATACATACAGACCTTGAATTCTCAATCTTTACTAAACAAAAAGTATTTAACACAAAAACTACCACTTCATGACATCACAAGGTGGAATAGAGCATTTTGAGCTTTGGAGATGCAGACAGACTTATAATCCAGGGTTACTCAAATGTGAGAAAGAAACAAAACACAACTGCAGTTGTGTTTGTGAGGAGGGAACAGCATCCTAACATTAAAGCTCACAAGAATCTATTTTGTATAATATAGAACCTTTAATATCATTCTAATGACTATGTTTTAGTCAAATGTTTGGTCTGACCTGCCACTGCTCTGCTCCAGCGACTGGAGGAACACCAGAGCCTGCGCACTGTGGGGGCGTATGACTGGGAGTTCTTCTCCGTGAGGCAGTACCACTTCCTGGTGGTGGCCAACACCTTTGACGGCAGCACCACCTCTGTGAGCTCCACCATCTTCATCTGGAACCAGGGACGCTTCCAGCACTTCCAGGACATCCCAGTGAGTACCAGCACCTCTTTTTATAATATTTGAACTTTTATTTGTATGAAGTTGTTCTGTAATTACTGGAGAGATAAATAATGCGTTTGGATCAGTTTTGTCTTCTTCTATTTTCATTTTGTTCTAATGTGGTTGGTGCATTATTCATTTCATACCCAGTGGTGGTAAAATACTGTTGTAGTCACAGCTACCACTTTCATACTAGGTAATGTGGATGAAGTGTCTTGCCCAAGGACACAACAGCAGTTTTTGCCACTGGCAGAAAACTCCATCCACACTGCAGAGACAATTTACGCACAAGGAAAGACTTTTTCTGACACTTTAAACTTTCATTTAATTAAATAAAGGTGCTGTCTTGTTTTTTACTGTGTAAGTTTGGCTCGGTAACAGTCATAGAATCCTCTCTGTGTATGTCACATGTGCTGCCTGTGTCCAACCAGGAAGGAAAAGTAGAAACAGGAAGAAAAAGTATAACATAAAGATTATGTTAACAGTCAAATGTACTCCAAAGCCAAATGAAAGCTGATGTGTGTGTGTCCTGCTGCTGTTGTGGTGATGCTGCGTGCAGACGCAGGGGGCAGTGGACTGGGAGGCCTTCTCGTTCGAGGGCAGGTACTTTCTGGCTGTGGCCAACAGTCAGAGAGTGTCAGAGACCGGCCCCAGCGACTACAACATCAACTCCACCATCTACGAGCTGCACCCGCTCACCCTGAGCTTCCTGCGCTTCCAGGACGTGCTCACCCACAGGTGCTACTGCCTACACTCTCCTAGACACTCCTCTCTGCACCCTCTGCTCCTCCTCTGGACCCTCTGCTCCTCTTTAGACCCTCCACTTCTCCTTCACACCCCTTGCTCCTCCAGTTGCTCTAATGTTCTAATCTAAAGTCCGTGTGTGCAGTGCAGTGGACTGGGAGTTCTTCACTGTTGGAGATGAGAGGTTCTTGGTGGTGGGAAACTCTCATGATGGCAGCTCCTACTCTCTGAACAGCGTCATCTACAGGTGAGCATGTGAACTGCAGCTGCTTTCTATCTGTGTGCTGTGTTCACTTGCATGTTCATGTGTGTACTGTTTTGTGTTCTGACTATTGTGTGTGTTGACGTGTATGTAATTGTGTGTGTTGACGTGTGCGTTGTGTAACAGGTGGCAGGGGTATGAAGGCTTCGTCCCCGTCCACACTCTGCCCACGTTCGGCTGCAGAGACTGGGAGCACTTCTCCACGGCAGATGGCTCGTTCCTGGTCTACTCTAGTGCCACCTCCAGGCTCAGCAAGGTGTTCCGACTGAAGACCTACTGATTTGCCAGCACTTTATATGAGAAATGTCTTCATAGAAAAAATATGAAATCTTATCAGCTCATATTCACAAACCCTGGTGTCGGCTCAAAGCCTCATGGACTGATGAAACAGAGCTATTTTTACAAAAGTATTTGAACAGATAATATATGGCCCAGAAGATTCCCTCATGTAAAACATGTGCTATAAGATATATTTATTACTCCTGCATATTAAAGCACAAGTGTGTTTGTGTCTGTACCATAACCAACCTCCACGTGAGTGCTGTTAAACATTTTTCATGGTTAAAGTTTCTTTATAATAAAGAATCTAATTTACATTGATCTTTTCTTACTATTTAAATCTTTCACATTTTGAATTCATTCAGACATACTTTATAACCTCCTAAAACAGTTCTTGTCCACCCGCTAGAAAATACTGCTAAAAAATATTCCAGGTCAAATTGAGCTCCTGCTGTGACCCCCCTTTAGAGTCAGGACTCACTATAGAAGTGTGTTGTCCACACTGTCCACACTGTGTCATGAGCTCACAGACAGCACAGCCCCCACAGTGACACTGACGGCCTGATCCAGATGGTACAGGAGCCCAGAGCAACATGCCACTTTAAAGAAAACAAAGTGTTTTTAAAACAGCTTTTTAAACAGAGATGATCTGAGACACCTCAGACACTTTATTGGAAAAGTGCAAAATGAGTAACAGTAACAAAAAACAGTAGCGGTCAAAAGTCTTCAAAAAATGTAAATTATAAATAAAATGGCTTAAATAGCAGGGTTTTTTTTTAGCTGCACCTGAGAAAGGTCAGACAGAATATTACATGACCTCTTTGGGCTCCCTCTTTGGTTTGACACGTCACAATTGGCTCAAAGACATGTGGTGCTCCTCTTCCCTGAGGCTCTGGTCCAGTCGCTGTGTCTCCAGCTGGAGGACAGTGGGCGTGGTGTGGTGGGACACTATGCTCAGAGACGCACTCAGATCTCCGTGTAAGGACTGCAGCTGCTGTGTGTTCCTGGACAAAGCCTCGATGAAGTGGGCCTTCTGTAGGAGAAAACAAGGTCATGTATGGAACAAGTATACAAGCCAACAAGAGACCACCAACGGGGGCTCTCCCATGATAGACTTTTTGGAAAACCTTTCCTTAAGATGGAGCTGTACTGCAAACGGTACCACTGCGTTTCTCCCCACAGGGCTCATGGCAAAAGCTTTTAAAAAATATTTAAGACCTTTAATTTTATGGCTTGGCTAAATGGGAAATAGATGATTCATTTGTTTATTAGCTTTCAACAAATGTCTGTGGGGTTCTTAAATCATTTTATAAGGCTGTGACTGCCCCCTACAGTCGGCTTGTTTGAATGGATCTCTTTCGGCTGTTCTTACATGTTATGTTAATATATAACAGCATGTTTAATATGTTTAGCTCCTTCCCATCGCTCTGCCATAGTTGCCATAGTTGCCCCTCTAAATATCCAGGATACCCATGTATTTGAGTATCCTGTTTGCATAAATATGTCATGTCAGGTTAGCTACATGCTTAAACACAGCAGTGGGTTTACTCTTCAAGCTAACAGAAGTACATTTCCCATTCGTTTTGCCCAGAGGCTTTCTGAAAAACTCCCACATGGGGAGTAGGGAGTTAGCTGCTTGTTTAACAGCACAAATCACCTGCTAACTTGTAGTTCCAGCTATGTCAGTTCTTTATGTCAGCTGTAAAGTATCAAAAACACTAACTCTTGACCCCATCTGGGAGTATAACCACACCATATTCTAGAACAGATCTGACATTGTCCACTACCGGAACACATACAGCCCTGTGCTCGACTCTGACTGGCCCCTTTAAGCTCATTTGGAATTACAAAATAAACATATTTTATCATTTGACCTCATGCATGGACTAAAGGAGCACTGCTTTTATTTTAGAGGTGTTTTCTTAAATTGGCAACTTCACTTTTTCATTGCTTCGTCATAACATAAACTCTTCCCAGTCTGATCAGCTCATCAAAACAATGACATTTACTGCTTTATATAAAGAAATACAATTAATCTTATGCAGAATTGAGTTAAACATTTAGGCTCGACATTATTTTCTGTTTCTCATGTGGCCCCATTGAAAAAATAATTGCCCATCTCTGTTCTAAAATATGAAAACCACCAATAAGGCAAAAAAGTAAAGAAAATCATTGTTTAAAAATGTAGCACTGTGTATATCTCTGTCTGGATGCATGTCGTTGATGGTGGTGGACTAACCTGCTCCTCCAGTGTTCTGACCTGGCCCCTGAGCCGCTCCTCCTCTGTGGGTGGGGCCAACATGAGCTGTCCCTGCTGTGTCTGCTGCGTCTGGGACCACCGCAGATCCACCTTAAGAACAAACCCCCAGAAGAGTTAGAGAAGAAGGATGGATCCTGTTTTCACTTGTCCAAGGCTCTCGCACCTGTCTCATCTGTCCCATTTGTCCCATTTGTCCCACCTGTCCCACCTGTCTCACAGCCTCTCTCAGCGCATTCCTCTCCTCCCTCAGTCTCTGGCTGTTCTTCTGTAGATGGGAGATCTTCTGGACCAGGCGTCTCTGCTCCAGCTCCAGTTCAGCCACCACCCGCTGCAGGGTAACCAGTCTCTCCGCTGAGCCCTGGGAACCAGAAAGCTAAAGTTAGCCACTGTTACAGAGGAAGTGACATCTACACGTGACAAATCTCAAGGATACTGATGGAGCAGTGGCAGTCTCTGGAGTATTGATTATTACTACTACTAGTATATATCACTTTATACTGTCACCAGAGAGTTTCACCAAAGAAAAGACTTGACTTTCAGAGTACCATCAGATCTCAACCACCTTTATAACAGGATTATTCCACTAAAGCAGGTCTAAACCAGGTCTGAACAGGCCTAGTTCTAAACAAGAAAAAATAGAAAGGAGGATCAAATTGGGCACTGCAGAATAAAATGGAGTCTAAAAGGACCTTTTTTTAAGGTAATTTTTTATGAAGATTTTATAGATGATATACTTAATGATCTAATTTTGGGCAATTCTGTCATGATCAACTTGTGGGTATTTGTTCCACCTCTGTCTCTATCACGTCTGTGAAGAAGATCTGGAGTCAGACCCCCTCCTCTGGTACAGGACCATTATGCCACAATAACCAAACTATCGTGACACTGTATCAGCAAAAGTCTCTCAATAATATTGTGGGCCATCACAATATTGAATTACAAGTCCCTTTGCTTAAATTCATTATTATGGTGCTTTTATCATAAGCTTAAAAATCTGACAGAACTACATTAGACCATGATCCTTAGCTTTGTTACAGTGCAGTCTACATGATGAAATAACTATATAATAAAATATAAATAAAATAATAAAAATGACAGATTTTAAAGTCTTGTCAAGGCATTTTAAAAGGAAAAAGTAGCATATTCCCAGTTGTTTTAACATAATAACCAACGTACTGTGAGATGCACAGCATGAAAATGTCCAAATCTCTCTGTACAATATCATTACATCCGTCCTCACAATGACACATGCTAATCAGTGGAAAGGAGCTGTCAAAAAAACGTGTTTCTAACACTAACAGGAGCGACCTCAGGGAAAGGAAGCCCCTGACTGGTCTGTTTTTAATGTTCATATCTTGATTAAAATAGTAAAATGAGAGGGGGGACACTTTTTTCATGAGAAAGTGGCTGGAGCTCTGGGCACAGCAGCTCACTGTGTCTCAAAGCTAATGCCAACGTTTATGAAAAGCATACAAAAAAAAAAAATCGAATCCAAAATATCGTCCAGAGACATTTGAATATGGTTACATCCCAACTCACCTGCTCAGGCCCCTGTCCCTGTGGGCCCCTGAGTGTCTCCACCTCTGCCTGTAGCTGCTCCACTCGGGCCCTCCCCAACACCGCCTCCTGGTCCCGGGACTCTCTCAGCTCCTCCACCCTCTCCACAAGCTCTGTCCTCTGGATCAGCAGAGCGTGGACCTGGGCCCTCAGCTCCTCCTGTCCCCTGTCCCTCTGGTCCTCCTGTCCCCTGTCCCTCTGGTCCTCCTGTCCCCTGTCCATCTGCTTCTCCTGTCCCCTGTCCCTCTGGTCCTCCTGTCCCCTGTCCCTCTGGTCCTCCTGTCCCCTGTCCCTCTGCTCCTCCTGTCCCCTGTCCCTCTGCTCCTCCTGTCCCCTGTCCCTCTGCTCCTCCTGTCCCCTGTCCCTCTGGTCCTGCCCCTTACCCTTTTGCTCCTGTCCCCTGTCCCTCTGCTCCTCCTGTCCCCAATCCCTCTGGTCCTCCTGTCCCCTGTCCCTCTGGTCCTCCTCTCCCCTGTCCCTCTGGTCCTCCTCTCCCCTGTCCCTCTGGTCCTCCTGTCCCCAATCCCTCTGGTCCTGCCCCTTACCCTTTTGCTCCTGTCCCCTGTCCCTCTGGTCCTCTGGTTTCCTGTTCTTCTCTTTCTCATTTCCCCGGTCCCTCTGGTCCTTCTGTCTCATGTCCCTCTTGTCCTGTCTCTTATCCATTTGCTCCTGTCCCCTTTCCTCTGGGAGTCTCTGGGACATGGGTCTCTGCAGTTCCTCACTTCGCTGGCTGAGGGCGCTCTTGAGGCGTTCCCCTTGAGCATGGCTCTCCTGAAACAGTGGGGTCACATTGGGGTCACAGTGGGGTCACAGTCATAAAGACAGTATAAAGAAGTGGACACAGGGACACTGTACTATTCGGCTCTAGCCAACTGAAGCCAATAGAGGCGAACAGTTATAGCGGCCAATTTCGAGCAGAGTTCCATGTTTGGAACTGCGAGTGAGTAGCAACCAAACAGCCAATCAGGTGTGAGGCAGTCCACGTGTTGTTAGGGTCATCCACCCGCAGCTCCCTGTCCACTGTCTCATCTTTAAATGTTAATCTTAGCACGACTTGGCAAAAACCCATAGAGATACATTTGGACAGGGAGTAATGATGGCAACAGTGAAGTTGCCGGGGCTGTAGTACACAGAGCCTATTTGTGCCTATGCCTACTGCCTATTTAGAGCGCAGTGGCAACAGGTCAGCTATGTCCATTTATTAGGGCTGTCAGGGAGTTGTAAATAACTAAAGCAATAGCCATCCAAAAGTATGAGAACTTCTAAAAGTTCCACTGTTGAGGCTCCGCTAGTTCAGTGGCTCTTACACAATAAAAGTCTCTGTATAGTCTTATTGTGAAAGAGTCGGACAGAGCAGATAACAGGCTCTATTCACGTTACGTCATTAACCAGGAAGACGACTGGAAACATGTGATGAATCTTCCAGTGTAGTTCACGACACTGGATTCACCGACCGACTGTGATCAAACCCACTGAAGTAAAAGTGATCAGTGGTAAAATGAAGACTGCAGACGGATGTGCTGTTTGGAATCATCAGGAATTTAGCCCCTCATCTCTTCTAATCACTGTACCCAGAGCGCTCGGAGTTGTGTGTCAGTGGGGAAATGATGAAAACTGAGGTGTGGTTGGAATTATTGATTAGCTGAACATAACGGAACACTACAATAACATGAAGATGACAAAAACTGGGACATTTTCTCATTTTTCCTAGATTTTGTCAGACTTATTACTGCGAACAGAGCCTGCTGGAAGCTGCCATCACATGTTTCCAAACGTCTTCCTGGTTTGTGATGTAAGTGTGAACAGAGCCTGTTGTGGAACACTTCAGTAGTGTTTAAAAGAATGGAAGCTGACCATAATGAATAAGACATCACCTAATTAAAAATTGAATTAAATGCAATTACTCATGAGTTAACTCAGGACAGCCATGCAATTAACTGTTGTAACAAATTTTAATCAAGTGACAGCCCTACCATTTATAGACAGACATAGACAAACTTTATTGATGCACAAGGGAAATTATTATATTGATACTTCGCAGTGCCGTCACACTGGGGGTGTTCTGGATGTATGTGCATGGCAGAATCAGCTACCATTGTAACAACGCAATGCACACATTAGCAAACACTGTCAAAAATATTCTGAAAAACTCAAGTAGCACATTTTCATCAGTACAAGCGTTCACGGTCCTGTGAGGAGTGTGATTTTCAACAAAAAGATGAGATTGACCAACTGAAAAATTGTGGCTAATGCTTGTGAACTTGGGACAGCACAAATCAGATGACCTGTTGTAGTTCCAGCTAAATGAGTTTTCTGTCCAGATTGTGTTGAAACAAAACTCAGATTAAAGTCTAACAAGTGTCAGTTAGAGCAGTGATTATCGCAGGGGTGGACAATTATTTTGTCATAGTTTTGACGAGCTGATCAGACTGGGAAGAGTTTATGTTATGACAAAGCAATGAAAAAGTGAGGATGCTGAACAAAAAAAGTCATTTAAAAAAAACACCTCTAAAATAAAAGCTCAAATGCAGCTTTAGTCCATGCATGAGGTCAAATTATAAAATGTTTACTTTGTGATTCCAAATGAGCTTAAAAGGGCCGGTAAGAGTGCCCGGGAGCAGGACAATGTCAGATCTGACTTATAGTTAGTATCACACCCCCAGGGAACGTTGGTGACATCAGCTGCAAAGTAGCAGTACATTCTACGGTCAATGTCCTGTGGCATCAGCGCATACACTCGTCACATGACTGTTACCTGCAACAGCTGTTTGAGCTCAGAGATCTCCTCCAGGCTTGTGTGCAGTCCCATCTTCAGCCTCTGTATCTGCTGCAGCTCTGATTCCTGAACATCACACTAGCTTTAGAAGAACAACAGAAGCACATGCAGTTCTTCGCTCCACTCACCTGAAACTCAAGTTTGCGTTTCAGCCGTTTCACTTCCTGTTCCGCCCCCTCTCTCCTCCTCACTCCCTGGTCCACTTCCAGTTTCAGAGTGCTTATGTTCTGTTGCGCTTCCTCCAGCTTCCTGTTTAGATCTCTGGCTTCCTCATTGAGTGTCCTTCGTGCCTCCTTTTCCTTCTCCATCTGCTCCCTGATCTCCTTCAGCTGAGAGGTCATCCTCTCCCGTTCCATCTGCTCCTCTTCCACCTCACGCTCCTCGTCTTTCAGACGTTCCTCCTGGTTCCTCTGCTGGCTCCTCTGCTCCAGCTGCTCCTCCAGTCTCCTGCACCTCTTCTCCTGGTCTCCTTGTCTGAGCTGGTGTTGTCTCTGCTCCTCCTCCCACTGCTCCCTGACCTCTGTGATCTCTTGGCTCAGCTCTCTCACTTTGGATCGGAGCAGATTGTTCTCCTCCGCCCTCTGCTCCATGTATTCCGCTGCATCCTTGGCCTCCTCCTTCAACCTTGTGCACACCTCCTCAAGTTCTTTGAGTCTTTGGGACATGTGATGTTGCTGGTCTAAGGCAGTCTTCAGCTCTGATTTGCTTTCCTGATAAACACACACAAATAATAATTCTATCTTTGGTTTACATAGGGAGGATTTGACTTCTATGGGCTATTAACTGTAACACATAACATATTTAGATCACCATCTTACCTTTTATTGTTTTGAAAATGATATATTCACCGGAAACAACGTATTAACACTTTCTCAACCCGCAGAGCTCTATCCCAATACAATCTGTGTACATCCTGCTACTGAAACTACTGCAGGTCGCATCAGGTTTGAGAAGCTGTTGTGTATTGTTTTGTATCGTGCTTTTGTATATTTATGTAAAATTGTCATCTAGGAGTATGGGTGTAGGCTTGTGTGACATAATCTTACAGCTAACCATAAGAAGGGTTCGAAAAGGGCCCAGGAGAGATCACGGGATTACTCAAACATGCATGGATGACATCTAAAACCTCTTCAGGCATGTTTTTGATGAAGGAACAATGTTATAACATGGTAGAAAGTTCCAAAAAGATTTTATAATAAAAAACAAAGCACAATTCTGCATCAAGTTACAACACACTAAAAGGAATCCAAATGAAAGCTATACAGTCAGTGACAGACTTATAACTTCACAAATCAGAAAGTGTATGAAGAAACTGACCAGGAGCTGCTTAGAGCGCTCTGCTAAATCTGCGCTCATGTCATCACTATTCTCCTCCGCGTCCCTCAGGCGTGTCAGCAAATGCTTCTCCTTCTCCTCCATCTTTGCGATGGACATCACAAGGTCCCGTCTCTGCAGCTCCTCCCTCTGCAGCAGCTCTGCCCGCCTGGCTGACTCTGCCCTGTGAAGCTCTGCATGCTGTTCGTGCTCCTGGGCGGCGCTCATTTGACGTTCCAGGCTATTCTCCAGACGCTTCACTTCCTTTTCCACCTGTACATTGCAAAACAACACACTCTCAATGTGTGTGTATGGGGGAAAATGTGTGTGACATAGCTTCCACTGACTGGCTGGCCGGCTGATCCTCTATGCTTCTCACCTCAGGAGGTGGATCTTCTATAAACGCACCGTTTTTTCTGCTCTCAGCCCTGGAGAACAAATGGTTGTGGACGTTCTTTAGACTCACCTGTTCTTCTGCTCCTCATCTCTGGGGGACAGATCGATGATGGTGAACTTTCTGTAGATTACACTAGCCTTTATTGTCTCCTTAGAAAGATATTCATGTTGGACAAGCACCTATTCTTTCTGCTCCTCAGCCCTGAAGAACGGATTCCTGTCCCTTCAGCTCCCCTATGCTCCTCACTTCTGGAAAATTGGTTGTGGACCTCTCTCTGTAGACCCCTCTCTGTTGACCCACCTGCTCTTCTACTCCTCAGCTCTGGAGCCTCATTTATAAAAACTGCGCAGGAGTTGTCGTAAGTTAGTGCGTACGCCTAGTAGCTACAACAGGCGTGCGCCACGCAAACTCCATATTTAGAAAACCCACCGCACGCACCAAACCACGCAATCTTTGCTTTATAAATCCAACCTGCAACTACAATTTGCGCACGTAAACCCACGTCACGTCACGCCCTCTCCACACCTCCACCTCACCATAAAAGGAGCATGTAAAGTGACTGGTGAATGAGATTTCCCTACACATGAGCCGATAATCAGTGGGTTTGACCGAGACACGCGGGAGAGAGGCAGGAGGACGCTCCACGCAGCACCACGTGATCACGACAAAGACTTTATTAAAGACTTTATTAAACCTTGTTTAATAAATAAATACAAAACTAAAAGTGACAACAATGACTCATCTGTTCATTTAATCATTTTTTATAATATTCAGGCAGCACATCTTTGCAGTAAAGCCCATGTGTTTTTTCGCTGTTTCAAGAGTTTTATCGCTATATTTTTAAGTCTGTCTATGATGTGTGTGAGGACTGACCCTGTATTTATGCACATACACGTAGATATGTGCACGCGCAAATTATGAGCGCGTGTGAGAGATTCAGATGCCCTCCCCTGGAGAGGGAAAGGAGCGAGGGAGGGACACGGGGATACGAGGACACAGATTTAGCACGAAACACATCACATACAGATGTTATTCAGCCAATTAAAGTCCACATGAAACATCCAAACTGCTGAACCTGTGAGTGTGGGTCTGGGTCAGAGAGCAGCTCTCATGTGCTCAGTTCCCCATTACACAAAAATGTAGGGAAGATTTTGGTTGGAGTCAGGTTCGGGCAGTGGGCTTCGTGTTGTCCGCAGACTCGGGTCACAGACTCGGGTCACAGACTCGGGTCACAGACTCGGGTCACAGACTCGGGTCACAGACTCGGGTCACAGACTCGGGTCACAGACTCGGGTCACTCTGGCGCTCGGTGCGTAAAGCCTAAAGTAAAAGTGTTAAAGTTGCGTTCATTAAATCAAAGCCTGGCTCCTGCTGCGTCCAAGGGAAGAGTTTACTCTCAGGTTGGGTCATTATTTCGTCCTCTGTGTTGGTCACAGTCTGTGTTCTATAGAAGTCTATGGTCGTGGTGTGGACTGTGGGACTCTGCGCTACACTGTGTCCGGGAACACGGCCGCGCTCGTGCACGAGTGTCAAATGTATAATATTGTGGAGAATAATGAGTGGAATAAATAGCCCTTCTTCGTATTTTAACCAAACACTTAAATGCGCAAATCAGAAGGTAATTCTTCTATATATGTGGATTTTCTGATCAAACACTTCCTCAAACTCTGTTCACTTCTGCTTCTCTCCACGAGTGTCGCTTTTTCCCCGTGTCTCCAGACTTTGCGTAGTGCTTACAGGAGGTCCCGAGTTGGCGTAGAGTTAAACAAAGAGCCACGCCTTAGGTGAGTTTTTATAAATACCTTTATAAATGAGGCCCCTGGAGGACAGATCAAAGTGGATCTTCTATAGACCTGATGTGTTCCTGCTGCTCCACAGCACTAGAAGACAGATGGTGAACATTCTGTAGACCCACCTGTTCCTTCTGCTCCTCTGCAACGCTCAGATCCACCCTCAGCATCTCCAGCTCTCTCTCTCTGTGCGCTCGCTCCTCTTCTAACCACTGAACCCTCTTGTCTGACTCTTCCTCTCGTTCCTTCATCATCTTTTCCATCTTCTCCTCCATGCCATCCCGTTCACTCTGTAATGTCTTCATTCTCAGGTTGACTTCTTCTAATTTCTCCACCAGCTTCTGCTCATGTCGTATCTGTTCTTGAAGCTTCATCCTGGTCTCCTCTGCGGCCTCATGTTCCTTGCGTTTGCCTTCCTCCAGTATCTCATTTTGGTGTCTGACTGAGTCCAGTTCTGATTGCAGCTGGTTAACCATTTCCATGAGTTTTTGTACCTCCTCTCGTCGCACTTGTTCCACAGTCTTCATTTGCTCTTCCCTTTGGTTCCGTTCCTTCTGTAGCTGGTCCAGATCATGTTCTCGCTGCTTGTTCAGTTCTTTTAAACTCTCGACTTGCTCCAAAAGTTGCTTAAGCTGATCTTCATGGCTTCTCATCTCTTCCTCTCTCTTCTCCTTTTGTCGCCTCTCCTCCTCAGCTTGACAAGTCCGGGCTGCTTCTCGCTCCTTGCGGTGTTCTTCTCGTACCTTCTGCAGTAGATCAGATGTTGCTGTGACCCTCTCCTCCAGACAATTGTGTTCCGTGGATAACCTCTCAATTTCTTCAGCCTTGTCCTGGTTTTGCTTTTCAAGCATTTCCATCCGATCCAGAAATTGCTCAAGCTCCAGGTCTCGTTCTCGCTGTAGCTCCTCCAGGTTTCTTATATTTTCACAAAGTTTGTTTTCCCGTTCAGCTTTGTCCTCTTCAATTGTTTTGATCCTTTCGAATGCATCATCTAAATGTTCTTCCATTTTAGCACGCTCTCTCTGCAACCTCTGCAGTTCTAATACTTTGTCCTCATTGACTTTTTCTAACATTTGTATCTGACTTAGCAGTTTTTGACATTGTTCTTTGTTTTCCTCTCCTTCTTGCTCCATTCTGGTAATTCTCTGGAACATCTGCCTCTCCTCCTCCTCCCTGACCCGCTGTGCCTCCTGGTCTTCAGCACATTTCTGCTCTAAGGTCCGTATGCGTTGGCGCGCTCCAGTCAGTTCATATCTGCTTTGGTCCAGACAGTGGTGAGTCTCCTGTAGCTTCTCTCGCACACTCTTAAGATGTGTGTCCGTGACTTGTTTCTCCATCTCGAGAACATCCAGGCGGCTCCTCAGCACCTCCACCTCTCCATCTCTGATGCCCAGCTCCAGGTTCAGCTCCTCCAGCCTCTTCTGAAACACTTGGGTCTCTTGTCTCCTGTCCTCAGCCTGCTGCCTGAGCGTTTCCTCCTTTGCCTCTACATTGTTCCTGTGTTCTTGATCAGACCTCCCCAGCTCTGCCTTCAAACACACAATTTCTCCTGCCAAAACAAAACACATTTCATGTCAAGAATACACAAATGTAAACAAAGTGTATGACAGGCTAGACTGCCGTCATAACCTGCCAGATATGCTCAAAATGAGGTAGAAAACCAAGCAGAGTCTACAGCAGCCTCTGGAGCCCAACAGCTCAGACCAACCTCCACAATCATTACCCAGTGAGGAGTACCTCAGCTCTGTCGCAAGTACGTTAGGTGGGAGTGTGAGGTGCTAACAGCAGTGAGGTCTAATATAGACTGCATTTGTATCAGTGGCAGCACAGTTTAATAGGTGACCTATTAACTATGATCTGCCAAGAGTTAGAATACTAAGGGCTATATTTATTAAACATATGCTTCATTATGAGTGGAAACTGTGTGCTATTTGTGGGCGTGTTCCACCTAATATTCCATTAGAAACTCTGCCATATTCATTTGATCCCAGGTGCAAACTTACGGGCGCAATATCCGCAAAGCGTCAATAAAAGACCAAAATCTCACTGTGTCTGCTTTTTACCATGTCCAGTGCTTTTAACACGTATGCAAATGCTTAGTAAATATACCCTTTAAAGGAGTAGCCTAGATGTGGCTCACCCTGCAATGAGCTCTTGGTCTCCTGTAGGCTCTGGAGATGGATCTGGAGTTGAGAGTACTCCCCCTGGGCCTCCAGCAGGTCCTTGTGTGCCTGGCTCAGCTGCTGCCTCAGAGACACACACAGAGACCTGCAAGACAACAGTAGTGAGGAGTACCTAGCAGTAGTGAGGAGTACCTAGCAGTAGTGAGGAGTACATAACAGTAGTAAGGAATTCCTAGCAGTAGTGAGGAGTACATAAAAGTAGTGCATGGTGGTGGTGAGTACCTGAGCTGGAGCAGCTCCTGGTGCAGGTGCTGGTTCTGCCTCCTCTCACAGTCCTGCTTCTCTTGGATCCTCTTGGTCTCTTGGAGGTTCACCTCGAGAGAGTGCTGGGTGCTCCTCAGCTCCTCTCCCCTCAGGCGGAGCAGCTCCTGAGCCTCCTGCAGCTCCTTCTGCAGCATGGCAGTCTGGGATGTCAGCTGAAAACACACAAGAAGAGGACATCACTATGGCTGCGTTCAGACTGCAGCCTGAAGTGACCCAAATCTGATTTTTTGGCTTCTATGTTCCTGTATCTGATCTTTTAATGACAGTCTGAACGGCACAGATCCGATTTTTTCAAATGTGACCCAGGACACTTGGATATGTGCTCCTGAAACCGATACATATCTGATCTTTTGACATGCGACTTCAATCTGAACGGCCAGAGCTCATCCATCCGACCTACACGTCATCAACAAGCGACAAACGTCACTATTCTGCGCTGAAGCAGACGGAAACCGGAACTGTAAAATTGCCAGGTGCTCAATGCTCGCGTCCATGTTTGGACAACTTCTGTAAACACAGAGCACGCTCACTGCGGTTTATCGCATGGGGTTGACGTCATCGTGTCTCCAGTGCACATGCGGGACACTTTCGGGCTGTTTACTGTTCACACTGGAGTCACAGACAAGTCGCATTTAATTGGAAATGTGAACGACCACGCAAAAACATTGGATTTCACAAAAAAATCGGAATTGAGCATTAAGCCCTGCAGTCTGAACGTAGCCTATGAGTGTTTGGACTTTGGCCAGTCAATGGGATTTATCCTGCACGTGTGTAAACTGGAAGTGTCCGAGGTACTTGGATAAAAGTACCTCGGTACTGTTAAAAATCAGCAGCTTTTGATCTGGAGGATTCAGAACACTGGATTTTGACAGTGTTTTTTGTAAGTGTTTTTTCAAAGGGTAATGTATTGTGTCTGTCAGAGGTAGCTCACCTGCTCCCATCGCTCGTGCTGACTCCTCTGCTCCTCCTGCTGCTCCTCCTGCTGCTCCTCCTGCTGCTCCTCCTGCTGCTCTCTCAGGCTCCTCGTCTGCTCCTCCTGCTGTTTCTCTTCCAGGCTCTGCTTCCTCTGCTCCAGCCTTAGCTCTAGATCAGCCTGCTGTGCTCGAAGCTGGGCCAAGAGCTCCACCCCAGCCTCCCACTCACACCTGCACACACACATAGATACACACACACACTCACATAGGACTGGATGAATATCTAAAATGAGATGTTTCTGACACATAGATCTTTCAGTTTTAATTTGACCTGAACCCAAGCAGTATTTTGTAATTGGCCTTCTGTGCCACAGTTTTCCCACAGTGAAAACCGTGTTCAAACACAAGGTCCATCAGCGCATGTGATACCAGAACACCATGATAAACTTTGTTGTCATGTCACCTTCAGTTGTGTCTCTCGGACACTCGCGTGAAGAGAGAGCCTTAAGACTGCCACACACTACAGGATTTTTCAGTTTTAAACGATTTTTAAATGTGCAACAAAAAGTGCACACCATTACACAAGGAGAATCTTATGCGATTTTAAAATCAGAGAGAAACAAATCGCAGCCTAAATCAGGCAAATTCTCCTGTAGTGTGTGGTGGCCTTTAGGTGTCAGTCAAACATTATCTTGTTGTGAGTTGGCTCTACTGAGAGAAACTCCTCGTGGCAGGGCTCCAGGGGTGGATGAGATCTGTCCTTAAGTGTGTTGTGGGGCTGTCTTGACTGACACATCTCTGTAAGGTCAAGGACAGTTACATTAAAGATTACCTGAACTCATCACGTTGCTCTTCTACAGCTTTCAGCTCTCTCTGCAGAGCGTTGACCTCTGACCTCTGAGCCTGCTGCTCTGATTGGCTGTGGGACAGCTCCGCCTCAATCTGAAACAAGGCACATCTAAATTTTTTAAAAATATTCTTCTATAGGGTATTAACTGTTAACACAATTATATAATAATAATAATACGTAACACTTGCGTAGCACTTTTCTAGATGAAAGGTGGTTTTAAAGAGATGGGCTTTCAGGGCTTTTTTTAAACATGGGGAGTGTGGATGAGTGTCTGATGTGTTTGGGCAGGAAGTTTCAGAGGGTGGGGGCAGCAGTGGAGAAGGCCCTGTTCCAGGAGACAGGAGTTTGGCGACAGCTGATCGGAGGGCACGGGTGGGGGTGCGGTGGTGGAGGACCTCAGAGAGGGAGATGGGTGGGGGCCAGGTTATGGAGGGACTTGTACACAATGGTGTGGAGTTTGAAGTGGATGCACTGGGGGATGAGGAGCCAGCGGAGATCTCTGAGGACAGGGCTGATGTGTTCAAGGGAGGAGGTGCGAGTGAGGAGGAGGTGCTGGTGAGGAGGAGGAGGTGCGGGTGAGGAGGCGGGCAGCAGAGTTCTGGATGTACTGGAGTCTGTTGAGGAGACTGGAGGGTGATACATAGAGCAGCTATTGCAGTAGTCGAGGCTGGAGGTGACAAAGGCATGGATGAGGGTTTCAGCAGAGGGGAGAGAGATGGTCACGGGCGAGCAATGTTCTGGAGGTGATAAAAGGCGGTTTTGGTGATGTGTTTGACGTGGTGCTCGTAGGAGAGGGTCAAGTCAAAGATGATGCCAAGATTACAAAGGGGGGAGGATGAGGAGACTGAGGAGCCGTCGATGCAGAGGGTGAGGTTATTGTGGGTTTTGGTGAGTGTTTTGGGGCCAATGATGATTATATCAGTTTTGTCGCAGTTGAGTTGGAGGAAGCCTGGCTGTAGTCAGGACTTTATTTTGGAGATGCAGTTTGTGAGTGTAGAATGTGTGGCCGGTGTTATGGATTTGGAGGACAGGCAGAACTGGATGTCATCTGCAAAGCAATGGAACTGGAGACCGTGATGGCAGATTATATGACCAAGGGGGAGGATGTAGAGTATGAAGAGAAGGGGGCCGAGAACTGAACCTTGGAGAATTCCTTGAGTGAGTGGGGCAGAGGGGGACTTGCAGCGGTTAATATGGATGAAGTGGTCTGTCAGTGAGGTAGGAGGTAAACCAGGAGAGGGCGGTGTCTGTGATGTTGAAGGTGGTCTGCAGGTGGCTCACCCTGTTACCTTTTGTTTTGAAAATGATTTTGGCCAAAACAAATATTTACTTAGTTTCAGTTTCATTTTTGTCCTCGTTGCCCTTGCTCGATGCACTAATTAAACTACTGCACTTCATATCAATTTGCGAAGTTATAGTGTATTATCTTGTATCATGTTTTTGTATATTTATGGAGAATTGTGGTGCAGGCACATGGGTGACATAGGCTTCTGGGCTGAGCATTGTACAGGATTGTACTGTTAACTGTAAGGAGGATTAGGATACGGCCCAGGAGAGATTGCAAGATTACTCAAGCATTCATGGATGACATCTAAAACCTTTTCAGGCATGTTTTTAATGAAAGTACATTATAACATAGGAGTAAGTTCCAAAAAGTTGATACCTTCTTTGAATATTCATTATACACTACAGTCGTGGACAAAATAGTTGGCAACCCTCTGGCAATGAAAGAAAAATCAACAATCATCATTGAAATAACTTGAAACTGATAAACGCAATAATAAATAAAAATTTACTGTCCAAAGAAAATCAAACATTGCTTTTCACCTGTGGCTCAACAGAATTATTAGAAAAGAAAATAAATAATGAAACTGGCCTGGACAAAAATGATGGTACCCTTAATGTAATATTTTGTTGCACAACCTTTTGAGGCAAAAACTGCAAACCAATTATTTCTGTAACTGTCAGAGACTTCTGCTTTGGTCAACTGGTATGTTGACCCACTCCATGTGAGCAAACTGTTCTAGTTGTCTCAGGTTTGAAGGGTTCCTTCTCCAGACAGCATTTTTCAGCTCATTTCACAGATGTTCAGTAGAACTGAGATCTGGGCTCACAGAAGAACACTATCTGTCCAAAAGACATTCTCCCAGACGCTTTTTGACTTGTCAGTTTGCATCGTGGCAAATTCCAGTCTCACTTTTTTATGATTTGCTCTCAACAGTGGTGTCCTCACATGAAGTCCACTTTGGCTCAAACAGTGATGGATGGTGTGATCTGACACTGATGTACATCACCCTTCAAGTTCACATTTCATTTGTTTGGAGGTTGTTCTGGGCTCGTTGGTTCCATTCGTATGATCCATCTCTTCAATTTGTCATCAATTTTCCTCTTGCAGCCACGTCCAGGGAGGCTGGCTACAGTCCTGTGGACCTTAAACTTCTGAAGAACATGTGTAACTGTAATCACAGGAACATCAAGCTGCTTGGAGATGGTCTCATTGTCAGGAAATGTGTATTTATTATTGCTTTTCTTAGTTTCAAGTTATTTAAGTGAAAATTGTTGATTTTTCTTTCATTACTAGAGGGGTACCAACTATTTTGTCCATGACTGTATATATTAATATTTTTGGTATTTTTTATAATATTTTCTTCCACCAAAGTCCCAACCACATGCTTTTACTGACAGTAGGACAGGCTGTAGAGGTGAGCTGACCTGGCTGAGCTGCAGGTGCAGGTCCCTCTTGTCTGTAGCCAGGGCGGAGTTGAGGGCGGACATTGTGTCTAGAGCATCCTGTGTCTCATCCAGCTGTCTCTTCAGAAGTGTCTCTGAGGAGGACAGACGCAGTTCCACCTCCCTGCTCTGAAGGGCAGCACACAGACAGTCAGCCCAGAGAGAAATCACAGTCACTCCAAACAAGTCAGGTGGGTTGTACACGAAAGTATGAAGGGTCCTTTATTATAAAGTAAAAATAGGTTAAGATTATTGTTTAGGTTAAGGTTAGGCATTGTGCATCTTTTCTGGTGGAGGGCCTGTCACCTGCTTGTCTCCATGGAGATGTTATTGATTTTCCTGGAATGTTCCATGGAATGACATGACAACACATCTATCATTATGAGTTAATTAATAATTAATTAATAATTCTCTCAGTGAATGAGGTTGCCTCTCCACAGATCTGACCTGTAATGTAGCCTATAGTTGTTTCCCTTGAGAAAGAGAGGTTTAATCTCTACCGTGGAACATTCCAGACAAAGCAATAACATCTCCATGAGGACAAGCAGGTGACGGTCCCTCCACCAGAAAAACTGCGCAGTATACCTTTAAGTTTAGATTAAGTTTTACCTTTGTCAGAGCATCTCGCGCGTCTTCAGCCTCTTCTTCTGCCCTGTGTCTGTCCAGCTGCTCCTGCTCCAGTGCCGCCTGCAGGTGCCACAGGAACATTACAACATTAAAATATTAGAACACAATGACCACAGGGCTAAACCAGAACACACGCAGTCTGACCGTGAGACTGTGGATCTCCTGGCTCTGTTGGCTCTCCCTCTCTGTCAGCTGCACCTTCTCCAGGAGCTCCTGTTCTACCCTGAAACAGACCAGAGTTTAAGTGACAGACAAGAATCTAACAAGTGGATGTGAGGGGTCAGTGCCTGTACCTCTGCTGAACCTGCTCTTCCAGAGTCCGTCTCCTCCTCTCCTCTTCCTCCTTCTCTGTCCTCAGCCGGTCTCTATCCCTCTGTAGCTCCTGGACCTCTGAGCGCAGGGCTGTGCTGTCCTCCTGCTCCCTGACAGAGCACAAACACATCAGAGTCTGAATAAGAATACTCAACAAGGAAAAAAGGCATGCAGTTAAACCTCTGGAGGTGGTCCTGGGTCTCACGGAGAGTCTGCAGTGTGAGAGCTCTCTCCTCCTCCCTCTGTGTGAGCTCTGTCTGCAGGCGTGTGAGAGAGGCCTCCAAAGCACTCCTCTCCTCCTCCCTCTGTGTGCGCTTTGACTGCAGGCGTGTGAGAGAGGCCTCCAAAGCACTCCTCTCCTCCTCCCTCTGTGTGAGCTCTGTCTGCAGAATGCTCCGCTCCTCTTCCAGCCCATGGACAAGCTGCTCCAGAGCCTAGGACACAACCACACTCATCAATATACTCATTACTAGTGAAAATTAGAACAATATAAACAACTAAACACATTTCGAGTGACAGTGCAAATGTCAAAGTGCCAGGGTCTGGTCTCAAACCAATGGCCTTTAGTTTCCCTAATGTGTGATCTACTGCTTACACAGGACAGGACAAACTTTTGAAGCTTTATGTTTGAACCAGGTTTCTCTGCTCACACAATTAAGTTTGACTGGTGCCATCTGTCAAGAACAACACGCATGATTCAAGTGCACGTGCTGAGTGAGATTCAAACCCTAGATTACCTACAGACTTATGGCGTTTGGTGACATCTGCTCATAGCATCAGTTCTACCAGTGTCAGCTGTGACTGAGGCAAAGGTCTGTATTAAAGTCTGAGGTGTGAAAGCAGCACAGCTAAATGGTTAAGTGAAAAATGTTTGGACTTAGAGTTACAGTGTTGCTGTTGAATTAGTGGAAGGTTTTTAGTAGAAGTTTTTTATGTAGATGTGAACATAAGAGACACTTTTTTCATCTTGTGGTTATTTGTATGTCCTGTAGAAGAGTTAAGTAACATATCCAGTTGCGGGAGTTCGTTACAAAAGAAGTCAATGGAAAAAATGTATTCTATTTGATTTTTATATATCAAAAACTAGATGAGTGACATATGTGAAGAGCAATGACAGAAAAGAGAAAAACTGGATGATTTTGAATCAAATATGAGGAGTTGAAAGGGGCCAAAACACAAGATAAATGGTAAAATGCAAGGGCAAATAGTGACTGCGTGAGGTCATCACGTAGACCCTCCATACTTAAATAACATTATGAACCTTAGTTTGGGACCGTGGAAAGACAGAATACTGTGAGAAGAGAATACTGTGTCTTACCTGCACTTGGTGCTGGTTCCGTTGGAGGGCGCTCTCTGTCTGACTGATGACTCCCAGCAGAGAGGACAGATCCTCAGAGGAGACAGGACATGACAGGCAACTCTGAAAGAGGGTCTGAAAACAGCAGCAGAGGTGGTCTGGTTAAAGATGGCAGGCCTCTTCATGGTAGGCCAAAACTTAAACAACCTATAATTGCATTACATTTTATAATGTTTTGTTTCATTCATAAGTTGACCACACAAATCTTGCATATTTAGGTTGTTCTTTTCTTAAACTGAAAACAATCCACCTTTCATCTTCTGAAGACATTCAGTGGTAATACACGAAATGCTCCATTGTGTTTTAACTCCTTACACCTTTATTAGAATGATTTTATAATTTGGAATTGACAGATGTTGAAGTAACAGCTATAGCTTTGGCCTCATTAGCCTCATCGAAACTACTTCACTTCACAAATACTGAAGAGTAAATCTGTTCAATCTAAACTTTAAAACTACCAATACATGCAAAGTGGAACAGAGCATTTTGAGCTTTAGAGATCCAGACAGAATAAGAATAAAGGGTTATTCAAACATGTGTGAATGAAACATAACAGGTCTGTTTTGAGGAGAATAGTAGCATTATACCGTGGCTAAAAGCTCACATTATTAAGTTTTGCATAATATAGGACTTACATCTAACATCCAAAGCCCACTCACATGAAGTTTAGACCTTTACAAACATGATTCTTCCATGAGTTTAGCTGTTCATATCTAAGACTTCTCTCAAATGTTAATGCTCACAGCCATTCTGAACTGTATGAATCACAAGTATTTATAAGATACACAGTAATGAGATGTCTGTGCTAAAAGTGCCCTCACCAGGCCTTGCAGCGCGGCACTCACAGCCTGCAGGTTGGACTGGGCTTCTCTCAGTCTGGCACACTCCTGCCTGTGCTCCAGCAGACACAAGGAGGTGCTGTTCAGGCTACACCAGCACAAGAGCAGGAAGGGACAGGGAAAACACAACAGGTGGACAAAGTGGAATCAGCATATCGAAACATGCCCCTGGCTTTGGATCATTTCAAAATGTATATCATTATATTATTATATTATAATATTATAAGGACCCCAGGAAGACTAGCATGCTATATATACTAGTGCACAGTAAATAGAGGCCAGATCTGACACACTACTTCAACACAGGAAAAGTGATTAGTACTATTAGACAGTTGGAGCTGGTATTGAACTGCCAACCTTCCACTTCTAATCTCGAAAATGCTGCATCTATGGTCATTTGGACACATCAGCTCCATATAGAAGCCATTTTACATTTGATGGTACTGGCTGGGATTTATTTTACTCTGAGTTAACCAAGTCTAGTCCCAAAGGGAGGAGTTCTACAGAGAAAATACCTTGCTCTAACAACCCATGGTAGATGGTCACATTTTTATATAGCGCTTTTCCACCTTCAAGCCACTCAAAGTGCTTTACATCAAAGAACCACTTACCCACCCACACACACACCGGTGCACCCACACACACACCGGTGCACTCACACACACACACACACACACACACCAGTGCACCCACACAGAGGATCATAGGAGTTCTTTTAAATGTAAACTGGCTTCTGGATGGAGCAGAAAGTTTTGCAAAATCAGCATCCAGATGGACATCGCTGAAAGCTTCTTTACACTGAACCACTCCTGGACAGTGTGTGGGGTGTTCCCACACCAGTGGCAAAACCTGCCATTGTGTCTTAGGCAAAACACTTCATCCACATTGTCTAGGATGAAAGTGGTGTGAGCGTAAGTGATGGTGATGGTCAGATGGCACAGAATGGCAGCCTCGCATCTGTCAGTCTGCCCCAGGGCAGCAGTGGCTACAATAGTAGCTTACCATCACCAAGTGTGGAGTGAATGGATAATGCACCAAATTGTAAAGCGACTTTGAGTGTCTAGAAAAGTGCAATATAAGAATAATGCATTATTATATAGTCCCAGCCAGTCCCTCCAGCACACTTACTCCTCCTTCAGCTTCTTTAACTCACAGTCCTCCTGGACCTGTGCACCTTCAGCAGGGCTCAGCTCGTCCAAATGGAATGTCCCCAGTGAGACGGAGGACACCGAGACAGGGGACACAGGGCGGGGAGGGGGAGAGGAGTCTGCCACCACGGTGGAGGACAGAGTAGGGGGGGGCAAAGCAGAGGGAGCAGAGGGAGTGAGGACATGGGGGGAAGAGGTGGCAGCAGGGGCCTGAACAGCAGACAGGGACACAAGAGCAGGTAGTAAGGAGCTCTGGTTGAGAGTGAGTGAGTTACAAGAGGACAGCACTGACGTGGACAGACGAGACAAGTCCGCTCTCAGCTGCCACAGGTCCCTGCACAGAACACAACAGAATCATCTACAAGTCACATTAGGGTTAGGAAATACCAGGACAGATGAGAATGAAACAAGTTATCATGTTAACCCATGAATGAATCAAAAATGTACACATTATTCATGACACAGCGTATATGAATCCCAGTCACTTTGACCAAACCCACTTCACTGAGTAAGGCTGGAGTACAGAGTACAGCGTACAGCGTACAGCGTACTGGTGTTTTAATTGTGTTTTCATGTTTAGAGCAGCTCCCACTGTTCCAAAGAATCTAATCTTTGACAAATCACAGACAAGAATCCAAACGCTGAACACTGAACAAGCACCTGGTGTGCAGAGGTTCACTCATATCTGATAAAAGCTCCCTCTGTCTGTGTACACCACAGAGAAGTGTCATTTCTTTGTTTTCTCATTCAATGACAATAAAGCAACCAATTAATCAATCAAACAACAACAATATTTAAGCACATTAAATTCACAGGCTACATCTAGATGGAACCAATTTAATCACTGTATTACATTAAAGCCCCCAGCCCCCAGTATGTAACACAATTTATTTATTTTTATATATTTATATTATATATATATAATAATTATTATTATATAATATTATATTTATATTACATACTATCACTATATACTATCACTTTAAATAGGCCTATCATGTTGTATACAACATATATCATGTTGTATAATGTGTTGTGGTAATGTGTTGTTTCATCTGCTTTATCAATCATGAATTCAAATTTGAGTTGACCCTGGCCCCTGCTCGCTGAACACGCATGGTTTCATTCAGAAAATCCAGGGTTAAAAGGAGTTGTTAAGCAGTTTCGTAGCACCTTTTATCCAGGGACACATATCCGGGTTAGTCTATTCGGGGGAGAGACACTTATCCAGGATAACTTCAGCCAGCTTCATAGAGCAGGTCTCAAATTTAACAAAGTCAGAGTTTACCGCCCAGGCACATACCTGTCTGAGACCGTCCTGAGCGAGTGCCACTGACGCTTGAGCAGGACCACAGCCCTCCACAGGGACAGCAGCGCACCCTGGTGGTGAGTCCGGACCAGTTCACTGCTCTGTAACACAAATGCATGGTTAAGAAAACACACGACAATACACAGTGACACTAGGACACACAGACACACAGGACACACAGGGACACACAGGGACACACAGGGACACACAGGGACACACAGGGACACACAGGGACACACAGGGAGGACACATAGGGGCAGGAGAGCATTCTGATGGTGGCTCAATCCCAGGAAGACTAGCAGCCTCTCTTATGAATAATGAAATAAAAGTATGGTTTAAAGCAGTATTTCACATCTGCACACCTCCTTCTGCGTCTGCCAATCAGCCTCCCAGTGCTCCGCCTCATTTACTGCTTTGGACCAATCAGCCGTCAGCTTCTCCAGGTCCTCCCTTAGGGTGGCATTGCTCTGCTCTGATTGGCTGAGTTCCTCTCGGAGTAGAGCGTTGGTATGTGCCAAAGCCTGGGATCTGAGACGCACAGTTAGGACATGGTCAGCCATTTATGAAAACAAGAAAAATGGACATCACCAGACACATATATGACTTATACCAGGGGTCTCCAGCCTTTTTTCTCCAGTTACCTACCTTTACAAAACAAAAATGGCAGCATGCTACCAATTTCAGCAGTCGCAAAGAAACTGAGTAAATATAAGAGCCACAGCAAACTTTCGATGGGGAACAGTTAGATTCTCATAAAACATAAACCATTATCCATTTATTGATGCACCAAGTTAGACATTAAAACGATACAATTACAACGGTAATTAATCAAATGTTACTAATTGTGCACTATACATAGAATTCAGAAATACCTTGGAGAGCTGCTTGGAAGGGGGTGGAGAGCTACTGGTAGCTCCCAAGCTACAAGTCGGAGTCCCCCGACTTACACCTGACTACTATTAGTACAGTAATACTTTGCAGCTGATGTCATCAACATTTCCTGGGGGTATGGTGGTAACTTTAGGCACTGCTGTGTCTGAGGCTTCGTTTCAGACTTTAATCTAAACTTTATTTTAACACAATCTGAAGAGTTGACTAGGTTGGAACTACAATAGGTGATTTGTGTTTGAGTTTCAGATTATTTTAAACTTTTTTGCCTGTGTTTGCTAATTGTATCACCATGGTAACTGATGAACATTCTGCTATACACATACATGTACAACACTCCCCCCATGATACCACTGCAAAATATCAGTAACTATATGACAAAACAGAACAAAGACAGAGCTTTTTACTACCTGCACTACTATTCTATTCTATTCTATAAATTTATTTAACATTTAACACAAGGGGGTACATGTGACTGCTTTCATGTTTTTCTAAGTCTGACTGGGTTCGGTAGAACAGAACCTGCAGTCAATAATTATCATAGTTTTACAGTTTGGCAGTGGCAGTTTGTGGAAAAGTACAAAAATACAGAAGGTAGCGCTGAGTTGTTATCAACATGAAAAAGCCCGTCTAAAACGCAGAGACCATTAATGCAAAAGGAAGGACGTTTTCTGACAGTTCAAACCTTCATTTAACACAATAAATGTGTTGTCATTGATTTGTACTAATCAAAACTAGTGTGTCATTTAATAATGCTTTGGTCCAAACAGGAAGTAAAATTATAATCATTACCAAAATAAGAAAAACTAGGAAAAAATAGGCAAGATTTGTAGTAAAACTGTAAATCTTAGATGTGTTAGCTGTGTTTTAGTGAAATGTGGTCTAACCTGTGCACTTTAGTCTAGTGAAAACAGAAAGGCTGTGTCCCAATTCGAGGGCTGCAGCCTCCGAAGGCTGGTTTTAAGGCCGCATACGTCACTTCCGGTGAAAGAAGGCCTGTCCCATTTCATTTTTATGTCATGCAGCCTTCAAATGCAGCCCTAAAACCGGCCTCGTTTCCATGGAAATGGGGCCGCGAACGGAGGACACATCCGAGTATCCTTCGCAGCCTTCAGTATCCCAGCATGCACCGCGCGGCGGCAGTCAGATGTTCGAAAACACGGAGCAAAAAGCCGGTCCCGAGAGCGGAGAAAAACATGTGAGTAACACTTTTAACTTTAGGAAATCATTACTAACACAACTGTAAACGTAAAATACGACCATAAGTCCCACAAAACTGTCAAATAAGTTTGTTTTTAACTGCGTGAACCGCGGAGTTTTGAGCTAAAGTTTGCCTAGTAATGTGCAGCTAATGCGATGAAAAGTCCGCTCAAACTTTCATATTTGGACACATTTCCATCAAACACTCATCATGTTTTTACTGTTAGGGGAAAAGAAGCTCACAGAGTGATTTAAAGAAGCTACGAGGAGAAAACTCCACGTTTTCACGGACAGTGTAAACATGTAAACAGTTGGTCAGTGTAGCTCGGAGTTAAGATGAAAACACACATTATTTCATACATTCAGCTGAAAAAAGACTCAGTCTGACTCTATCAAAGCTCATATTTACTTGTAAATCACATAATATATGCCTCCAACGTGTGCATTTCATTCAGGGAATACATTATCTGCTTTTAACAATCCGTGCATGTTTGTAAAGTGAAGAGTATATAATATCCTGCCTGGACAGGTCAGATTTATGATGGACATGAGGCTCGTTTAACAGATTTGTGCAGACACTGGTGTAGATACGACCTGGTGTAGATACGACCTGACTGTGTCTGTTAGGTCTGTCACATCTAATGTTATAACAATGAGAAATCTGTTTTACATGAATTTTCTTTTCTCATCTGCAGCCTCCTGTATGAGGACGCGACACACTGCAGGGGCCACAGAACTGTTGGCTGACAAGATGCTTGTGATTCATAAAATGGGTCAAATGCAGATGACAAAGTAAAGCCAACGCTGAGCTGGAGGTGCTGACCCAGACTCCTGCCAACGATTAGGTATGGGGCATGTTACATTGAAAATTGTACTAATAAGAGCTGCAAATGAATCATGCTCATGTTGAAATTATGATTTAAATTGTGAAAATATGCATTTCTCAAATGTGTGGGATTCCTCTATTCATTTAGCTGTTTCAGATATAAACTGCCTTTGAATCTGAATGTACATCAAAGTTTAAGTTCAACGTTAAAATAGTTTATTGTCAATTCTTCATACAAAAAACATATAAAGAATCGAAATTGTTTTTCTCACTCCCTTGCGTATAAATAAATAATAATAAATGTAAATAGTGCGGAGGGAGTCCAGGTGTTCTTTGGGGCTGCATGCTCTTTGAAACTTACTTTCCTCTAATAGTTTTGTGTTCTTAATGTGTGTGTCATTACAGGTTTTCACTCTACAGGACAGAACTTTGAATCAATCAGACGCAACAACCATTCTGCTCTTCCTCCTCCAGAAGACGAGAGACACATCACACTGAGTGGTCCAAGTCCACTGTCCATGTCTCCACTGTCCATGTCTCCAATGTCCATGTCTCCACTGTCCATGTCTCCACTGTCCATGTCTCCACTGTCCATGTCTCCACTGTCCATGTCCACTGTCCATGTCTCCACTGTCCATGTCCAGAGTCTCTGAGGAGCAGGTCCAGAGTCTCATATGATCTGAACAAGTGTGTGAGACAGAAATGAAAACATCTGCTCATAAGTGTTTCTGAATGTTTTTCAGCCTGTACTGACATTTGATTTATGGCGAAATGTGCCATTTATTTGGTGTCTCTTTTGATAGTAACTAATTACATGTACTATAAGAATGTACTATTGTACTGCAGATAAGCTGTGGTATTCCACATGACCATATCTGGCAAAGATAATTTGTTCATTTTTGATTGTCACTTGCTTCAGCAAAAAGGGAACACAATGAGATTTACTGACATACAGCTGTTTGTACTAACTTGTTAATGCAGAGTGTGTGTAATGGGTTTAATATTTGACTTCATATTATGATAAAGTATTTCCAGAAGTTCCTTGGATTGTTTAATAAATCATCTTTTCTCAGGAGAGATGTCTTTCTTTCTTTACAAACTGACTGTATAAATGTAATCCCTGGTCAATATAAAAATCCTTAATAATGATAATATTTAGTAATGCATATCTCATCACAGTTTTTTTAATTTTAAGATAATTTAGTCTATTTAAAATGTATCCCTTAAATATAGCCGTTTTGTTTTGCAAAAGTTAAACATACATTTTCGGTTTTGGCCATAAGATTTGGATGCGAATTATTAAAATAATTTGGTCACAAAATCCGACAGTTTGATGACCTGTGCGTCTTTTTACTGATCCGTGTGTGGAATCTGCGCGGAGCGTGTTAGCATTAGCATTAGCGCTAGCAGCGTCCCTCGGTTGCTAGGCGACAGGGGAGCGGCTCCGAGGTCTAGACCTGTCCCATTTCCGCAACGGCCTGGCGGTCCGCGGAGGCCAGTTCAAGGGCTGCAGCCTTCGCGGCCGACGAAGGACCCAGCCTTCACAGCCTTCGGAGGCTGCAGCCCTCGAATTGGGACACAGCCAAAGTGAGGGGTACATTCAAAAGCGTGCATGTTCTGTGTGACGTAATAGGGACACACACCTTTGCTGTTCCTCCTCCAGCCTGATGAGGGCACTCTCCAGAGAGTGGCTGTGCTGGTCCCGGAGTCTCTGCTGCAGGGCACACCTCAGAGTTAAAGAAGAGCGTGATCTGATGTAGGTGTGTCTGTGTGCAATTGTTTTGTTTTGTTTTTTTTTGTTTTTTTTAATCATATAAATAAATACACAATATTTGGGGGCTAGTCATGAGACAATATGAAATAAAATATTAGAATAACTCACACTCTGATGACAGACTGGGGAGTTATACACAATTATACAAAATGTACCATAATTAATTATTGTCCGCCCCAGTGTCCCCAGCCTTTTTATCATGATAAAATTATTATTGTTTATTGCCCCATGGCTACAGGGGACACCTGCTCAAGACAAGACCAGGAAAGACCTGTTCCATTTCTAAACCCGACCAGAATGTGCACGAAAGTAGCTTCAGACGCATAGACTGTAAAACTGCGGCTAATCAGGAGCCAAGATCCATATTTGGAATTCTGACCGTGAGTATTATAGCAACTAAAGAGCCAACATGGAGCAAGGCTGCTGAAGCTCCTTCCAAACTCCTGGTTTAACAGGGATTGGGCACTTAGCAGCACTGTCAATCAAATTGTTGGAGCAACCTCAGGAAAAGAAGCTGCATGATTTGTCTGTTATTAATGTTCATATCTTGATTTAGGAACAAAGTAGTGAAAAAAGTGGGTTAATATGAATAGACCAAACTGACGAGCCTGACAGCAGCAGTTAGATAGAGAGTGGCCACGGTTTTACAATAGAAAGTGAATTGGAGCCAGGGTCGACGGAACCAGAACGGCAGCCATGCTCACGGAAAGCACCAGCTAGCGAGTTAGCTATGTTCATGCAGTCTATGATCGAGCGCATGTAAGGGAGCGGTTTACAGGGGACAGGGTCTGACCTCTGTGCTGACCAGCTGAGTCTGCTCCTGCTGGACCTGGACCTCCAGATGTTGAGCTCTGTCTCTGTACTCCACCACCTGAGGACACACAGCGGCACATGCACAACCAACACATTTTGCTACAGATAAAACATTGATTTAACAGAACAGATGCATCATTGTCTATTTGTATTAGTCTAATCCTAACTATTGTGCAGTTTAGACAAGTTAGGGTTAGGGTTGGAGGAAAGAAGGAGAGAGAGAGAGACTTTTGGTCACAACTATTGGTCACAAGAGAAAATTGGGAAACAGGAATATCTCTACGTATGTCATATCTGCAACCTGTGTCCAGCTAGAAAGTTATACAGTTCACCTATATAGAAAAAGTAGAAGAAACTAGGCAAAATAATAAAAAAACATACTTTAGTGAAATAGTCTAAAGCTGTTAAATGAGCTTTAAAGAGGGAGTATTTTAAGATGAGGGAGCACTGTGATGATGGAGCAGACCTTGTTCTGTAGCCGGTGGATGTGCAGAGCCTGGCGCGCCTCTCTCTCCCGACACTCCCTCATCTTCCTCCTGCAGTCCCTGTGCTCCTCCTCCAGGGGGAGTAGCGACATGCTCTGCAGCAGCTGCACACACAAGACACACACACAAGACACACACATGTGCATATGAACCATAGACTTATGCATAGTTTATCATGTGAACAGTGCAGAGAGATGAAGGCCCACTGACCCGCTGGCCCAGGGCCTTGGTCTTCGACTCCAGCTCGTCCTTGTGGGCCCGGGTCTCAGCCAGCGCCACCTGAAGGCGGCACACCTCTCTCTGGAGCTCCGCCCTCTCTTGCTGCCAGCCAATCACAGCCTCCGCCTCCATGTGCATATCTGTGGTCTGCCTTTATGCTGGAACAAAGGTGCACTTCTTTACTTCAGCTCATTCCCTTATAACTTCTGCTCTTTTTCTGTCTAATCCAAAAGTTGGTGGTACAATCCTGCTGCCTTCAATGCATACTCCTTGGGCAAGACATATCTCAGAAAGACCAGTTAAAAGACCTGTATGTTGTAATTTTGTTTGTAAGTGTTTTCCTTCTTTCCCCATTGTTCCTCCTACACAGTCCTGGGAAAAATGACTTTCACATAATCCGCATCAGAAAGGACTGATATCAAAAATGTATGACTTTATTCTGACATTAAATGACCAGTCAAGCTTTAGAATCAAGAATACTTGGGAAAGAGAGTTGGGAATACAACTGAGTGAGGATCTCTGGGATGATTGGTAGAATACGGTCCACTACTTCTTGTAAAACTTTGAATTGGATAAGACCAAGCCGAGCACATCAGGTGCATTTTTCAAAATCAAGACTCCTTGAAATGTACCAGAAACTGAAGACAAATGTGAAAAGTGTAAAGGCTCTCCTTGTCACCTTAGCCACATGTTTTTTCTTTGCCATAATCTTCATAGTTATTGGTCTAATTATTTTATCACTATATCAACTGTTCTTGGAGCAAACCTACAGTCTTGTCCTCTCATTGCCATATTTGGGATCACTGACTCCTCAATACCTCTGACTTCTACACAAAGGGATATTACTGCATTTACTTCTCTAATTGCAAGACGTATACTGCTATTACACTGGAAATCTGACAAATGTCCTTCTTTTTCGATATGGCTTAAAGATATGGTGGTATTTCTAAAACTTGAAAAAAATAAATATACATTAAGGGGATGTACAGATAGATTTTTCCAGGTATGGCGATGCTTTATTTCTTATTTTTTTTATTTGCGAGTGTTACCAATATGAATGTACCAGTACCTACCTGATGTAGTTGTAGTTGTAATTGTAATGTGTTGTTTCTGTAATTTGGAATATTTAATATCTAATTGGTGGCGCTATGTATGTGGTTTAAATGATGAGCTGAGATGGGTTGGGATGAGGATGTTCTTTATAAAAGAAAAAAAAATCCTGTTATTATTTTTGTACACGTATATTGTTGATGCTTGTATTTTATTACACTGTGCTTGTGCAATTGGACGGGGAAAAAAAGACAACTGTATGTAACCTGTACTCTTATGGTTGAAAAAAAAACAAAAACTTACAATCACAACTGAACCTGTGTGGACAGTGCTTTAACCTGCAGGCAGAGGACACAGCCACGTCCCATGATTTTATACCTTTTATACCTTATCTGTAAAATCCTAAGAGCGTTGAATGTAAACATTTTGACTCTTGGTCTCTTGTAGAAATAGGGAAGGTGTTTTAGGAATGAATTAAATAAGTAGAGAACAGTATGTGTCAGTAATTTGTAAAATGTATTGTCTGTATTTGAATTGCTATGAGCTCCATTTATAAACCAAGGCTGGCTTCAGGGGTGTCTCATTTACAAAATGTATTTGCTAAATTATGCTTACAATGGTTACAGTATATTTTGTCATTTTGTAATAAATAATAATAAAATAATAATATTTTTTCTTAGTATATGGACAGACCGGGACTCACGTGAAGCTCAGAACCTCCAGAATTCCCTCCCTGAGCTGCAGAGGCTGCACTAGCACTGACTCATGACTGACTGCAAGTTCTGGGGTTTGGGGAGTGACCACTGAAACTGGCAACCCAAATAAGAGACTCAAGTGAGGCTCATTCTGCTTTCTGATTGAATATTTGTCTTGAGAACGAAATTATAAGATAAAAGAATGGGATATTATGCCCAATGTTTTTGTAATTAAAGTGCATATGACATGTTAGATTAGTTATTTCTCTGAAACACAGTTACGTCATTATATTTATATTTTTTTGTAATTTTGGAGAAGGTTATAATTTAACTTTAGGTTGGATACAGTGAGCAAATATGACATATGATGAGGTATGTTACCTAAACAAGGGCTAAATCCTTTCTAAATTACACAATATTTATGATTTGACTGATAAAAACAAATGACAGTACTTTTATTTAGTTAAATCAATGTTAACCTGTGCATAAATTGTCTCTGAATTTTTGAGAGATTTTATATAATTTGATGACACAGGTAGTACTGCCTGTATTTTCCAAATTTTGTTTTCTATTTTTCTTCACAAACTTAACAGACACTTAACTGTGATCTCTGATAAATACTGACCACAGGTACTATTTCACCAAACCCAGTCAGAATGAGAAAAATATATGAATGTGTCAAATGTACTTTGACATAACTCAGTATTACAGTTGTTATTAGTAAAAGCTATACAGTATGTGATCTGAACATGTCTAAAATCTTACACACAGGTCCTTTACAGAGCACACATCCCGCTCCGCTGGACACCACAGCAGTGAGCTCAAACTGTTCCACACACTGACCATCCACTGCCACATTTTCACTTTTCACTTTATCATCATGACACCTCTCTTCTACCTGTTCACAAATGCACATGTTTATTTTGAACATTACATGATGACAAAGAACGTGTAACACATTTTCTAACATTTATGTGAGTAAACTGAATAAGAACTGCTCAAACTGAAACTGAAATTCAAGCCTATCTGTAAATGTAAGATTTTTCCCCTTTTCGCCTGCAGTACCTCGCCTTAAACATGAAATACTAACATGAAACAGATTCTATGAGAGAAAATGTCTGATATAAAAGCAAACGCGTGCCACCATAGTCTGAAAGGCTATACTGCTGCCCAGTTCATTCTGGGGCTTTAGAATAATCTGATCATTAAATCCTGTAATAATCTGAACCTTTAAACCTGTGAGAGCGACAGAGCCAGAGCCGAACCGTTACCGGGCTGCGACTGCTGTTAACCACTAGCATTGTTAGCGTCAGAAAAGCGGCATAAAAAGCATAAGGCTTGTGTATTTACAACTACTGTTCAACATAATTTTAAGGGCAAGTTGATCCAAAGTTCAAGAGAAGTTTCAAGGAAAAGTCAGAAACCAGAGAGTGAAACTAACCGGAGCAAAGTGGCTCCAGAGGCGCACTGACCTGTGAGTGTGTCCGACAGAGAGCCGCTCCTCACCGCCACGAGCCGAGCACTGTGAGCCTCTCGCAGCACCACATGATCCATCAGAGCAAAACACTCGACTGCACAGTTCAAACTCACCTTTCACCCGCGACCGGACGTGACGTCATATACCCGCGCCCGTACGTGTGTGTGTGTGTGTGTGTGTAAATACTGCCCCCTGCTGTCCACACATGGCGGCAGACCTATTACATTTTTGAACCCATAATTATTAGAGGAACAGCAGATAGAGCAAAGGTCGATGGAGTTTTTTAACTCCTTTGTCATCAGAACGTCCAGGTGGAGGCAAATGAAGCACACATGTACAGTTCATTCACTCAACACTCAGTGGTGTTCAGCTGCTACTGTAGCCACAGCTGCCATGGGGAAGTCTGACAGAAGCACAGCTGCCAATCTGCACCATCAGCCCAACTGACCACCACCAACACACACACCACTTTCATACTAGCAAATGTGGGTGAAGTGTCTTGCCTAAGGACACAACAACAGTTTTTGCCAGTGGCACCCTCCTGTGGCACCTGATTTTCCCAGTGTCTCCCATCCAAGTACTGACCAGGCCCAGCCCTGCTGAGCTTCTGAGATCTGATGGGATCAGGCTTTGATAAACCGGTACAGCCACAAAATAAATGTTGTCTCTATAGCATCTTCTCTCCTCTTAAACACCATCTTGTCCCAGTCTATTATTTCCATATATCTGAGAAAGATTCTGATGACACACATCAGCTGTGTTCAGTTTGTGGAGTATAACTGTCACTTACAGTGTATTTGTTATTATTTATCTATTTATATTTATAGATATCTTATATCTATTTATAATATTATGAGTATTTTTGAGCTGAACTTGTGTATTTCAAACAGTGTAGGTCATGTCTGTATTGTTCTTATGTGTGTTTTGCAGATGTCAACACTTTGATCAAGACAAATGTTCCTCTGGGACAATGGAGAAGATTTGAGAATTGATTTGAGTTTAAAAGTCATGTGACCAGTGCAGTCTCTTTTATGTGTTTGTATAAAAGAGACCTCTCATTCATATTCTGTTCTGTATAATGTTTGTACATTCTATAGAATAGAATAGAACTGAGAGGAGAGAGGAGAAAGGAGCTGATTTTCTCTGATAGAGGCCTCCTCTCTCCTTCTCTCCTTCACTCTTCTATCATGTGCAAGGTCTCTCGCTCTCTCTCCTCTCCTATCTCTCTCCTCCTCTCACCTGCTCTCTCTCCTGCTGTCTCCTCTTTTTCATCTATCTTCTTGTTCTGTCATGTGCATGCTCCCTCTCCTCCTCTCTCCTCGGGGCGTAAAGTAAGCGTGAGTGTGGACAGTTTGTCTTTCACAATAAGAGGAGGATGGAGACACACATGTCAGAGCAGTGACAGAGCCGCAGTCACAGTAGAGCCGTACACGTGTGTCTTTTATGATGATGATGATACCCGCGCCGACTCTTCAGAGCGCTCACTCTCGACACACTCTCGTCACACTCTCGTCACACTCTCGACACACTCTCGACACACTCTCGTCACACTCTCGACACACTCTCGACACACTCTCGTCACACTCTCGACACACTCTCGTCACACTCTCGACACACTCTCGTCACACTCTCGTCACACACTCTCGACACACTCTCGTCACACTCTCGACACACTCTCGACACACTCTCGACACACTCTCGACACACTCTCGTCACACTCTCGACACACTCTCTCGACACACTCTCGCACACTCTCTCACTCTCACACTCTCGACACACTCTCGTCACACTCTCGACACACTCTCGTCACACTCTCGTCACACTCTCGTCACACTCTCGACACACTCTCGTCACACTCTCAACACACTCTCGCTCTTAATGTGTCAGTCCTCTCCAGCGGAAGCCCTGTGCGCATGTGCAGCCGCTACCGTCTCCGCAGCCGCATCACTCCCTCTGTTCTGCAGTCTGAACCGGCGCACATCCGCAGCACATCCGGACTGAACCGAGCCGAGGCGGGCCAAACCGGGCCGAACCCAGTCCAGAGAGCCCGAGTCCGCGGCCGCATGAGCACGAGACTCATCCTGATCGGTAAGCGCGCGCACATCCCTCTCTAGAGCATCCGCGCCACTCCCTTCTGATACGCGCGCTCACCTGACACACGCACGCGCACTCTGACCCGAGATGCACACACAAGGTCAGAATGAGGTCCGAGCCGGTCCGTGCCGGTCCATGCCCACAGTCCAGTGCGTGGGCATCTCATCCGTTTCTTTGCGCCCATCATCTGCTCCCCGTGCACCGCTCTCAGGTCTGGTCTGGTCTGGACACACTGGAGTGGTGTGGAGTCCGGCGTTAGTGCTTCAGCTCCCAGTGCAGCATTCGTGCGTCCTGACATAATCCTGGTTCTGCTCGGCTCTGTCCCGTTCTCAGAGTTTTGGTTTAATCTTGGCTGGTTTAGCTCCACTCTGACTGTACCAGGCCTGTAAAGCAGAGGACAGCTGCTGCTACATCCTACTGATATTAGGTTGATCAATATAATGCTACTGTAGCCTACTCCTGGGCCTATGCAATGAGAGCAGATCTGCTCCTCCACTGTGCGTGTCAGCTCCGTATCTCCTCTTATGTTTTATTTATTTAGAAAAGGTGTACTATGTATTAAAGAGGGGGGATTTAACTTCTATGGGCTATTAAATGCTAACACATAACATTGTAGATCACCATGTTATTGTTTTGAAAATTCTCTATTCGCCAAAATCATCGTATTAACATTGTTTATTAAGTTTCGTTTTTGAGTCTTTGCTCCAAGTCCCTCCCTTTCAAAGCGCATCCCGCTAATGAGCTTCTATCTTGTTATAATGTCGTTCCTCATCAAAAACATGCCTGGACAGGTTGTAGGTGTCATCCATGTTTGGGGAATCTAGTGATCTCTCTCTCTAGAATGCCGTCTGAACCCTCCTTGAGGTTAGCGGTACGAGCGTGTACAAGGCTCACCATGTTACAGTCAGAGGCGGTGCTACCATTAGGGCCTCCAAACCTGGAGGGGCCCCCAACTGATTGCCCTCAGTGCCACTAATGGTCGAGGCCTCAGACCAATTTCATTTTCTCTCAATATGACATTAAATGAGAGTAGTTTACTTTTAAACAATAATCATAAGAAAAATAATAATCAAAATAATTAAATTAAATACAGGCAATTAAAATACTGACCCACTTTACCTAGATTCTTTTAACTGTATGTTTTAACATTATTTAACTTGTTTATGTTTTTGTAAGGCAACCTTGAGTGTCCAGAAAGGCGCCTAATAAATAAAATGTATTATTAGTAGTTTAATGGATGTAAACAAAATTGTAATTGTACTTGTAAAAAAAAATAAAACTACTTCAGCTCTGGTTTTCTAGCAGGCGACCGAAATAATAAGACAAGTTTCCAATCCACCATAATTCAAATAAACAGAGATGTGCATGTCTCAAGAACAATGGACAATAAATATATATATTAACAAAAAAAACAAAACAAAAAAACAAAACAGTGCATTATAGTGAGGGTCCCAAACTGAAATTTGCCTAGGGCTCGGAAAAATTGCAAATTCTGCCACTGATTACAATAAAAGGAAACATGGTGATCTAAGTATGTTAAGTGTTAGCAGTTAATATAAGAAGAATATGTCAAAGGTACAGTATGTAACCAAAAAAATAATAATAATAAAAAAATCAAAAACATTCTCCATGGAGAGGGCGTCTTAGTGCCACACCTAGGGATCCATCTCCAGATCTTGAGATAGTCTGGGCAGTTCTCCATCAATAACAAAACAAAAGCAGGACACAAAACAACACACTACAACTTCACAAATCTGATGCAATGTGCAGTAGTTTCATTAGTGGGATACACACTGATTGTGTTGTGATAGCACTCTGAAACGGGGATGATTTAGAATGGGGAGCAAAGGGAGGGGAGACTCAGAGTATCAAAATGAGAGTGAATTACGTTGTTTTCAGTGAATACAGTATTTTCAAAACAATCAAAGGAAACATGGTGATCTAAATATGTGATGTGCTACAGTTAATACCCCACAGTAGTAAAATACCCCCGCTTTATCTGCCAAAGTGACGTGACCTGTACATTTGTCCCATAGGGAATGCAGCGCCTCCTGGTGGTGTGAGGGCGGAGTCATGATGGCCGCAGTGGGAGGAGCCTCCATAGTGCTCACCATCTGTTCTCTGGTGCTGCCTTCTGTGATTGGTCAGTCCTGTCACTCTCCTCCTGCTTTAGTGTGTGCTTGGGGATTCTTAAAGTGCATATGACAGGTTTTATAATTCTGACCTGGATTGGTGGGATAGAACCTGTGTTGAAAATTCATCATAGTTTTGTCATGTCAGCTTTAATACACTGCAGTATGCACAGCAAAGGAGAAATTAAATTCTATCAGCTGGAAAAAGTTTTTTGATTTAAAGGTTGTATGGAGGATTTTTTTTTGTTTCAAATTGTCAATGAAAGCTTAATATACCATTACAGAGAGGCAACAGCCTTGTAATTATGATGACCAAAAAAAAAAAAAGAAGAAAAATCTACCAACTGTGGATGTAGTGAGGCCAGATAAACATCAGCCAATAGAAAACGAGGCTCCCTCATTTTCTATTGGCTGTCAGGTCGTCAATCAAACTCTCTACGTTTCTAGGGTAATTGACTCAGAATTACAGGGTTTATGCAGTGGTTTAGAGCTAGTGTGCCGCGAGAAATTATCCAATATCACTTTTTTTTTAAATTAAAATTTATTAATTATTACCTGCAAACATTATGTCATTGTCGAGTGTCCGTGCTGTACTTACTACAGCACGGACACTATACTACAGTGTAGTATATAATGATTGGCAGAGTGATATAATATTTGTCCGGGTGGCAACAGGCAGCTAATTGCCTCGTTCCTTTAAAACAGGGGTGCTCAATACGTCGATCGCAATTTACCAGTCGATCGCCAAGGTCGTGTGGGTAGATCGCCGTGTCTCGTCTCGGACTCGCGTTTGGACTCGGTCTTGTCTGTCACTCAAGGTCTGACACTCAACAAGTGCGGTCATATTTCATTACGGCCGCTGCTGTTGGTAATAAACTTGTACAGGTGTGCCAGAGCGTGTGGGGCGTCTCAGTGCAGCCTGTGCGCTCATTTGAAACCCGCAGAGACTCTACGGCACATCACAAATACACACGCTCCCTATGCACGGCTCGTCTGCAACAGCGTGTGCCCTCGTGTACCAGCGTGCATCACAGGGCAGGTTCAACTTCCTAAACATCCTACCTGTCCATCTGCCTCACGTCAGCACGCCGCCCCTCGCCTTTTCACGCTCTCGCTCCTTCCTGCGTACAGCGAACACAAGCCCCTCCCACAGTGTGCGCTGATTAGAAGAGCAAGACCAAACGTGAAGCAAAAACCAGTCTAAATTTGTGTTCCAGTGTTGGCACAAAGCAGGTCTACAGCATAGAGCGGATCTACAGAACAGACCTACTGCCACATTTGGCTGAAGTTTGCCTAATTAAAGTGCACAAATACATCTGTGTTTGTCACGATGTGCATTTGGTTTGGTAAACGTGCAGAGGCTGGTAAATATCACTGCAAAACCAGAAAAGAATGTAACTCCAGTTTGGAACTTTAAAAAACAGGTTTAAAAATCTTCCTTCACTTTTTTCACAGTTTTGTGTAAAGTGCCAGAGGAAGTTCTCTTAAAGAAGGGGTTCTCAAACTGTGGGTGAGGGTCCAAAAAAGGGGCACAGAGTGTTTCAGTGCAGTTTGCTTGGTTTTGTATTAGGTAGATCTTTATGACTTGGTCATTTTGTAAGTAGCTCGTATGCTGAAAAAGTGTGAGCACCCCTGCTTTAAAAGAATTAGTAACGCATGTGCGTGGTGACAGTCATGGAGAAGTTTTTAAAACGGACGAATGCAAACTCCGAACTGGGCCTTGGACAAGATTCTGACCCAGAAGAAGAGCTTTTCAAGCTTAACTGCTATAAAAACTAAAAACAGAGAGAGATTGAGAGCTGTTGATGAAGAGCTTCATGTGTGTCTTTCTTCTATTCCTGTCAGGATATCAGCTTTGTGTTCATCTAAACAGGTGCAGGTCTCACACTGAGTAAGTAGAAATTAATGTAGAAATTATATTGTAATTAAATATACTGTATAGTGTCATTTTATAACATTTTGATTAGTGGTGTGCCGCAAGATTTTTCCAATGTAAAAAACGTGCCGTGGCTCAAAAAAGGTTGAAAAACACTGGTTTAGAGAATTTTTAAAACTGTAGCTTTCTCGCAGTTTGCACAAGGTTTGTTGCGAGGTTGGATGAGAATCCATGACCAGTTCGCCGCAAAAGAAAGTCTGAAAGAAGAAGAGAAGGGGAAAAGGAGCAAAGACAAACTGAGGTGATTCTTGGAGATTCCTTTCAGCGATGGCGCGAATAAAGCAGACAAAGGGTCTAAAAACTGACACGCATGGTTTAGACCTGGTTTATACCTGGTTTTAGACCTGGTTTTGACATTGTTTAGTCTTAGTTTAGACCTAGTTTAGACCTAGTTCAAACTTGGTTTTAGACCTGGTTTGGACCTAGTTTAGACCTAGTTTAGACCTGGTTTTAGACCTGGTTTTTGTCCTGATTTCAGTCCTGGTTTAGTCCTGGTTTAGATCTGGCTTAGTCCTGGTTTAGTCTTAGTTTAGACCTAGTTCAGACCTGGTTTTAGACCTGGTTTGGACCTAGTTTAGACCTAGTTTAGACCTGGTTTTAGACCTGGTTTTTGTCCTGATTTCAGTCCTGGTTTAGTCCTGGTTTAGATCTGGCTTAGTCCTGGTTTAGTCTTAGTTTAGACCTAGTTCAGACCTGGTTTTAGACCTGGTTTGGACCTAGTTTAGACCTAGTTTAGACCTGGTTTTAGACCTGGTTTTTGTCCTGATTTTAGTCCTGGTTTAGTCCTGGTTTAGACCTGGTTTAGACCTGGTTTAGACCTGGTTTAGTGTCCAGCAATGAGTGGAATTACCGAAAAAAAAGGGATATAGCCCAAAATGTGCAAACAGGAACAGGAGCCATGTAATCCATTTATTTTAACAAAGTAACTGTAATCCAATTACCACTCACTTAAACAGTAACTGTAACCGAATACAGTTACTCATAATTTGTACTCTGATTATGTAACTCTGGTACATGTAATCTGTTACTCCCCAACACTGGTAGTAACTAACCAAAACTGTAATATGTTACCACATTATTGGCATTAGGTTATTACGTTATTGTTTCAGACATTATCTTACATTACTGGCAAGTTATTACATTATTGGCCACTAAACAAACGTGATTTCTAGAGTAAAGAGGCGGGAGGAGATGTTTCTACTGAAGGAGCTGTGGAGGAGGAAGGTGGTGTCACGCATGCACAACATTTGAAAAAGGACTGTCGCTGTATTTCTCTTTCCTTAAAAAATCCTCTATACAACCTTTTAATATGTTTCGCAGCTCGTCCAAGCTGCTTTTCCAGTTCAGGGCAGACGCTGGTGGACACTTTCTTATATCTGCCTGAAGGGAGGAGCCAAATCCACTGAAAGTACTCTGAAACTAACACCCTACTTGTTTACAGTTTCTGTTTGTAGCTCGGTCAATTGAACTGCACTAAGTGTGAACTGTGCCACACTACACTACAGAGTTCACACATCACAAGTCATTATTATTCAGGCAGATATAAGGCAGTGTCCACCAGTGTCTGAACAGAAAAAGCAGCTTGGACGAGCTGCAAAACATATTCATTCAAAAAATATTTGTCCAGGTGATAGAATTGAATTTCTCCTTTGCTATGGATCTTACCTGAGAAATTTCTCAAACTAAATTCCACAGTATGGCATAAAACCATCTATCTTCATGGAGAATGTTCTGAAGTTTGGTTTTAACTTTCTATTTCCATTGGTATATGTATTGTGTGTGTGTGTGTGTGTGTGTGTGTGTATGTGTGCATGTGTGTGTGTGGTTGTTGTGTGTGTGACAGGGACACGGGCTGAGGCCAGAGAGTGTGCCTTCTCTGACCACCTGCACTGGGCGTCTCAGGACAACCACACAGTGCGCTGCAGTCGGGGCTATGCCTGCTTTGGGCTGTGGGAACAGACAGGAGCAGACGTGGTCCTGCTCAAACAAGGTGAGGTCCTCCACCAGCGCTCAGGACAACAGAGACAGGCTCACAACACACGGGGACAACAGAGACAGGCTCACAACACACGGGGACAACAGAGACAGGCTCACAACACACAGGGACAACAGAGACAGGCTCACAACACACGGGGACAACAGAGACAGGCTCACAACACACGGGGACAACAAGACAGGCTCACAACACACGGACAACAGAGACAGGCTCACAACACACGGGGACAACAGAGACAGGCTCACAACACACGGGGACAACAGAGACAGGCTCACAACACACGGGGACAACAGAGACAGGCTCACAACACACGGGGACAACAGAGACAGGCTCACAACACACGGGGACAACAGAGACAGGCTCACAACACACGGGGACAACAGAGACAGGCTCACAACACACGGGGACAACAGAGACAGGGACAACAGAGACAGGCTCACAACACACAGGGACAGAGACATGCTGCAGTTGTAGTTTGTGACATGCATGTAGTGTATACTGTGAGTATTCTGTGAAACAGTCAGGTCCATGAAAGGGCATCCTTCAGTATCAGAGCAATAGCTCTGTGACTAAGTAGGTTTATTCACTTTGCCTCTTTATCATTTCATTTTCTTCATTTAGCATTACAACTAAAACAGCTAAACGTTCACAGTCCTGTCCTGTTTATTTAGTTACACTTCAGTACAAATGATCACACAACACATTGTTCTAAAACTCATGTATACTCACCTGGTTGGCCACATGATTTGGATACAAAAGAGAGGGGGTGTACCTTTGTTTGAGGTCATGGGTCAGACCATATGCAGGGGGAACTGTTTGGGGTTCTGTATTTCTGTATTTTGATTTGTATCATGTTGTGGTTATATATTTATTTTAAGCACATTTGTTGAAGGACTTAAATGATAGATGTACTACCTGCTAAAGTGAACACCTACTTATGGGTACAAAAATGAAGTTTAAAAGCTGCCTGTTGGATTTCACGAGGGAGAGACATCTGTGTAGTTGTGTGCATGTCGTAGTTGTGTTTCATTTAAGTTACTTAATTTTTGTGTATTTGTAATTTAACACTAGGTGTAGCACTAAACTTGACCTGTAATAGTTCAGTTTAGATCTGGTTTCGATCCAGGCTCAATGGGATCTTACTGGTTTAACAGATAAATTCAATCAAATGAAAAACTTAAGGTTATAGGCAAGTTGGTGAGCCTCAGTCTCCAGGAAATGTAAGTCAGTTTAACGTGTGTGTGTGTGTGTGTGTGTGCGTGCGTGCGTGTGTGCGTGTGTGTCAGGCTGCTGGACGTCTCAGCCTGACTGTCTTTCTGACCACTGCCTGGTCACTGCTCCTCCTGCTCACATCCACAAGGGGAGCTACCGCTTCTGTTGCTGCAGTCGGGACCTGTGCAACAAACATTTCACTGAGGCCCCAGTGAGTGCAGCGCCCCCTGTGCTGCAGTACACAGGTGAGACCTGCCTCTGATGCACACTGCTCACTGCTAGTGGCACATTACACACACATCACACACATCAGACACAACGCAGGGCAAAGTCTACCAGTACAGTAGTACACAGGTGCGAGGCACAGGTGCTCATCCTCTGGTCTGAAGGTTGGCAGTTCGAATCCCACTCTCAACATCATATCATTGTTAGAGGAGTCAGATGCCAGTGGTGCTGTTCCTCCTATGAATACTGTCATATTCATCTGTAAGAACACTTCACTCAAACAATATGTTATATAGTTATATTGTTATATAGGTAAATAGTTATTTAGTGTCAGGGGTGTTCTACACTGTTTGTTCTGGGTGTGTGATTGCAGATGGAGCTCGGCCCAGACAAAGTTCTGCTCTGATTGCCGTGGGGACAGTGGCTGGTGTGGTCACTCTGCTGTCACTGCTGTTCCTTGGATACCGCCTCCTCACAGGTCAGTCCTCACGCCACCTCCTCACAGGTCAGTCCTCACGCCGCTCCTCACAGGTCAGTCCTCTCGCCGCCTCCTCACAGGTCAGTCCTCACGCCGCCTCCTCACAGGTCAGTCCCCATGCCGCTCCTCACAGGTCAGTCCTCACGCCACCTCCTCACAGGTCAGTCCTCACGCCGCCTCCTCACAGGTCAGTCCTCACGCCGCCTCCTCACAGGTCAGTCCTCACGCCGCACCTCACAGGTCAGTCCCCAAACCACCTCCTCACAGGTCAGTCCCCACGCCGCTCCTCACAGGTCAGTCCCCACGCCGCTCCTTACAGGTCAGTCCCCACGCCGCTCCTCACAGGTCAGTCCCCACGCCGCTCCTCACAGGTCAGTCCCCAAACCACCTCCTCACAGGTCAGTCCCCACGCTGCTCCTCACAGGTCTTTAGGGGCTTTAGGGGTCAGTTGGTTTTCTTTTGTCTCATAACATTTCCATCAGCTCAACTATAGAACACAGTTGTTGTGTTGTATAGTTGTTGTGTTGTATAGTTTGTTGTGTTGTATAGTTGTTGTGTTGTATAGTTGTTGTGTTGTGTTGTTGTTGTTGTATAGTTGTTGTGTTGTATAGTTGTGTTGTATAGTTGTTGTGTTCTATAGTTGTTGTGTTGTATAGTTGTTGTTTGTCTATAGTTGTTGTGTTGTATAGTTGTTGTGTTGTATAGTTGTTGTGTTGTATAGTTGCTGTGTTGTATAGTTGTTGTGTTGTATAGTTGTTGTGTTGTATAGTTGTGTTTGTATAGTTGTTGTGTTGTATAGTTGCTGTGTTGTATAGTTGTTGTGTTGTTGTATAGTTGTGTTGTATAGTTGTTGTGTTGTATAGTTGTTGTGTTGTGTATAGTTGTTGTGTTGTATAGTTGTTGTGTTGTATAGTAGTTGTTGTGTTGTTGTATAGTTGTTGTTAGTTTCTATTAGTTGTTGTGTTGTATAGTTGTTGTGTGTTGTATAGTTGTGTGTTGTATAGTTGTTGTGTTGTATAGTTGTTGTGTTGTATAGTTGTTGTATAGTTGTTGTGTTGTATAGTTGTTGTGTGTTGTATAGTTGTTGTGTTGTATAGTTGTTGTGTGTATAGTTGCTGTGTTGTATAGTTGTTGTGTTTGTATAGTTGTGTTTGTTAGTTGTTGTGTTGTATAGTTGTTGTGTTGTGTTGTATAGTTGTTGTGTGTATAGTTGTTGTGTTTGTATAGTTGTTGTGTGTTGTATAGTTGTTGTGTATGTATAGTTTGTTGTGTGTATATAGTTGCTGTGTTGTATAGTTGTTTGTTGTTGTGTTGTATAGTTGCTGTGTGTATAGTTGCTGTGTTGTATAGTTGTTGTGTTGTATAGTTGTGTTGTATAGTTGTTGTGTTCTATAGTTGTTGTGTTGTATAGTTGTTGTGTTGTTGTAGTTGCTGTGTTGTATAGTTGTTGTATAGTTGTTGTTATAGTTGTTGTGTTGTATAGTGTTGTTGTTAGTTGTATAGTTGTTGTGTTGTATAGTTGTTGTGTTGTATAGTTGTTGTGTTGTATAGTTGTTGTGTTGTATATAGTTGTTGTGTTGTTGTATAGTTGTTGTGTTGTTGTTGTATAGTTGTTGTGTTGTATAGTTGTTGTGTTGTATAGTTGTTGTGTTGTATAGTTGTTGTTCTGTGTTGTATAGTTGTTGTGTTGTATAGTTGTTGTGTTGTATAGTTGTTGTGTTGTATAGTTGTTGTGTTGTATAGTTGCTGTGTTGTATAGTTGTTGTGTTGTATAGTTGTTGTGTTGTATAGTTGTTGTGTTGTATAGTTGTTGTTTTCTATAGTTGTTGTGTTGTATAGTTGTTGTGTTGTATAGATGTTGTGTTGTATAGTTGTTGTTTTGTATAGTTGTTGTGTTGTATAGTTGTTGTGTTGTATAGTTGTGTTCTGTATAGTTGTTGTGTTGTATAGTTGCTGTGTTGTATAGTTGCTGTGTTGTATAGTTGTTGTGTTGTATAGTTGTTGTGTTGTATAGTTGTTGTGTTGTATAGTTGTTGTGTTGTTGTGTGTATAGTTGCTGTGTTGTATGTAGTTGTTGTTGTTGTATAGTTGTGTGTTGTATAGTTGTTGTGTTCTATAGTTGTTGTGTTGTATAGTTGTTGTGTTGTATAGTTGTTGTGTTGTATAGTTGTTGTGTTCTATAGTTGTTGTGTTGTATAGTTGCTGTGTTGTATAGTTGCTGTGTTGTATAGTTGCTGTGTTGTATAGTTGTTGTGTTGTATAGTTGTTGTGTTGTATAGTTGTTGTGTTGTATAGTTGTTGTGTTGTATAGTTGTTGTGTTGTATAGTTGTTGTGTTGTATAGTTGCTGTGTTGTATAGTTGTTGTGTTGTATAGTTGTTGTGTTGTATAGTTGTTGTGTTGTATAGTTGTGTTGTATAGTTGTTGTGTTCTATAGTTGTTGTGTTGTATAGTTGTTGTGTTGTATAGTTGTTGTGTTGTATAGTTGTGTTGTATAGTTGTATAGTTGTTGTGTTGTATAGTTGCTGTGTTGTATAGTTGTTGTTGTGTTGTATAGTTGTTGTGTGTATAGTTGTGTATAGTTGTGTGTTGTATAGTTGTTGTGTTGTATAGTTGCTGTGTTGTATAGTTGTTGTGTTGTATAGTTGTTGTTTATTGTGTTTGTATAGTTGTTGTGTTGTATAGTTGTGTGTTGTATAGTTGTGTGTTGTATAGTATAGTTGTTTGTTTTCTATAGTTGTTGTGTTGTATAGTTGTTGTGTTGTATAGTTGTTGTGTTGTATAGTTGTTGTGTTGTATAGTTGTTGTGTTGTATAGTTGCTGTGTTGTATAGTTGCTGTGTTGTATAGTTGTTGTGTTGTATAGTTGTTGTGTTGTATAGTTGCTGTGTTGTATAGTTGCTGTGTTGTGTTGTATAGTTGTTGTGTTGTATAGTTGTTGTGTGTTGTATAGTTGTTGTGTTGTATAGTTGTTGTTGTTGTATAGTTGCTGTGTTGTATAGTTGTGTGTTGTATAGTTGTTGTGTTGTATAGTTGTGTTTTGTTGTATAGTTGTTGTGTTGTTGTTGCTGTGTTGTATAGTTGTGTGTGTTGTTGTTGTTGTATTGTTGTTGTATAGTTGTTGTGTTCTATAGTTGTTGTGTTGTATAGTTGTTGTGTTGTTATAGTTGCTGTGTTGTATAGTTGTTGTGTTGTATAGTGTTGTGTTCTGTGTTGTATGTTGTATAGTTGCTGTGTTTATAGTTGTGTGTGTATAGTTGTTGTGTTGTATAGTTGTTGTGTTGTATAGTTGCTGTGTTGTATAGTTGCTGTGTTGTATAGTTGTTGTGTTGTATAGTTGTTGTGTTGTATAGTTGCTGTGTTGTATAGTTGTTGTGTTGTATAGTTGTTGTGTTGTATAGTTGTTGTGTTGTATAGTTGTTGTGTTGTATAGTTGTTGTGTTGTATAGTTGTTGTGTTGTATAGTTGTTGTGTTGTATAGTTGCTGTGTTGTATAGTTGTTGTGTTGTATAGTTGTTGTGTTGTATAGTTGCTGTGTTGTATAGTTGTTGTGTTGTTGTATAGTTGCTGTGTTTGTATAGTTGTGTGTTGTTATAGTTGTTGTTGTTGTTGTATAGTTGTTGTGTTGTTATAGTTGCTGTGTTGTATAGTGTTGTGTGTTGTATAGTTGTGTTTTCTGTAGTTGTTGTGTTGTATAGTTGTTGTGTTGTATAGTATAGTTGTTTGTGTTGTTATAGTTGTTGTGTTGTATAGTTGTTGTGTTGTATAGTTGCTGTGTTGTATAGTTGCTGTGTTGTATAGTTGTTGTGTTGTATAGTTGTTGTGTTGTATAGTTGCTGTGTTGTATAGTTGCTGTGTTGTGTTGTATAGTTGTTGTGTTGTATAGTTGTTGTGTTGTGTGTTGTATAGTTGTTGTTTGTTGTATAGTTGTTGTGTTGTATAGTTGTTGTGTTGTATAGTTGTTGTGTTGTTGCTGTTGTTATAGTTGTTGTGTGTTGTATAGTTGCTGTGTTGTATAGTTGTTTGTGTTGTATAGTTGTGTGTTGTATAGTTGTTGTGTTGTTGTATAGTTGTTGTGTGTTGTATAGTTGTTGTGTTGTATAGTTGCTGTGTTGTATAGTTGTTGTGTTGTATAGTTGTTGTGTTGTATAGTTGTTGTGTTGCTGTGTTGTATAGTTGTTGTGTTCTATAGTTGTTGTGTTGTATAGTTGTTGTGTTGTATAGTTGTATAGTTGTGTTTGTATAGTTGTTGTTGTGTTGTCTATAGTTGTTGTGTGTGTGTTCTATAGTTGTTGTGTTGTATAGTTGTTGTGTTGTATAGTTGCTGTGTTGTATAGATGTTGTGTTGTATAGTTGTTGTTTTCTATAGTTGTTGTGTTGTATAGTTGTTGTGTTGTATAGTTGTTGTGTTGTATAGTTGTTGTGTTGTATGTTGTTGTTAGTTGTGTAGTTGCTGTGTTGTATAGTTGTTGTTGTAGTTGTTGTGTTGTATAGTTGTTGTTGTTGTTGTATAGTTGTTGTGTTGTATAGTTGTTGTGTTGTATAGTTGTTTGTGTTGTATAGTTGTTGTGTTGTTGTTGTATAGTTGCTGTGTTGTATAGTTGTTGTGTTGTATAGTTGTTGTGTTGTATAGTTGTTGTGTTGTATAGTTGCTGTGTTGTATAGTTGTTGTGTTGTATAGTTGTTGTGTTGTATAGTTGCTGTGTTGTATAGTTGCTGTGTTGTATAGTTGTTGTGTTGTATTAGTTGTTGTATAGTTGTTGTGTTGTATAGTTGCTGTGTTGTATAGTTGCTGTGTTGTGTTGTATAGTTGTTGTGTTGTATAGTTGTTGTGTTGTTGTAGTTGTGTTGTGTGTTGTATAGTTGTTGTGTTCTGTAGTTGCTGTGTTGTATAGTTGCTGTGTTGTATAGTTGCTGTGTTGTATAGTTGTTGTGTTGTATAGTTGCTGTGTTGTATAGTTGTTGTGTTGTATAGTTGCTGTGTTGTATAGTTGTTGTGTTGTATAGTTGTTGTGTTGTATAGTTGCTGTGTTGTATAGTTGTTGTGTTGTATAGTTGCTGTGTTGTATAGTTGTGTATAGTTGCTGTGTTGTATAGTTGCTGTGTTGTATAGTTGTTGTGTTGTATAGTTGCTGTGTTGTATAGTTGTTGTGTTGTATAGTTGCTGTGTTGTATAGTTGCTGTGTTGTATAGTTGTTGTGTTGTATAGTTGCTGTGTTGTATAGTTTGTGTGTGTTGTATAGTTGTTGTGTTGTATAGTTGTTGTGTTGTTGTATAGTTGCTGTGTTGTATAGTTGCTGTGTTGTTAGTTGTGTGTGTTGTATAGTTGTTGTGTTGTATAGTTGCTGTGTTGTATAGTTGTTGTGTTGTATAGTTGTTGTGTTGTATAGTTGCTGTGTTGTATAGTTGCTGTGTTGTATAGTTGTGTTGTATAGTTGTTGTGTTGTATAGTTGTTGTGTTGTATAGTTGCTGTGTTGTATAGTTGTTGTGTTGTATAGTTGTTGTGTTGTATGTGTGTTGTTGTTATGGAACAATCTGCCTCTCCACGTTCGAGCTGCTCCATCACTGGAGATTTTTAAATCTGATCTTAAGACACATTTCTTTGCTGCGGCTTTTAACTCTAATTAAATGTTTTATAAGCTATGTTTAATTTTTTTTTTGTTTTGTTTGTTTGTTTTATTATTATATAGATATATTTTTCATATTTATTGTGCTGTATTTTACTATTTTTATTGTGCATGTGAAGCACTTTGGGCAGCTTGTGTTGTTGTAAATGTGCTATACAAATAAAGTTGACATTGACATTGACATTGACATTGTATAGTTGCTGTGTTGTATAGTTGCTGTGTTGTATAGTTGTGTTGTATAGTTGTTGTGTTGTATAGTTGTTGTGTTCTGTAGTTGCTGTGTTCTATTGTTGTCACTGTGCAGTGAGCACAGTGTACACGTGCATTCTGACAAACATGTACAATTTTTTGTACTTTTTTGTATTTTTGTGTTGTGTTCAGGGGCACCACTTTGTAAATAACCCTTTGTTTTTTTTTAGGTGAAAAGAAGCTGAGTCTGGTGATTCCAAACATCCCAGAGATCTCAAATTCTTCATGTGTGGACATGGAGGAGCTCAAACTGTGGGAGGTGAGAGTGTGCTCAACACTGAAGACAGGATTTACAATGACAGCTTCTTTCTCCTCCAAAAAAGTATTATTTTACATTCAACTCTCACATTCAACAGCACAGCCATCCTCAGTACCTCATATCCGGGGGCACAGTTGGTCTTTTTATTGGTTGTTTTTTTTCAAGTTTATGAAATTTCAAATCTATAGCTTACACGGGTCAGTTCATTTTGATACATTATACTACGGCCACAAAAATACATAAATACTTGTAAATATGTTGTGATAGTGAAGCAAAAGAGAAATTCAATTCTGTCACTGGACTAAAGTTTTTTGATCAAATACATTTCGTAGCTCATCTAAGCTGCTTCTTCAGTTCCGAAGAGATCTGAAAAAATTGAATTTTTCCTTTTCTATGGATCCTACTTGGACGACTGAGGGATTACATGGACATCTTGAGGACTGTGATAGTCTGGAGGCATTTTGCTACTGTCCTGTGCTGCAGTCTAATTAAAGCAAATTGATGACTATAAAGAGTTCTTAATCATCTCTATAGCCCTGTCTGACCTCTGACCCCTGTGTCCTGACAGCTGATTGGTCGAGGCCGGTATAGCTGTGTGTATCTCGGCACCCTGGGCGAGCGCACTGTGGCAGTGAAGGTCTACCCCTCTGCACACAAACAGAAATATGTCAACGAATGCTACATCTACACCCTCCTGTCACTACGGCAACAGCCCAGCATTTCCCATTTCCTGTGTGCGGACGAGAGGGTGGATAGTGAGGGCAGCACACAGCTCCTCATTGTCATGGACCACTACCCACACGTAAGACCATGTACCTCCACCCACACGTAAGACCATGGACCTCCACCCACACGTAAGACCATGGACCTCCACCCACACGTAAGACCATGGACCTCCACCCACACGTAAGACCATGGACCTCCACCCACACGTAAGACCATGGACCTCCACCCACACGTAAGAACATGGACCTCCACCCACACGTAAGAACATGGACCTCCACCCACACGTAAGAACATGGACCTCCACCCACACGTAAGACCATGGACCTCCACCCACATGTAAGAACATGGACCACTACTCCCATGAGCCCAGAGTGTGGTGGAAGAGTGGTATGTATCCTCCAGCTGGACACTGACTATGATCCAAGCTCAGGTCTGGGTGCTGCTCTGTGGTTGCTCACTCCTCGTGACTGCTCCCTGTCCTGTCTTTAGGGCTGCCTGTCTCACTTCTGTCCTGTCTTTAGGGCTGCCTGTCTCACTTCTGTCCTGTCTTTAGGGCTGCCTGTCTCACTTCTGTCCTGTCTTTAGGGCTGCCTGTCTCACTTCTGTCCTGTCTTTAGGGCTGCTTGTCTCACTTCCTGTCCCGCACTTCGGTGGATTGGACGTCCTGCTGTAGGATGATGCATGGGGTGACCAGGGGGCTGTCCTATCTGCACTCAGAGGTCCTCTCTGGAGGTAGGGTCCCTGTGAAACTGCTCTGGTCCTTCTGCCTGTGCTGTGTCATTGACCATACAAGGACTTTGTACCACTTCAGAAAACTTGATGTTGTTTCCAAATATACTAAAACGTCTTTTAGACAGATCAGTGTGTTGTTTACACATACATGGACATGTTTCGAACTGGCTCAGGGTTCGAACAAGAGGAAGTCCACACATGTTTAAAAACGGTACAAAAATAGATATTTTTTTAAAAGCAAAGTGCAAATAAAGTTGTGGCCACATGGTGGAGAGGAGAGAAGAGAGGGGGCAGTCTCCAGCAGCAGCTTTTAAAGGTGGCATGCCACGCCCACAATCATGTGCAGCTCATTAGGCTGAACATCCCACTCTGGAATCTGGAAGGGAGGGGGAGAGAGAGAGCCAGCAGCAGCACAAACACACCCACAAAATACAGACTCAAGCTGGAGTAGTAACAGATTGCACTTTCGATTCTCATGTACATCCCTGTGTTTGTTTCACACTTTGACAGTGTGAGCTGCTTCCTCTTCAGGGTCACATGATGTTGCTGTGACGTGTCTGAGTAGCTAATTTAACAGATTTTGGTTCTGTCTTCCTACATGGAGCAGCAGGATGACAGCGCCATCTGCAGTCCCACTTCTTCTGAACTGTATTCCAGGTGTGAGAGAGATGGTACACTCCGTCATCCCGATTTACAGCCTGATAGGAACGTTTCTGGATCTCAATGGCCTCTCTGATCCAGCAATGAGACTTGTTCCTCTTGTTGCCTATGGCCTTAGTGTTGTGTTGAGATGGTTTGACACTTCTAAGGAAGCAGCAGAGTTCAGCCCACACTGACAAGATCTGGAATAAACAGAGCTCTGTGCATACGAATCTAATGTATAATTATAACACAAGACCTAATGAACCTGGTGACTTGGTGTGAAGTGATTTAAGTATTCAGGGCAGGTTAGTTATCCAGATCTAGACAAACTGTACTTATCCAACTTCCATGTACTGATAAATCAGGTGAGGCAAAGCAAGTGCTACAGTGTAGTGAACATAAATCTTATGTCTTAGAGTCCTATCATAGCTTAGGGCCCTACCAGAGTGCAGGACCCTACAGGTGCTCAGGGCCCTACTGGAGTTTAGGCGTACCTGTTGGAAGGTCCCCTCTCATGCTAAGCTCACCCTGTGTTTCAGATGAGTCCAAACCTGCACTGGCCCACAGAGACGTGAGCAGCTCTCATATCCTGGTGCGCTCTGACCTGTCCTGTGTCCTGTCCCACTTCAGTCTGTCCATGAGCCTAACCCGAGACCCCACTCATCTCCATGGAGACGGGGACAGCGTGGCCATCTCTGAGGTCAGCTCTTACACAGTCCCTTTACTTTACATATCATACACTATGTCACATTATTACTGTTACCTGTATCTTCATCACCATGGTGTTTTCATCACTATCATTTACCTGTTTACATTATATTACATTACAAGTTAGTAATATTTTCCTAATTATTATTTGTTAGTGCTTATGTTACTGGTTAATTTATATTTAAAGAGGGGCATTTTGAAACATTTCTACTATAATATAATATTATTATATTACTAAATTATAATATATCCCTCATCCAAAACATGCCTGAAATGGTTTTAGATGTCATCAGTGCACATCTGAATAATTTAGCAATCTCTCCCTGGCTCTATTCAAACCCTCCTTATCATCAGATTCTGTGCAACGCTCCACCCACAAGCTTACATCACCCACACTCCCACATAACAACTCTTTATAAATATACAAAAGCATGATAATGACAATGAAAGGTAACATGGTGATCTAAATATGTGAAGTTAATATCCCATAGAAGTGTAATACCCCCTCTTTAAAAACTGGGGTATTCCAGCACTGTCTGCACCAGACATTCTGACAACCTGAATGTGTGTTTATATGTGTGCCTGTGTCAGGTGGGGACTCTCCGGTACCTGGCCCCTGAGCTCCTGGCTGGGGCCCTGGACCTGCATGAGTATGGCACAGCTCTAAAGCAGGTGGATGTGTACGCTCTGGGACTGCTGTTCTGGGAGGCCTTCAGGAGGTGCCATGACCTGTTCCCTGGTAAGCACTTAACTGGACCAGAGCAGTCTGGCCTTATGTGAGCAGGAATCTTGGGTTTTTAAAGACATAGAATATAACTTTTCTTGCCAAAAAACAGACAAAATAAAAGCATGTTTTAAAATTATGGATATTTTTATTGCTCTGAAAAACATAGAAATGCATAGAAAAACCTGCGTTCTTACTGTGAAAGGGCTTGCACGACCACAAACCCCTGGAGAGGCACATCTTCCTGCTTGTTTCCATAGAAATGTGCTTCTTTTTGCTTTAATATTCAAGTTAAAAATATAAAACATTTCTATCTACATAGCTAATATTCCAAAATATGACTTCAGCTGTCTAATTCCATGGAATCATGCAGGTGACGTGCCACCTCCAAAAAGTTACACACTGTCTCTTTAAGTGTAGTTCATTACACACAAGAGGTAGGCTCAGCTGCAGTCTTTAGAACCCTAGAAGTGGAATATTGGGGCATTGGGGCCTCATTCGTGAATCTTTACTTTTAAAATATTCATAACTTCCACTTGAAGAAGATGCTGAGAGAACTCTGCTCCAGATTCGCAAAGTTCTTAAGCTTCCAACTTTTTCCCCCCAAATTTTCTTCCTAAATGACAGTTGCACCGAATTCACAAACATCCAGCCATAAACACCACAGCATTCATTTATTTCATTTACATAAAAATTAATATGTATTTAGTAAGAAACACCCTCCGAACTTCCATATATGGTCAATAATATCATAGCGATGTAAAAGTGTTATGGAGAGAGTGATGAGGAGGGAAGGTGGAGCGTCTACAGCTTCGGCTGTGATTTCAAATGTCTAAACTCACATGAACACATATAAACTTATGGAAATAAGAGGCCACTCTCATCGTATTTATCGCACTTTCTGTGAGTCTCAGTAAATAGTGAGGGAGGGGGCTAGGGTGGGGGTGTATAAGAGTGTGCTCTGCTCATGAGCGGTCAGAGCTCAGTGATGGGGGTGTTGAGTCCAGCGCAGGGCTGTGACAGAGGCCCATATGGAGGCACTGGGGCTGGGACAGACTGAGTGCTCCTGGTTGTTAATAGCATTTGCTCTTCCATAAAAACATTTTCAATTAAGAAAAAGTTTTGTGAATGCCAAAAATGCTTGTAAGAAAGAATTAAGTACAAATTATTTGTGAGAATGCTTCATGAATGAGTGCCATTGTCCTTTTACACAGAGATCAGACAAACAGTGTACATTTCTGCAAAATCAACAATCCAAGCACCAAACTCTCTATTTTATACTGTTATACTGTTCTGAATGATAAGACAATTTGGAGAGGAGATGTCTTCTGCATTTAAGAGAGACGTGATACAAATTAGCAGCTGTGGCTGTTTGATTCCCTTTATGGTCCGACTTCAGACCTGTGCATTTGAACAGAATGTACAAGGGACTGGTAAATGGCAGCTTTTTTTGCATTGAGGACAGAGAAGCTTTACCAAGTCTGAAATAAAATAACAAAGAGGTAAGCATGTGTTCCGGCTCCTCTGTCCACAGGGAGGGATGCACCACACTTCCAGCTGGCCTATGAGTCAGAGCTGGGACAGGAGGTGTCTCTGGAGCACATGCACATGCTGGTGGTCAGGGACAAGAGCCGGCCCTGCTTCCCCCCGGAGTGGAACCACAACAGCTCGGTCAGTCCTCCTCACAAACATCTCCTGGGTGGTGTTGAATAAACTGTAGTAGCCTGAGAGTTGAAGAGAAGAGGCATGAGGCTGGAGTTCTAACACAGGCTATGCTTCTATTGTAGGGAGTATTATACCTGATGATGCAGGCTAAGATAACAAGGATAACAAGGCCCTCAGTAAACCATAGGAAATGAATTCCTCTGACAGTTCCTTCCTCTGAAAACCATTTTCACCAAAAAGAGCTATTAACAATTTAGAAAATCTCAAAATTTTACCAAAATCAAAGTTACCTAAAAAAAAAAAAAAAATTCTAAATCTAATTAAAAATAAAATAGAAATTACAGTGTCAGTATCACAGTGTCCAACACTCTCACAGTGTCCTGAGGGTTCATGTCTCTGGGTGCTAGGTCCTGGACTGATGTAAATAAACTTCTCCAGCGTTCTCTTCAACTCTCCTTTGTCCTACTATATGACTAAACCTCCTTGTCAAAGTCTGATCTCGTCAGATCTCAGGAGCTGCACAGGGCCTGGTCAGCACTTGGATGAGAGACCACTGGCAGTGGCCTGTGCAAAAACTGTTGTTCTGTCCTTAGGCAAGGCACTTCACCCAGTCGCTTAGTATGAATGTGGTGTGTGAGTGTTGGTGGTGGTCGGAGGAGCCACTTCTCTCAGTCTGCCTCAGGGCAGCTGTGGCTGCATAGTATCCTACCTTCTCTGAGAGTGGAGTGAATGAAGAATGCACTGTAAACGTCTTTGAGTCTCTAAAAAAGTGCTATATACTGTAAATCTGATCCATTAATTATTATTTATTCCACAACACTGGGGTCTCTCTCTCCTGACCCTCACCCTGTGCTCTGGTCTCTGCAGGTTCTGAGGCAGCTGAAGGAAACCATGGAGGACTGCTGGGACCAGGATGCAGAGGCCCGGCTGAGTGCACATTGTGCAGCAGAGAGACTGTGCCAACTGTCCCTGCTCCCAGTGCCCACACAGCACACACACAGGTGGCATCAGCTTCTCCAGAATTCACACACACGTGCCAAATACAAACGTCTGGTGTCAAAAATGTCAATTCTATAAACTCAAATGTGTGTGTAATGTTTCAGTCTCCAGTCTCATGGGTGTTGGCCTCCACTGGACCTGTCCTCCTCCAGGCCTGATGTAGCTGTGGACCTGACAAGCTCCAGCAGCACAGTGGAAGTATGTCCTCAGGTCTGACTGTCCTCTGTCTCATGTGTCCTCATGTCTGACTGTCCTCTGTGCTGTGTCCCAGAGGTGCACCGTGGAGGACATCTCCCAAACCGCTTCAGGAAGTGCCTTCTGCTTCACATCCCCACTCACAGGTTAACACCATTTTACTGACTCCTCATTTACACCAAAATCTGTTCTGTGCATCTGCTGTACAGCCATTCATGGATTCCAATTTACACTGAGTATGTATGTCAGGGTGTGGTTGTGTGCGTGTTTCTGTGCTGTAGAAGCTCTCCTCTCCTTCGCTTATCCTCTGTTCCTATATTCACTGTTCTTCTTTGTAACTATAAACTAAAGTGTTTTTCCTTCTCGGTAATCAACAAGTGCTCCAGAGTTGTGTCGTGAAGTGAAAGTGAAAATAAAGCCGTACTCTGGCTGAGGTGACCTGTGCTGGTTTTTGTAAACATCCCACACCTTTATTTTACCCCATAAATCCTGAATATGTCCAGGAAAGCAAAACTGAAATCCTTCTACAAATAAAGTAATGTCCAGCCGGCCGGTGTTGACGTCCATCTTCATTTTTGGTCTAGGTTGCACCTTGATACAATGAAAACAGCTGGTACAAAATCATTGTACCGCTTCAGCGTCCGTCAAAAATCAACTCCTTGCATATTTTTGTAGCAGAGGTTGCAAAATAGTCTCTTGGTACTCTTTGGATGCTCTCTGGGTTCTCTACTCTCGAGATGCTCTCTGGTTCCTCTCTTGGTACTCTGGTTCTTCTCTGTGTCCTCTCTTTGTGCTCTCTGGGTCCTCTCTGGGTCCTCTCTTTGTACTCTCTGGATGCTCTCTGGTTCTTCTCTGGGTCCTCTCTTTGTACTCTCTGCTTCCTCTCTGGGTCCTCTCTGGGTCCTCTCTTTGTACCTCTCTGGATGCTCTCTGGTTCTTCTCTGGGTCCTCTCTTTGTACTCTCTGGTTCTTCTCTGAGTCCTCTCTTTGTACTCTCTGGGTCCTCTCTTTGTACTCTCTGGATGCTCTCTGGTTCTTCTCTGGGTCCTCTCTTTGTACTCTCTGCTTCCTCTCTGGGTCTCTGGGTCCTCTCTTTGTACCTCTCTGGATGCTCTCTGGTTCTTCTCTGAGTCCTCTCTTTGTACTCTCTGGGTCCTCTCTTTGTACTCTCTGGATGCTCTCTGGTTCTTCTCTGAGTCCTCTCTTTGTACTCTCTGGTTCTTCTCTGAGTCCTCTCTTTGTACTCTCTGGGTCCTCTCTTTGTACTCTCTGGTTCCTCTCTGAGTCCTCTCTGGGTCCTCTCTGGGTCCTTACTTTGTACTCTCTTTTTGCTCACTGGATGCTCTCTGGATCCTCTCTGTGTCTCTCTAGGTACTCTCTGGGCACCTTTCTTCCTTCAGTGAATAGAAAAGTCAAAATGAATAATATGCCACAAATGCATAAATGAAAAGTGTGTTTGTCCTGCAGGTGGCGCTGTGCCTGGTGTCTCTGTGTGCCTGCCTCTGGAGCAAACACAGGTTGGTATCAGCACAGGCCTGCTGCCCAAGGCTTAGTCAGAATAACTGTGACTAGTCCACTCTTCACATGTATATATCCTTAACTCGTCAAAAACATGCATGTTTGAGTTATCTTGTGATCTCTCCTGGGCCTCTCCGCAATTCTCTAAGGAGAGTGCAATTCTGTGCAAACCTTCAAGCACAAGCCTACACCACCCATGCTCCCAGTCAACCATTCTCCATAAATATACAAAAGGATGTTATAAAACAACACACTAAAATTTCATAAACCTGATACAATGTGCAGTAATTTCATTAGCGTGATGCCTTCCCATTATGTAGTGACAGCGCTCTGAAGGGGGGAGTGACTCAGCGCATAGAGCAAAGGGAGGGGAGACTCAGAGCATAACTACACTTAAACATATAACACATGTTTTCAGCCGATAAAGCATTTTCCAAACAATAAAAGGTCACATGGTGATCGACAGTTATTACCCAATGGAGGCAAAATACCCTCGTTTTAAAACTCCAGCTTGTTTTGTTATTTCTTTTGTCATTAATTGCTATTATCTGGGCCTCTTCACAGAAACAGTGGATTACATCTCCTGCACCTGTCCTGCCTCAGAGGCCCTCCAGCCTGCAGCTCCTGTCCACTGCCTCATCCAGAGAGAGGCAGGGGGTCTCCCAGCACACTGCCCGTCCCAGAGACAGGCAGGTGCAGACAGGAGTGGCTAAAATGAACTCGGTGGCAGTCTTGGCTCAGGCCCCAGTGAGTGTTACCATGGTGACCGGCAGAGGGGCGGTGCGGATGGCGGATGGCTCCAGTGCCGGGGTGCCCACTCTGGTAACCAACCGCCTGATGGCCCGAGGAGTGACCAACCAGGCGGGGCCGCAGGAGGAGGACCCATGCTGCAGGTCAGTATGTCAGGTCAGGTCTTGATATTTTGCAACTGATGTCAACCTTCTCTGTTACTAAAGTTTGACTTTAATCTGGTCTTTAATTTAACACAATCTGAGCATAAAGAACCTACTAAGTTGCAACTATAACAGGTGACCTGATTTGTGCTGTTAAACAAGTCTCACACTTAAAAATACGGTCTCAATCTAGCTAGCACCAGCCAACAATTTTTCAGTTTCAATTTTTCAGTTTATCTTTTTGTTGAAAATCAAACTAAAGAGGACATGAATCGCAGGCTCCTGAAAATGTGCTCTTTAAATCCATTTGGGATTTTTTTCAGACAATCATAAAACTTTTTTTAACAGGGTTTGCATTGTGTCTCCATGGAAACTGCTGAAGATTCCAACATAGTGATACATGTAGAACCCCCTCCCCAATGTAATGTCAATGCAAAGTATCAATTATTTTAATGTTTAATGGTGCAAATAGTTGTCATTGCATAATATAGTATACAGATAAAGAATAATCTATTGGTGTAGAAACGAAAACTAGATTTTAAAGGCCTGATTTTTACTATCTTAAAATCATGAAAAACAGAATTAGTTTGTTTGAAACAGTTTGCAGTGCTCCAAGGTGATTCCTCACTTATGCTTTCAGAGCATCCTAATTATTCACCACAATAAGTTTATCAACTGACTTCTTTTGAGCTCCAGTGCTGCTTGTACAGCAGTGTTGTGCATGAACGAGTTCAAAAGAACGCGTTCATTGAACACGTTCATTTTTCAGTGAACTTTGAACTGAACGCAACACTTTTGTAAATCAAGAACTTGAACGTGAATTTGTTCAAATTATGTGTGATGAACGACGTACGTCACTGTTGGGGTTTAGTTAAACGTCGGAATTTGACGAGTGACGATCTGCTCGCACTTCACCTCGCGAAACCACAGCCGCGTGTCAACGCGAAGGCGACTCCACCGGCAGCTTTAGTGGAACATACGGGCTCTTGTGTCTCTCAATGAGAAGTCGCGTTTAGCTGCTTGTATTTACCTTTTGTACAGGCTGACCACGGCAAACACAAGGATTTCAAAGGTAAATTTCAAAGCACAAATTAACAGTGTATGTGGATCTGGGCTCTTTCACATGATACAGAACTGCCCAGGGAGCACAATGTGCTGATGGTAAATGCACAAATACAACAATAGATACATGCTCTCTGTGCATTTTGACGGGGATACGCACCTACGCTCGTGTAGAGCGTCAAAAAATAGGATGGATCCTATTTTCTGAAATCTACACGCACAGGACGTGCTGCTCCGCGCGCGTATTATTTTACTTGGTACATATGTCAGTAACGCGCGTCACAATGCTTTTTTAACCTGGATTGAAATGGTGGGTTTTTCGTTTTTCTTCATACAAACTTGCTAAAATCACCGCGATATCAGCAGCAGTGAAACGCCGGAGGTGCGCCCGCGTAGACCGTGATCCTGAGCGAAAGGACCGACGCAGAAGTCCGCGCTCCACCGAACTAAACGCAGCTGACGCCCGATCGCACTCGGGGTTCTCTCAGGGGCGGTCCTAGATTCCAAGTTCTAGTCCAGGATTAGTCCTGGTTTGGTCCTGGTTTAGTCTTGGTTTAGTCCTGGTTGAGTTCTGGTTTAGTCCTGGTTCAGTCCTGGTTTAGACCTGGTTTAGTCCTGGTTTAGTCCTGGCTGAGTTCTGGTTTAGTCCTGGTTCAATTCTGGTTCAGTCCTGGTTTAGTCTTGGTTTATTCCTGGTTTAGACCTGGTTCAGTCCTGATTTAGACCTGGTTTAGTCCTGGTTTAGACCTGGTTCAGTTCTGGTTTAGTCCTGGTTCAGTTCTGGTTTAGTCCTGGTTCAGTTTTGGTATAGACCTGGTTTAGTCTGGTTTAGACCTGGTTCAGTACTGGTTTAGTCCTGGTTTAGACCTGGTTTAGTCCTGGTTTGGACCTGGTTCAGTTCTGGTTCAGTCCTGGTTTAGACCTGGTTTAGACCTGGTTTAGACCTGGTTTAGTCCTGGTTTAGTCTGGTCCAGTCCTGGTTCAGAACATATGTATATGTATAAGATGCTGAACTTTTGCGCTGCAGCGCAAAAGTTCAGCATCTTAACAGTTCTTTGGTGAGAGTAAATTAAAAGTGCTGCAATAGTCGTGTAATGTTTTACATTTTAAATACAGTAATATTGTAATGTAACAAATGACTTAGAAATGACAGTAACAAGTCATAAATAACACATTACAGTTTTAAAGTCACTTGTCCAACAGTGTATCTTGTAAAGTTGTTGTAAACTAGAAGTCAGTTTGAAAAATAAAAGCAGCCTTTCATTTACAGATCTCATCTAAATATAAAATGAACTGAACTTTGAACTAGTTCGAAATTAAAATTGTGAACTATGAACGTGAACTATTCACTTTGAACAAGTGTGAACTGAACTTTGAACTAGTTCATGAAAAGTGTGAACTTGCACAACACTGTTGTACAGTATATCTGTACAGGGGCAAGACACATTTTGCTCAAGTACCTGGAAAAAATCATATACAGGAAAATCACTTTTATACAGTTCCTATGAGTGTCCATAGTGCATGTCCAGTTACAGTATGTGTCATGAGTGTGAAGAATATTGGGCCTCAAACACTGTCTACTGATGAAGCATCTGATGAAGCATGAGATGTCTCTTACAGTTCTGGATTTCATCCACAAAGAAAGGGTCCTTAGTGTGGAACATTCCAGGAGATGAAATACATTTTTTTATTAGACAAGCTTACATAGAGCACCTTTAATAATGAAAGCACCACCTCATTAGATTGCTGTCGGTTGTTACGCCACACGTTCTCATGGAGATAGAAAGTTACTTTGGAGATAGTTCAGTTTTATGGCATCCTTCAGAATGTTTGAGGGAAATTAAGAATATCCCCATGGAAACAAGAAAAGTTATAAATGAGTGATGGCAAGGCTAGGTTATAAATCTATGGCGAGGCAAGCGACCTCACCACGAGGGAAATCTTATGCAGTGGGGCTTTAAATGATTCTTCCTTATTGTTTAGCAGGGCCCCGGTCCAACTGTCCACGACAGATCCAGACCCAGGACTGAACTTTGTGTGGAGCCCGGATGAGCAGCAGCCCTTATTGCGGAGCGAGGTGACCCCTGCTGGAGCTCTCCTGTTAGCGCAGCGCTCCAATGCCAACAACAACAACAGCAACATCCAGAAGGGGCGCTTCCACAGTCCAACAGCCCAGAAGACAGCAACATCTGATGGGACACCTATTGGACAGAACAGCCTCTCTTTTGTCCCAGTGTCCAGTCCTCCTGTCCACCCAGCCAAAGGCAACTCTACCACAAAGCCTGGCACACAAGTTACTCCTCAGCCTGTGAACTGTGCTCCTTTTGTCCAATCAGAAACCCTTAGACGGAGCTGTGGAGACCAGATGTCCGTGTGTGAGAATGGAGACCCAGCTGGGGCAGTAGATGATAATTGTGTAGAGCCTGCTGACAGATGTTGGAGTAAGAACATTAGCAGTCCTGACCCATTAAAAGATTCCTCACTTACTGCTGGATTTAACAAAGAAGAGGTATTTCATGGTCTAGCCCTGTCCCATGACTGCTGTTCGTCCCTAGCTCCAATGTCCCACATGTCCCCTGAGTCGCCTTTGGGAGTCCCCCTCTCTCCTGTCTCCCCTGCACATGTCCTGGGACATGCTCCCTCAGCTCCAGGCGTGTTGTCCTCACACAAGGACATGTCCTCAGATTCTGCCACAGCTGCCCCGGACAGAGACAGGTGTCCCTCACGCCCCTGCTCTCTGGACCTGTCCTCCTTTTCTGCTTCAAAAGGTGAGTTTAGGAAACAGATTAGTTTGTGTGGAGATTCTAGTTTGGAGGTATAAGGAACAGTGTGATTGACCTAACTGGTATCAACACTTCAGACTCTGCCCCAGCACCCAGGTGTTTGTATCAGTTCAAGGCAGTTCTGTGTGATGTCACATAGTACTTGAAATGGTAGTGGCTACTAGGGTGGTCCAAATCCTTTTTTTTATTTTTATTTTTTAAGATTCTCTAGATTAGAACCCTGCATTTGGTTCCATACCTGGCCAAAATATTTGGGTTCCAATTGAATGCAAATGAATTAATACTTAGAGGAGCTCAAGACACTTGAAAATTGCACTATAGGACCTGAACTATCAAGATCAAGAGCTTTGAAGAAACACAGGTGGTGACAAACTCACTGATCTGCTCCTTCATAATCTGCTTGATTAAGGGCATCACGTCGCTTTGGTGGAACCTCTGAACCTTCCTTTTCCATCATATTGTGAAGCATCAGCTTCTTCTGTTCTTCTGTCACACTGGAGTGGATGAATGCCAGGACAAACATTTCTTCACTCAAGTACCAAAGATGTCAGCTGAAGGTGTGAGTGCGGCCATAGAACCCTTGGCAATTGGGCCGTATCTTGCCCCCAGTCTTAGCACTAGTGCAAGTGTGAATATCAGGTAGAACGGAGCAGATTGAGGGCAGGTGTGGCACGTTTAGTGAATTGCCAGAATCATAAAAATAAATATCAAACGAGTTCACTGAAAAACAACACGTAACATGCTCAAGGCTTCTTTTATTTGGAAATATATTAGGTCGATAAAAGCTTAACATTCATAACGTGTTTGTGTGCTGTGCGGGATGCCCTCCCACAGCAGATCACAGCCCCTCGCCCGCTCCCTGTATCGACTCAGCTCTGCTCTGTAGTTCGGTTTGATGTGGATCTGTACAAAAGCTGCTCATTCACAGCTAAAGTGTGTTTTCTTACCCTGTCTGTGGTCCTAATGCTGCGATGTCGATTTCCTCACATTCTCACGGCCGGACTCTGACAGGGATCAGCACATTCACTGACAGCTCTGGGCTGTGACAGTGGAGCAGAAGCATGTATCATATCTGTGTGCAAAGCTGTAACATCAGAAACATTTATATGACAATAAACGTAGGTTATTCCATAATCCGCGAGACATCCACCTGTGTGGGACCAAATGCGGTGGACCTGAGAGATGAGAATGTGAGCGGTCAGTGGACAGTGGACACTCGTACCTCAGGTGAGTCCGTGGGAGTGGACTGCAGGACAGACAGGAGCAGGTGTGAGAAAACAGCAGGTCTGCTGTGGGATGGGAGCGCATGAGACAGACACTAGTCTTAAACAAATGCAGAGAAAACTATAAATGCGAAGTACAGCCCCGCCTGGACACGCCCACTCTTAAGCACTAGCACGAGTGCTAAGATCAGAGGCCCATCGTGTTTGAACACGGCACAGTTCTAAAGTCCTAGAGTGAGTGCACCCTTAAAAAGCTAGTTACTTTCCCTGGTAACAAGTAACTTTTATAGTGGAGTAACTCAGTTACTAACTCAGTTACTTTTTGGGAGAAGTAACTAATAATTATAACTAATTATTAATTTTAATTAGTGTGCCTAACAATGTTGAAAATGCAAAATTAGTCAATTTCCAGGAAACTTGGAGCTTGAGCAGCCTCTAAAACGTCTCCTTTTTCTTCCAAAGTTCTTCTTAAATCATCTTTTGGACACTAAAACCTAAAGCAGGGTTCTAATTGAGCTTATCTGAAACTTTATTTTTACCATGTTTTGGCAATTAAAAGTGAAAAGGACAGAACTTTCACTGTAGATTTTGGTGAAGTTGGGTCAAGGGCTACTCTAAAAATGGCACAGTGACTGGTTTAATGTGATAATGCAGGACTTCAGACATAGTCTGAAAAACAGAGAGCCAAAAATGAACCAACAAAGGATGAGACCAGTACATGTGGAATAAAGTGCCCAGTGTGCTGCTAGATTTTCCACAAGCTAGGTCCACATCAGTGTAAATGTGTGTTAGCTTAACCTTAGATAAATGCACTCGGACATCTTAAAACTGAATGAGTACATGACGAGATGCATGACACTGATGTACAATGAACTTGACCAAGAATCGAATCCCACATCTCATCTGTAAAAGGAAAATGTACTTCCTGTAATACACGAAGTACTCTATACTACTCTATTCAATAGAATAATTTGGATCATTTCATCCCTGGAATTGTCAATCGCTACTGGACTAAAGGTAAAAAAATAGCTGTTGACTTGTTAACCACCACTACATGACATCACAATGTGGAACAGAGCATTTTGAGCTTTGGAGATGTAAACAGACTAACAATAAATAGTTATTCAAACATGTGAATGAAACAAGCACAACTCCAGGTGTGTTTTTGAGGAGGGAACAGCATTATAACATGGATAAAGGCTCACAAGAATCAGATTTGCATAATATAGGACTTTTTTTTTTTACATTGAATTGGCTGAACACTGTGTCCCCTCACATACTTTGGCACTGGGATCACATGAGTTTTTTTTGTTGTTTTTTTTTTAACAGAGTTTGAGTTAAACAATAGACATGCTGATGATTACCTGTGTGTTCTCCAGGGAGCGCTCCTCACACTGACTCGGGCCTGAGTGTCTCGGGGGAGAAGATCCGGCGCAGAGTAAAGACGCCGTACACAGTGAAGAAGTGGCGCCCAGCCTCGTGGGTGCCTCCTACTGACCACCACCCAGAGCTGCTCCTGCAGGCCACACCCAACTGCCCCACAATCAGCCAATCCAAATCCAGCATGGCCATGTTTGTGCTGGGAGGTGGGGCCAACTCCAAGCCGGATGGACTCACCAGTTTCTGATTGGTTCACACACTTTTTGGAATAGCTCTACCTCTGTCTTCCACGAGGGTCTTTGTATCTGTACAGTAGTGTGTAGTCAACTGGTGCTGATTAAGTTATGCTCATGAGTAAACCATAAAGCAGGTCTGAACAGCTCTGTGCTAGGTATGGGGGATACCACAGTTTTTGGTAAAGATGTGATACTACGCAGGCCTACTTTGGTGAGGGGGCTACTTACTTTCTGATCTCTGTTATAATGTTGTTACCTCATCACAAACATATCTGGATATTTAGACTTGTGATGTCATGTGATAATACAGGAAGTGCTCCACTGTGTTTTTAAACTCCATACACCTTCACAGGATGGACAGAAGCTTGTTTAAGACCAGATGTGAGTGAGTCAAGCTCTGCACTCACTACACATCCTGCCTTCCTCACCAGCTTATCCAACCACACAGTGTCCTTCTTCTTGAGGCTTCCTCCTCAGCAGGAGGAGGGCACAGCGTTGAAGAGATCACTGATGATGACTGTCTGGTGTTGAAATGTTAAAGGACTTCAGCCTCATGAGAAAGTACAGCCTGCTCTGTCTCTTTCTGTAGAGAAGGTGTGTATTCTCAGACCAGTCCAGTCTGTGGTTGAGATGTAAGCCAAAACACTCTACAACCTCCACAGTCCTTCTCAATGCCCCCAGAACCAATAATAAAGAGTTACTGAAACATGCATGAATGAAACAAAAACACAACTCCAGGTCTGTTTTTGATGAGGTAACAACATTATAACATGGCTTAAAGTTCACAAGAGTCCATTGTGAGTAATATAACCTAATACTTTTAATGGTGAAGGATTTAAATATATCTACCTATACAAAAGAGCAGGACACCTGACACAGATGGATCAGTCCAAAATGCTGCTGGTGAACATGTTTTTGACAAAAAACAAAAAAAAACCGTCTCAAATAGATGCTAGCCTTAAAATCTGCATATGCTCATCAGTATCATCAATACTGGTGGTTTTCAGATTCTACAATGTGATGATGTCATACTTCCAGATGGGGGGCAAGAGCCAGTATTTATTTATTTTTTATTATATTGTATTATTGTATTTTGCCATGAAATATCAGAAAGGTAAATTCCCAAATATTGAACCTGATCAGCCAATGATGTTCATTTTGTCTTCTTATATACTTTAACTTCTTAGGTTCTTTTTAAAGACAATGCAGTAAAGTGTATTTACCTTGTTGACATGTTTCGGCTGCTAGCTGCAAGCCATCTTCAGAACTGTCACCGGTGTTGGTGGTGACGTGTCGTATATCAGCTGTTGTTAACAAGGTAAATACACTTTACTGCATTGTCTTTAAAAAGAACCTAAGAAGTTGAACCTGATCATTTCTATTACTGACTAGATCCAAGACCTGCTGTATTACAACAAAAGTCTGCAACTGAGCAATATTCATTTTAACTGCCCTCCATCTGTATTTAATAACATCGGCCTGTAGAATGTTGTGATGTCATCTGAAATCCAGCAGTATTAATATTTGATATCGATACTCCCATCCACAGTCTGAACCAGGCCTGACACAGGTCTGAACCAGGTCTGAACCAGATCTTATTGATCCTGGCCAGTTATAGCCCAGGAACATTCGGTAAAAGGCCTAGAGCTTTTAGGGTGGGGCAGAGCATTGCCAATCTCACATAAATTATGCACAATTTAGGCCTAGATTATTTGAGCTCTTTAATCTGATCCTGTATGAAGCCCAGTGATCGTCACAGGAGTGTGGTGTTTTTCACATTGTCAGGGTAAGTGCCTTTACCCACTGGCAGAACATTTGGAAACTCCTAACATAATCTGCCTCCAGTGAGTGTGAATCAGTGCAGACTGTGGTGAGTGCAGCTGATTCTAAGTGTGTAGTGTGTTCATACAATGCAGGGGGGTCAGTCTATGAGAGAGTCTCTCTCTTTAAGTGTAGCACAAAGCACCAGAGCCTGGCCTGCTCATTCATGTCACATCATGACATGATTTATTTGATGAAGTTCTGTGTGCTCTACCAGTCAAATTTTGGACACACTTTTTCATTTATGTTTTTTCGTGTAATTATTTATTGTAGATTCTCACAAAAGGCATCCAAACTATGAATGACACATGTGGAATGTCATAAACAACTCAAACTCAAAATAACTTGTTAAGGCAAAAGCAAGTAATATACAGTACTGTTTTTTTTTGTGTGTTTTTTTTCCAAAACAGCCTTTGCTCTTTGTTTTGAAACCATTTCAAAAGACTTCATCATGAAGATCACTGAGAAGGACAAGGGTTTGCAGTCGATAAAGCAAAGGGCGGATACTCTGAGGATTTGTATATAAAATATAAAAAAGATTTAGTTATTAAGAGTTATTTCTCTTTTTGCATTGCTACATAATTCCATATATCTCACTTCATAAATTTGAAGTCTTATGTCTGTATATAAATGTAGAAAGTAGTAAACTTGGGGAAAAAAAAAAAAAAAAACATTGAATGAGAGGGTGTGTCCAAACTTTTCATGTAGGTCGCAGATTCAGGCGTGAGCATTCAAGTGTCACGTTTACTTGAGTTATGTAAAAAAAAGTGTATGGGCTGAACAACATGCAGAGTTTTACTTGATTCATATTTTCTTATTGAAGTAATAGTACTTTTACTTATTTGAGTAAAACTTTTGGTTACTCTTCCCACATGTTAGTAATCTACAAAAGCTTTATGTAGACAAATTGAATGATTTCAACATAAGCATTTCTTGCACCTTACGTTTTGCATTTTCACATTTTGATTCTACCAAAGTTTCAGCATTAGTTGGTGTTTTGTCAGATTACATCACAGTCAAACAGCACAGGTGACGGCCCAACAGTCACTCACTCAAGTCACTACTTACATGGATTGGACTGGTAATCATCAGAGGTGGGTGGTACTCAGTTACATTTACTAGTTGCATTTACTGAAGTAACTTTTTTTTTCAGGTACTTTTTGGAGTACTTTGCTAGCAGCATACTTTTACTCCTACTTGAGTAATATTTTAACTGAATGAAGTAACAGTACTCTAATTTGCGTAAAAGTTGAACTTCCTCTTCCCACTGTGAGTAAGTGACAAAAGCTTTCTGTGACAATCTGAAGTGATTTGAATATTTGTGTTTTTTGCAAGTCCTTCAGATATGATTTGGTTTGTGCATTATTTCATCTTTGTCCAAAGTACATGTACTTCAAATTATAAATAAGATGTTATTTCTCCACAGTTACTCTAAGTTACTTGAGATGCACTTTTCCCATATATATTGTTTTACTTAATTTTTTTTAACCACTACTTTGTACTTCTACTTGAGTAATATTACATTAATGTGACGTTATTCTTACTTTTACCCACCTCTGTTAATTATTCAGGTCACTACTGTAAACGTGTATTTGAGTCATTACTTCTACATGTAAGTAAAGATACTTCAAATGTTGCTGCAGCTGTTGCTGTTGCTCCATGTGGCGTCAGAGGAGCCTGTGTGTGTGTCGTGTGTGCTGTACGTGCGTGCGTGTGTGTTTGACGCTGGGGCAGTGAGCAGGGTTTGGCATGGTTAGTGTGTCCAGAACTGTACTCAGATGTGGAGGTGTAAATATGGCCAGGCCTCTTCTATTGATTCTTTGCAGCTAATGTCATCAGCATTCCCTGGAGGTGTGAAGCTAACTGTAAGCACTGCTCTGTGTAAAGCTCTGTCAGACTTTAATCTGAGTTTTATTGTAACACAATCTTACCAGAAAGAACTGAGGTGGAACTACAACAGGTGAGATGATTTGTGTTCTTAAACAAGTCTCTCAGTCATAAAATTACAGTTACAAGTCAGCAAGCATTAACCAACAGTTTTTCAGTTAGTCCCTCTCACCTTTTTGTTGAAAATCTTAACTCCTAACAGGACCATGAATGCTTGGATTGATCACGCGCGATCGATCAGGGTCAACATTTTTCTTGAGTTTACAGAAAATCTTACATTTTTGACATATCTGCTTATGTGTACATGGGGTCAGCCCTGTGTTCCCTCAGCCCTGTGTTCCCTCATTTCTAAGATTTTTCTTATTTCTAGGATTTTCCTCAAAATGAATCTCTAAGCCAAGTCATTTTTTATTTTTACCACATTTAAAGGGATGATTCAAAGTCATTTCAACCTATGATCCTTTGCACCATGACCTCTCCATTACATCTGTAGTCAACTGCTGCTGGATAATAGGTCGGGTGTAACTACCAAACTGGGAGAAATGGGAAAACTTCTGATGCAAACTGATGATAAAGAAATGTGGAAACATAGGGCCTAAGTTTGCAAAGGAAAAAAAAAAACTTAGAAATGAGGGAACATAGAGCTGAGGAACATAGGCACGCTCATGTACATTTTGTCTTTATAGTAACTGCTCAACATTCCACCATAGAGTTGCATGTAGAACACCTTCCAGCGTGATGTCACTGCAAAGTATCAATAGGCACTTCCATAGGAACTAAGCATTTTGTTTGGCTGGAAATGTGTGTGAGATTATTTAAGGACTTTTGTATGGGCAATTTTCCCTATGTTTATCGTGCTTAATAATTCCTGTGTATTTTCTACTGTTTGTACTGGTTTTGATATACACATGCAGACTCTAGAACTTTCATTTAGAGCTTGTGAAGTCTATCTTAAAGAGGGGGTATTCTGCTAAATCAAATTTTGGAACTGTCTACCATATTATAACGTTGTTTCCTCACCAAAAACCTGCCTGAAGAGATTTTAGAATAGGTTTGTGTAGTTTATGGTTAGTTGTAAGCTTTGTCCAGTGTTTCAGTCACAAGCTTACAGTCATTCATACTCCCACATGACAATTCTCCATAGATATACAAAATATTAAAAAGTATGATACATATAAAACATGTTAATACAATGTTTGTTTTTTTGCGATTTTAGCCTTTTCAAATAATGAATGGTAGCATGGTGATCTAAATATATTATGTTAGCAGTTAATACCCCATAGAAGTAAAATACCCCCTCTTAAACTATGTCTCCAACAGGACATTAAAACGGTAGAGATGACATCACTGACTGTGACTGAATCCTCTTTCCTTACCTCCCTTCTTCCTTAAATCCTCAGCTGTCAATCAAACACGCATAACAAGTGATAACATGAAGCAGCTCAGACGAGACGAGGAAGGAACACGGAGGCAAGGAAAGAAGATGAAGACGTATCCAGTGTGCTTCTGTGCTCAATGTTCATATCTTATCATGTATGTAGAATAACACATTCACACTCCTGTTCTCCCTCCTCTGTTCTCCCTCCTCTGTCCTCCCTTCTCTGTCCTCCCTCCTCTCTCCTCTGTCCTCCCTCCTGTCTCTCCTCCCTCCTCTCTCCCCTCTATCCTCCCTCCTCTATCCTCCCTCCTCTGTCTCCTCTATCCTCCCCTCCTCTGTCCTCCCTCCTCTCTCCTCTATCCTCCCTCCTCTGTCCTCCCTCCTCTCTCCTCTATTCTCCCTCCTCTTGTCTGCTCTATCCCATTTGTCCTCCCCCTCCACAGTTCTGCTCCTCCTTGTTCTGTCCCTCTCTGTCCCAGACCACTCATTCATAAAATATGCCATTACTCCAGTGTCAAGGATTTGTCATATTTGATAATCAATAAAGGGAAAATATGAATCACTCTGTGTTTGCCTGGGACACTTCTCCTGTTCTGGATAAAGTGGTTTACAAATCTAGGCCTGTAATGGCCATAGAAACGGGATGATTATATCTCTGTCTATCTATCCACCTCTATAAATATACTTTAACTCGTACACACTTTAGCCCGTACTTTTGCCCATATATACACTCACGACCGTATATACACTCACAGCCCATATATACACTCACAGCCGTATATACACTCACAGCCGTGTATACACTCACAGCCCGTGTATACACTCAAAGTCCATATATACACTCAAAGTCGTATATACACTCACAGCCGTATATACACTCACAGCCCATATATACACTCACAGCCGTATATACACTCACAGCCCATATATACACTCACGGTCCGTATATACACT